CAAATTACCAATGCCGCGCGACCGGTCTAGACGACGGACAGCGAGTCCGACAGGGAAGCAAGGCACGCAATCCTCTCGATGTTAGCTGGCGCAGACGGGATAGTGGGTAGCCGAGCAGGCGCGGCGCCTCGCCCACAGAAGCCCGCGCAGGTTGTGACATGTGAAGCGCCGAATGTCTTGTCTTGCCCAGGTGAGCGACCATGCATTGAGTTCGAGGCCGAGGCGTCTATGAGCTGTTTGGGCTTTGAATGGCACCCCAGCCGAGTTTCATTTTTTGTGATCAGGGGACGTGGAGTGTATTGACCGAGAGAGGGAGCCGTTGTGTGCCCTCGGCGAGTGCGATCAGGCGAGCGTGTGCGTAGCAAGAATCTGGGGTACGGTCTGAACTTCTCTGATGCTCAGCTGAGAGGGTTGGTCAGCGATATCTCAGACCGAGGGTGCCCGTCATTACTTCTCGCGGCTGTCGTACACGGTGGCCCGGCTATTGAACGACCCGCGAACGACAGCATCCCTACATCGAACGAAGATAACGCGAATAGCTAGATTCCGACACGCACCGGAGTGCAGCACTCCGGTAAGTCTCAAAGTGGTTGGATGATATCCTGAATTGGCCCGACTTGATGGCAGAAGCCTAATCAAGCCTGTTCCTAGTCAAATGGGGAGAACATGGAAGTCAATGCTCGATCGCAAACGATGCTCGGAGACGGCGGCGCATGTGTCTGGGCCCTCTGGTGGCCCAGAATAACCAATGTTGTTATGCCGTAACAACAGTTTGTGTACCGCCGGGAGGGAAGTCGTGATCGAGAGATCGGAGTGGCCTGTCGTCTGCTGCCCGCGAGTCTATTCTGATGCTGGTCAGCCGTTGGCGCCTGCTGCGATAATCGATATCGCAACTGGGAAGCAACACAAATGCTCGTGTTGGAGACTGCGGCATCGTTGGCCGGCAGCACCGCTTGTATAACAGATGCTTCTGCCCGGAGCGTCTGTTCGGGCTCATGGGTGATTATCGTGACATCTCTATGGATCTGACACGACACAAGTGTCAGAGTGCGTGTTGATATCGTTACAGAACAACAGATAGGGAAGCCGTTAATAACGGACTCGAAACGCCGCACATTTTTGGCCATAGGGCGCACCATGGATGGTTTTTGATTGAGCAACACGTAAGGCTACCTGCTTGTGTGCTGACAATTTGCCCCTGAGCCGTGATCTGGTGGCAGTGCTAACCTGTTGCAGTCTGCTAACAAGTACCAATGTGCCATACGGAAGATGTGTCATCAGACTGGTCCAAAATCTTTCACATCGAGGTCATCATTGAGCTGTCGAGCAAGGTTTTCCACTACTCAATGGTGCGTGATCAATTCTTCCAACCAGGCAGCTCAGGATGGCAGAAGAACAGGGTGGAAGTTAATTAACGAACTCCCACACCCTTACGAACTATCAGCGCTCACAAGGTCGATCACGATCGAGCGCTTCCCCACCCTCTCGCAGTCATGCACCACTACGCCGTATATATGTTCGACTTATACATTCGTGCCCATCTGGTGATTTCTTGCTGGCTAAGCTCTGCATCGACAACTTACTATCTGTAAGCATCTCCTCGATATTTACACTGTATTTTCTGAACGTGGATGATTCTCGTTGCTGTCTTCATTCAGGTCGTGACGCAGTCTAATGCGTCCGACGAGATCGTCCATTCGTGTACCGTCACTCTATCTTCGGCCCCGTCTGTATAAGGTCCCAGGGATAAACTCGTGTTGTCGGATCGAACGCCCGGCGTCCTTGCTTACCGCAGACAATCGGCATAGCTCGATAGGCCTCGCACCAATCTCGGTGTTCCAGTTAGACCCAATGACGTCTGTCCTTGCGGACACTGGCGTCATCTTGTATCATGCCAGATCCGCGACCGTGAAGTTGTCAAGTCTTCGATCTGCATGCAGATCGGAGGCCGTTTACAGGAACACCGACACGCTACGGTGACTGAATTGCTGCGCGTCATCGCCAAGTGTTACGTGCCAGGATCACATTTGATCAATACCTTTTGGCCAAACATGCTAACGCAAATCTACTGTCACGATTCCGCCGACGTGATTCATGTGCTTGATGTCCTTAATTCATCGAGGTACGCTTGGCCTCATAATCTATTCACGTCTCCTTGATCTGTCGTTATGTCATCTCGGGACATTTTGACATTTTGTCTGATAGCAGTCTCCATCTTGTCGGGTTGATGACCTCTTAATACCCACTTCTCGATCTTCGCCGCGCAAGAGGTACCGTCCGCCCGGTCTTTCCCTCTTATCAGAACCGCACAATTTGAAGGTGGAGTTCCCATGTGCTCTGCGATATACTTTCAAGTAGTTGCTCGGTGACTGTTTCTCGGTGACTGTAGCAGACATGAGGCTCAGGGCAATTACTTCCTCGTGGTCTGGTCGCGTCCAATCGCTGAAGATCGCACGAATGATTGCATTGTGTGGGATCCGCTCCACGTTTTGGGGAATAGACGATACTTTAATTTGCGCAGATGAGTATCTACTACTGCCGGAACCATCACAAACCTCATCGATGCTGATATGTATGTCATACTGTCCAGAAAGCTATAGCAGATGTCAGGGCAGTTGTTCTTGATCCGTCATACTAGTTGACATGCTTCCAATAACATACGTGGCAGCTCCTGAGTCTTGATACTCTTCGGGCAGGAAGACGCCATCTTGGTATCACATATCGGCGATACCCTGGTCCTTCGTTAGACCCGGGCGGACGGTTCGATACTTTTTTTAAAGCTACCTATCCTTATCTTCCCTTGTTTTCGACTGCGTAATGTTGACCTGCGCGATTTGAGAGGCCGCTCTCATCCCTCTGGGACGTGGCTGTCTGGCTTAGCATAGGACCTGTGTTCACTTCCGCTCGCCCATTTAATCCATTCCGTTGCAGTGTACAGTGCATGCCTGCCATGTATATCTGCCTTCGCCCAAAGACAAACATGCTGGGATTACAATGGTGAGTACACACGCAGCTTTAGCAAACCCGTTCGCCCCGATTTCGAGCATGAAGGGGATGTATTCCACCCGGCGCACCATGATCTCCTTCCCGATACCAAGTACGCATTTAACCCTCTTCATCACATTACTGCTGCACTCGCTCAGGACGAGCCGATCTACTGGAAGGTCTTCATCGTGATTGTGAACAAATTCACGCATGTTCGCTGTAACTATATTGTGATTCTGTCAGCACGGTCGACGTACCCTCAATTGGGATTTCCAGGTCGACACGGTGCTGGTAGCACAACCCGATGTAGTCGGTTTGCGACGCCACGGCGGCTTGCTGTTCGGCGCCCACGGCAACGACACCTCGGGGCGCAGGTTGCACGCGCCGACCTTCATTTCCTTGCGCCCGCCCGTCTTCGCGAACCACTTACTAATAGTCGCTTTACCTATGTATCCCACGGCTAGCCATACCGTGAATCGAGAGGACGGGGACGGTGATACACACTGGCCTCGTATACGTCGGACAGAAGGTGATGCCGCGGTCGGTGACGTTCGTAGGGATGCGCAAGCCCTCTTCCTTATCTGCCTTACAGTTCCACGTCGCGAGGTCTGGGATTGCCATTGAGTGTCCTGATTCTGCACAGATATATGGGACTCACCCATCGCTCCAAAACCGAGCACGCTGACCTTGGGGTCGTTGGCACTGAGCTGATGAGTGGGGTTAGTATCTCGGCTCTCGGTGTTGGGGCCTGAAGAGGATGTTCTCTCGTCAATCTTTTCAGGGCATATATCAAGGTGTTCAAGCGTCGTTTCCGGCAGGATTCCCAATGTACTTCGCACTCGTAAGTTGCCAGTGGCTCCATATCCTTCGGTACCTTATGCCGTACAGTGTATCATATGCTCTGCATCTTCCCCGCTTTAGAGAGAAACTACGGTGCATGCAGCATGCTAGTCATTCCGTGGATCTCACTGTACATGATTTCCCGCTAGGCTCACAGCTTACTCCTTATTTGACCCCACGATCGGGTCTAAGTGGGAGTGAGAAATAAAAGAATGCATTATAACCTAGTGCTACAAACATTCAGCCGTAATATCACTGTGACCATCGTTCTATACCATAATAATGTAAATGAAGGAAAGTGTTGTCTATGTGCAACCTGCAAGTGAGAGTCATACATAGGAGAGAATCGACTCGTCATCACGAATGGCCTGCTCTTGTTCGCCGTTGCGAGAATCTACGTTTGCTTCGTAAATTCTGTCAGTGAACTTTGTCTCCAGATATCCCGTTGCCTGGATGTTAACACGATGGTCTACCTCCACTTGGCGGTGCCATGTGTTCATTGTCGCCAACGCCTTGAACCGAATCAGTGTCCCTAACAACCTGGACTGTATCATCGTCGCGGATGTCGTCCATGACATTCTGGGATGGCCCATCCTTCAGAATTGCCTGAGAGGATTCCTGATCCATAGCGTCCTCTTGTGCCCAGTCTTTGGCCCGTTGCAGCAATACACCGATATCCTTGTAGTCCTTAAAGATGAAGTCTTCCCTGTAGCCCTGCCATCTTGTGCGCTCGTCGCAGTCATTCAGAGCTGGGTGCGGGGAAAGGATAGAGCCAGAGTTGGGAAGCGGCGCCGATATCTCGCTTAGATCGTTGTTAATCGACGCCGCAAACGGCAGTCTGCTTCCGTCTTTGTCTAGTACGACACAGTCGATATCAGTGTACAGCGACGTCCAATAGAAGATGGCACACCATTTACCGACCCTCGGCGCCGCGGAGAAATCGAGGACAGTTATCCAGAAATATTTCTTTTGCGCAACAATCAATCTCCCGATCGACTCGTCCCAGGCCATGGCTGTGATCTCAGCTGGGTAGACTTGAGACGGCAATTCTATTTCAGCAATATCCAATTCCCACTCCTCGGCGGTGGTTGGAAGCACCGGCTGTCGCAGATAAGCATCCGGGTCGATGTGACGCGCAATGGCAACAACTAGCGGGGTGTCGGTTATGTCATCCTTTGGCACCTTGTACAAGATACTGCGCATTGTGCCAACAAGCGGCTGGTAACGGAGATTGTCACCAGGAATCAGCCTGCGGGCCGCTTTGACATCTTCGATACGGTAGCTATAGGAGATCTGAGCTTGTGCAGGCACTTGCGCGCCAGGGGGAGTCGGCGGAAGTTGGAGCACGGTACGCTGCAGAAATAAGGTAGCTTTGATTATTATACCACTGCGTACCTTCCAAAATATGACGATGGGGCGGGGGACCTTGGACTCCTCCGCACTGTGAAGGTACGGCATGGCGGCCTCGTCGTCTGATGTTGGAATTCCGTGGTCTGTCATATATGCGTCTACAGCTTCGGTATCATCGCTGCTCACACTACATTCAAATGGGGAACGTTCCACTTTCACCTGTTCATCTTCAGACGGGATGACATGGTAATGTTCGATAAAATGGGGAGACCATAACCGACCGGTCTGGGGGTTATACTCCGGCCTCGGCATAACCATACGACGGAGAACGATGACCGAGTCTTGTAACGGGTTCAACCGAATGGACATCGTCCGTATCTCCTATAAAATATGATAGTGTCAGCGTCCCGTGAACAAGCACAGGGACATGACGTACATGGCGCTGAGGGAAAAGCTGATAGGTCGGCATGGTTAAGGTTGACGCTTGACCGCCACCCAAGTTCTTGAACATAAGCTTGTCTGGCTGCTTCATCAGAGCAAGGTATGGTGAGCCAAATATCTCTTCGAGAACGGGGCGAGCCAAGATACTCTCGCTCCGGATCTGCGTTAGCAGTCGAAAGGGCAATTCCTGTGAAAGTAGGTACTCGATGAATTCGGGCGGGCCGGGTGGGGCGCCAGGGTCGCCAAGTATTTCCAACTGCGAGAGGGAGATGGAAACGACGTTGCATTCATACTTCAGTGGAAATTCGGGGTCAAGGATCTCGTAGTCGCCGCTGTACTGGGAGACGTCGAGTGGCGTGGCACCTGGCCTTCGATGCCTGTGATGCAGAAATTCGCGGCGGACATACGCGATGACAATTGACCAGACGCCTCCGATGGTCATATAGCGTGCGTTGATGTGAATCGCTTTCGTCTTCACAAGGGGTTTCGCGAGCGCAACAACCTCATTGACGCGGTGGTCCATCATGTAGATGACGATAGACCATGTGCTCTCAGCCTTGTCAGAGGTGGAGGCGATGAGGTAGCGTCCGCCAGGGAGAATGAACATTGAGTGGATTTGATGATGAGCGTTGAAGTCGTAGACATTGGCGGGCATCTGCTCCGTGGAGTTCCAGTCTCGGGCGAGGGATATTGCACGAAGAAGCAGCCGCTCGATTTCGACGCCGCTCATGTTAGGGATCGTGTGTGGCAAAGGAGGGACTGGGACACCTGCCCGCCGTAAGAGCCTTTTCCACAGAACGGCGTGATGTGTAAGGTCATAAAATAATTTGCAGATCTAACGCGCAAGGGGTTCAGCTCAAGGTGGCACGGGATGTTTGGCGACACGTACCTGCCGCAGGCGGATAATATCAATGACCTCTAAGTGTCTGAACACTTGGTCCACGAGAATCTCATTCGGCAGCTTCGTGAGGTAACATGGTGGGGGAGGATACCAGCTCCCTGGCATGCGGAGGCCGTTATAGATCTTTTCCTCCAGAGCTGCACGAGCGCGTTTGAACTTTAAATAAAAACTACTGACGGACGAGGTGCAAGAAAAGAGAGACATCCTAGAGAGAGTGACTCGCACGGACTTACGATGGGGTGAGAATGATGAAAAAGAGACGAGCACTGCTTGAACTCAACGTACCTTTTACATTGAAGAGTGGGTTTGTCTATGTTTTGTGCTGTGGGGACTTTGCAGCCACAGCGTACCTTATACTTCGCAGCCCACGCGACGCACGAGCTCGAGACGTTGTTTCGAGCTTGGGGTCTGTCCTAAACGGGAACAAGCGCGCTCAAATCGGGCATCGCATGTTGATAACCGTCTAATTTCCTCTCCGCGATCTTGACCACCTTTCGATTATGCTCTGCAAATTGGGGACAATAACTACCAGACTTACGCAACGCATTCGACCGGGCCTCGACATATCAAGACAGTCGTTTGTGCTCTTTCGGGACAGGATGGCTTCGGCACGTGAGCAGCGTCGAGCGCTCAAGGTGGCAAGTCGATGCGGCGATGCTCATCTGATTAATATTCGTGCCAGTTACATCCAAAGAAGTTGTCAGTCACATCTGGAAACTTTCATCAGTAATCTGATGCAGCCGGTAGTAAAGCCGGACTATTGCAAGTAGCGGAGGATGATGTATGAAGCAAACTAAACCCTAACCACAACCTGGGTTTTCATGATAAGTCGCGCATTCGTGCTGTGTTCCGAGTCTGTTATTAACCGCATCAACTGGTGTATCTTTTTTTCACGACAATGAGCGATGAGATACTAGTGCTACGTGCAGTAGGCTGTACATCAAGCTGTGCCCAACGCCTCGTTCACCGGCGTCTAGCTGAGCTTTGGGTACAAGAGAGAGCCGGTCGACTTGCTCGCGTTTCTCTCACCAACTGTCGACTGGGTCTTTGAAAGCTCCTCGTCAGATACAGGAAGCTAGCGACTAAATCACACTCGGACGCAGTCCTCGAGTCCCTGCCCTGCGCTACCAGACCATCAGCGCCGCAGCCGTTGGACCAATAGGTTCACCTAGCCCGGATTTGAACCAGGTATAGACGTCAAGCATTGCGCAGCTCGTGATGCATACTGCAGAGTACGTCTTAACTGTTGTTTATGTTGCACACAGTCTAGGGAGTGCTGATCGCCGCATATGGATATCCAGTTCCTGGTATCTCACTGGTATGGGCCGGCTGAATCTCGTTTAGCGCGCCTGTGTTTGACTGCGCATTTATCATGTAGTCGTCCGCACGCAGGGCTTGCTCTTCATCCGTCCTGCAAAGTCATGGCGCCCAGTAGTGTCTGTGGGCGTTGTTGACCCACATCAGACGTATGAAGTCGCCCTGGGTAGCGACGGGCAGAATCCCAACCTTCAGAAACCGTTTGTGCTGTGAGTCACTTACGTTGATTGAGCTTGGGCATTTAATCTAACCGACTTCATGCGCGCGCCAAGGCGTGATGTGGACCACAGCTCACAACTCGACATACAGGTTTGGCATAAACCGTCTAGTAAAAACCGTAAGAAACGGCACCTAGTTGGGTCTGCGTATGTTTCTCTCGGCGAAGTTATTCGCAGGCAGCAGCAACCGGGCTCAGGTATGTCTATCAAATCCTTTGAATTTCCGCTTCAGCTCATTATACACGCAGACCTGGATCTTCATCTCAATTGTCCGCCTCCACAAAAGAGGAGCCCAACAATCAAAGCCAATCACCAGCGTCGCACCATTCTTACTATCAGGGTATATCCGCCGTCTTCTGCCCTGTCCACAGGCATTACGTCTTCCGGGTCTTTGGAGGACGAGGATGAGAGACTGTCGGAAACTTGTGGGTCAACACACGCTTGTCCGTGAAGTACAACTAACGGAATCTTATCCTTTCTAGCATCTGAATCTCCCTCAGAGACTTTAGTTACTCCGACAGTGGATGGACATGAAGACACATGGCCGCAAGAGGCTGAACAAACTGCATGCGCGGACGGTCATCAACTACGGAGGCGGCGGCGTCGAATCAAAGGCTATTCGCTTGATTCTGAAGCAGAAGACGGCAACTCGTCGTCCTCAGATTCACATATATCCCAGCACGCCAATTATCCTCCGACACCTGAGCCATACGAGTATTCCCACGTGGGCTTTGACGAAGTGGAATCCCCGCAATGCACTGCATCGAGTCTCGGCACGCCGACGCCACTTCCGCGCTACGCAGAGAGGGCTGTTGAAGATGTTACACTCTCGTTCGCAGAGGCGGTAGTAGACAGTTTTGCCCCATATCGCGAGCTGCGGCATGCCGAGCTGGAGGCTGACTTTGACAAGGTCCTCGGGCGGCTCCTGACCGAGTGGTACGTTGTTGGCGCGTCGGTGCGTACTCTCTCGGACACCCAGATACATAGACTTACTCGTGGAATCCATACTAGCTTCTCGCAATCGCAGGGTATGCTGCCTTTGACGTACGTCGTTGCGGTCAATACTGATAGTGATGTATATTTGTAGGATTGACGCGGCGATTTTTGGTCTTGCGCCTGGGTCCATCCTGCCCGTCGATGGCATCGCGCAACACATCGTAGCCATCGGTGCAGTTGCCGCCGGCCTCGGCATTGCCATCATTTCCTGGTTCCTCGTACTTTACAGCAGTGCGAACGCCGTCAAGTTCCAGGTGAGTTCCTCCACTTACCCCACTCACCTTCAATCATCCAACCAACCAACAGCGTCTTGCGCGGGACGTCTACGGCTCGTACTTCTTCTTTTGCCTCACGTGCCGCCTGCCGACACTCTGCATGTTCCTCTCCGCGCTCGCGCTCACGCTCTTCCTGCTCATCGTCGCGTGGTCCGCCGCGCCGTCCGCCGTGCTCGTGCTCTCGTTCCTCGCGGGCGTGCTCGTCTCGCTGCAGTACCTCGTCTTCGGGTGCCACCGCGCGTTCAACTTTGTGATATGGGCGTGCAGGGGAGCGTGGCGAGTGTTGGGCGCGGGACGGGGGAGCGCCGCGGCCGCGGATTCGTCTCGGCCACCTCGCCGTCCACATGCACAGCCTCATGAGGAGCGGCCGGTTGAGATTAGCGAGCTGAGAGTCGATGAGCCAAGGGCGGACGAGCGGATACCGGAGAAGGCACATTTTCCTCGGTAAGGGGCACGGGTATGATCTCGTTTCCTTTCGCCGAGTCGACCCTAAAACCCGCATTGCGCCCGGGGGCCGGACAGATTGGTGACACTCCGTCTATACAGTGTTATGTAACTGTACCAATTTGGCCTGTATTCATGGTCCCGAGATAGACCCAAAGCACTCTCGACTGACTTGTTCATGATGTTGAATGCTTTCATGTACATATCGAGGTTGTGCAGGACCGGAGCGACGGCGTACTCCTCTGCATTCTTGATTCATAATGATACAGGTGTGATTTGTTACATCATGCTCGATGTATCTGGTATAGATATCCAATGTAAGGTAACACACCCGACCAATTGCGGGTTCCATTCCAGATATCGTACAAAGAGCCCAGCTCCGGTCGGTTTCGATGAAAGTGTCGTATCGTCAAACGTTTTCAGGGGTCATACTTCCGACGTTCATTGTGCCACGGTGCTCCTACAATCTATATAAGCGTCGAACAACACATCTCCAAGCGGGAGCACGCACCACCAGGCCACGCAACGGGCAGCCCATTGGGTCCCATCATACGTATCACCGGCAACATTATTGGTATCATCTAGCGGGGCAGGTCGATGTGAGTCCCGGCCGTCCAGAGGCAGGATGAGACGTACGTCCAGCATTCGCATGGCCGCCGGCGGCATGCCAAATGCATTGATCACCCAGTCGCGCTCCGCCGGAACGCGCGGCCTCCGGTCCACGATCGCCGCACGCACCTTGTGCTTCCGCGCGTCGAAGGCGAGGGACGTGATGACACACGAAGGCTCGTCCTGCCCGTCGCAGCGCGCCAGTTGCACCGTGAGGGGCCCGTCCATGTCGACCTCGATGCCATTTGCGTACGCGAGGCAGACGGTGGCTGGATACCCGACGATGGGCCCCGCTCTGGCAGAGGGAGGGGTCGGCAGGTGCTGCCTGTCCGAGTAGAGCAGCCGAAGCGAGAAGGACTGGAGGGAGTCTTCCAGCAGGGCGCGGAAGAACGCTCCGATCAAGTAGCGGGGTATCTCTGCGGTATGTGGGGAATGATCACGCGGAGAGAAATGCCAACGATCGATCTAACTCACCGTACTGCTTGACGGTCCCTACTAGGGGCTCCGCGTCCTCAGCTTTCCAGAGCGTCAGCTTGATGACCGCGTCAGGCGAAAAGCGTCGCTTCACGATGTCCTCTATGTCTATGCGAGAGGGTTGCTGTAACGCATGCGGGGCATCCGTGCGTCAGCGCGAGAGCAGAGATGCGGAGATCATCGCTGACTTCAAGACAGCTATTGAAGTCTTTGCTCAGATCGCTGATGGTCTTGTACCCGTCTGCTATGTCATCTCGACCTTCTGCTATGTCATTTCGCGCTTCTGGGCTGATCATGGCGACATTCAAGGGTACAGCGGCGGAACGTCGGTCATCGACTCACATGCTCATCCCCAACCAATGGTCCACATCCCCGTAGTTGGGAGGAAGGGTATTTAAAGTGTAGACAGAGTTCGCCATGGGGCAGCAGATAGGAGGAGGGAGCACGACGTGAGACACGTTGAGCTTCAAAGGAGCAGAGGGTCGGGTTTTTTGAAGACGCCCTACATATCTGCATATACATAGCGCGTATGATAGAGTTGTGGAGTGTAGGTGTAGTCCATTCCACCGCTCGGCCCGGCTTGCCTGGCTCGCTCGCAGCCGGTTGTTCGATCAGGACTGTGAGTTGGCTGCGGGCGAGCAGGGCGAGCCAGGCCTCACTATACGAGCCACACAATTAAGTACGCCTTGTGGTAGCGATGTGGCTTTGTAGCCACGGGGTCAACGTAAAGTTTCATGGCTGCGCGCCTGTGCGCGCTGACCATTGCTGAGTATGCATCAGGAGTCTCTGGTAGAAGATGAGGAAACACACGTGCATTTCCGCCGACGGAGTGGCAAACATAGTAAATGTCGAACAATCGACCAGGCCTTCAAGCTTCAAGCTTCAAAGAGCAGGCAGCATATGCAGGCCGAGACTGTCGCAACTTCCAATGGGACACAGGGAGTTAGTAATACTTGAGGCGCCATGGATATCTGCGTATACAGGGCGCGTGACAAGAGAGTCCTTCCAGGTCAGCACATTCAAGCCCACGCCTCTGCAACTTTGAGTTTAAGTTGAAGCAGTGCAGATGTGATGAATGGTAACGAGTATAATTGGGAGTCTCATATTCAAAGGATTCGATCGAGGTTCCCACGAATAATCGGCCCGTGACGAGGTTCAGCCACCCCGCCCTCGGGCGTCTGCCATTCACTAACCCGAACGTCATGTCTTCCGATACCCAGCCTCAAGACATCCAGCTCAATGTCAAAGGTCCCTTCTCTCCGCTCTCTCACTCTCTACCATGGTTTCTCTAACTCTCCCTCAGGTCCCAACGAGCTCAAGCTCCAGATCACCATTGCTACTGACAAATCCGTCGCTGACCTCAAGCAAGCCATCGCTGAAAAGTCCGATGTCCCTGCTGACCGCCAACGCCTCATTTATTCCGGTATGCTCTTCACGTGCCCTCGTTCTCTCTTCCGCACTGAACGCTGCACATAGGACGTGTCCTGAAGGTCTGCATCATTGGCAGCCTGCACCGCCCTGTCCTGCCTCTCTAATCTCACATCTTCGCCCAGGATGAGGATGTCCTCTCCACATACAAGATTCAGTCTTCTCACACAGTCCATATGGTGAAGGGTGCTGCACGCGCCGCCGCGTCCTCCTCACAATCGGCCACGCCACAAGCTCTACCTACAATGCAGGCCGGCCAGAACCCCCACGATCCCCTCACTCAGCTCAATGGACATATGGGCTATGGTCTCATGGCCGGTCTGAACCCTTTTGCAGAGATGGGCTTGAATCCAAACGATCCCAACATGGTGAGCGTTACCCCCGGTTAATCCTGTTCGCATAACGCCTACGCATCTTGCGCAACTACCGCCAATTCTAACTCATACCAATGACAACCTGGCTATCATGGCTATCATGATCAATATGCTACTCTTCAGCCTTATCGTCCTCCCTCCCGATCTACCTCCGTATTTTCACACATTGACTCGCCCTCCTCTACCCGCAGATGCAATCCATGCTCAACAACCCCCAATTCCTCCAACAAATGTCCGGCGTCATGTCCAATCCCGCCATTCTAGACCAAATATTCGCTTCCAACCCCCAGCTCCAAGCCATGGCGCCCCAGGTCCGCCAAGTCTTCCAAAGCGAGCAGTTCCGCCAGATGATGTACGTCCCCATCCTGACCCTTCCTTTCACACATTGACATCACCTTTCGCTCAGCTCCAACCCGGAGACCCTTCGCACAATGCTCCAGATGTCCTCCCTCATGCGCGGCGGCGACACGGGCCTCGGCGCCCCTGCCTTCCCCGCGCCCGGTCTCCCTTCCACCGCGCGCCAGGGCCAGCAGGATGCAGGCACAGGCGCAAGTCCTGCGGGCGCTGCGCCCCCGCCTCTGTTCAATCCCTTCTTCCCCCCGCCGCCTGCCGCTGGCTCCACGACAGAAGCGGGATCAGGGGTACCGCCGACGTCGCCAGGTGCTGCAGGCGCAGGCGCGGGGATGTTCGACCCCGCGCTGATGCAGCAGATGCTCGCCGCGATGGGCGGCGGCGGCGGTGCTGGGGGCGCAGGCGCAGGTGCGGGCGGGGACCCGTTCGGTCTCGGGGGCCTTGGCGCACTAGGCGGCCTCGGTGGTGGGCTGGGCGGGCTTGGTGGTGCGCCTGCAGCGCCGACAGACGCGCGGCCGCCAGAAGAGCGGTTCCAGGTGCAGCTGCAGCAGCTGCAGGACATGGGGTTCACGAATGCGTCGCAGAATGTGCGCGCGCTGCTAGCGACGGGCGGGAACGTGCACGCGGCGATTGAGTACATCCTGAACGGGGGTGGGCTGTAGGCGCTGCGCTGAGTCGGTCTGCGTGGGTTTACATGGTTGTGGGACAGTGCAGCGTGTGAACTGTCCGCGGGTGTGGTCACTGATTGGTAAGGGGAGCGTACGTGTACGTGTACGATGGGGGACGAGAATATGTAGAATGAAAGAAATGTCTCGTGTGTATGCTCGGTTCTTTGTTGCGCGTGTGGAGACCTCAACCCGCGAACTCAACATTTGCTACAAACCGCGTGTGCACCGCGTCCCGGTGCAAGCATCTATGGCTGCTGGCTGCATGTCCAGCGTTGGGTTATAAGCAATCAATCCAACGGCAGCGCGCAATCGACATCTATTCGACTCCCGGCCTCTACCCAGCACCTGCCCGTCTAACCCAAAATCCCAGAGAAGGCGACCCGCCACTATCCAGCAACTATCGCCCCGTCTGCAGCACCATCCAGCTTCGTCCGCTTTGCGTCTTCCGCGCCTACCGGGTCGTCGGGATCGGGCGTGCGTGCGCCGCTCGCGCGCTTTGCACCAGCGCCGGCGACCTGCGCGTCCAGACGCTGCGGCGCGCCGTCCGGGGCATTGGACGCAGCAAACAGCACATCTTCTGCGTCTGCGGCCGTGTCCGCAGCGCCTGGCAGTGCGAGTGAATCATCAACACGAGCCCTTCATCAGCGCGTCCAACATACCTGGCGCAGCCTCGCCGTCGGCGGCAGCGGCAGACAGACTATCGCCCTGCGCCTTCTGCTTGCCCTTTGCCTGCGCGCCCTCTGCGGGGTCAGGCTGCAGAGGTCGGAAGTATGGCTGTGCGAGCCAGTGCGGGAGGAGCGGCAGCGCTGCCGCCGCATCCCACACCACGAGCTCCTCGAGACCGCGCTCTCCCGCCGCGCGCACGTCCTCCTGCGCATACGCGTCAGCGCCTGTCGCGCCACGAAGCGAAAACGAAATGCGAATGCACACGTGTACTCACCTGCAGGCGCGCGTCGAGCTCGCGCACGACGTCCGCGTAGCGCACGAACGCGGCGCGCGGGGGTTCGCCTTTCTCCGCGCGCACCCGGCCGAGGCGCTCGCGCAGGTCCGGTGCGCGGGCGAGGGCGGGCCGCAGGAGCTTGAAGAGGTGGCCCTTGACTGCGCTGGGCGACGTCGGCGTGCGCTGCGCCTGCACGATCGCGAGGTACTCGAGGGCGAGGTGGGTGTGACGCGGGTGCAGGCCGGTGAGGTAGGGGGCGGAGGAGGATGCAGATGCGGAGGTGGAGGTGGAGGTGGAGGTGGAGGCGTCCGCGAGGGAGGGCGCGAGGGAGAAGATAGCGGGGTTGTAGAGGTTGCCCTCGGCGGACATGATGGCGTCGGCGCCCGTCGCGGCGAGGCAGCGCTCGATATCGGAGTGGAAGAGGACGTTGCCGTTGGCGAAGACAGGGATGGAGACAGCCTCCTTGACGGCGCGGATCTTCTCCCAGTCCGCGAGGCCCTGTCATCCCGGTCAGTGAGTATTCACATTCGAAAGTGAACTGACGTACAGTGTTGTGTCCACGCTGCTCACGCAAGCGGCCGTGGCAGGTCAGGATCTGGGCGCCAGCACGCTCGAGCATCTTAGCGTACTCGACCGTCTTCTCCACCGTAGGGAATACCCTGAACTTCGCCGTGACCGGGATCGACAGATTTCTGTGCAGCGTATTTACTGCTCGTAATCCGTCGGCGCCCCGTTCAAGGGCTGTGAGACCAGCACACTCACTGAGTTCATAGATCAGATCCCACTCGTCCTGCAGGAACGACCCGTAGTGTCCCCTACGAGCAATGTCTTGAGGACATCCGAGATTGACATCGACTGCGTCGCAGTACGGCTCGACAACCTTTGCGGACTTGAGCAGCTGTTCCGGGCTGTTTGCGCAGAATTGGACGATGAGTGGTCGGTCCTCGGGTCCGCCCTCCTCGCCCAAGGTGATGTTGAAGTTTTGATCACGGTACCCCTTGCGTGCGCCCTCTGCAAACATCTGGTAATGATGATTTAGGAGGATGTTATGAGGACCAGCGTAGCGCATACATGCCTTGGCGTTGATCATGGGTGTGTAGACCAGCTAAATCACATTGCTATTGAAGATACAAATAATCTGGAAGGATATTAAGCTCACTTGTGCGCCGTACTTTCTCGATAGCTTCCTCCATGCCTTTCCTCCGAATGAACATGATTCCCGTTCTGGTATGGGGCTCGACTCACCAGTTCGCTCTGATCAACCATAGGTGCGACGACATATTTGGGGCTTCCGAGTACCTGGCAATAAAAGTCATAACCTTCGAGCTTCTTGGGCTCTGAATTCACGCCAGGCATTTTGGGTGAGCTGTAGAGGGGGATCCTGCGCAGAGTTCGCAGTAGCGAACGCACTAATTGGAGAATGTTGTCAGCGTGGCGGTGTACCGCAGTAGATTTTGGACGAGCCAAGAGTGGGCAGCAGCCTAGCTGTAATGCAGTGGGTGCGCTAAGTAAAGCTGAGGGATTCACAGTAAGTACTGGGTGGCTACCGTCAAGATCTGCACAGATCTGATCAGTAGTCACGTGTACGGGTCGGCTTGTTTCCTCATTTAGCTCGATCAGGCACAGCGCCGCCGCCTTAGCCGTCACGGTAGAGGATAGCTGCGCGGCACTGGCGGTTCACTATCGCATTATATTTGTCTTGTGGAATGTTGCTTCATATTGAATAAGTGCATTCATACTAATGTACACCGACAAGTTAGTTCCGGGCCCGAGGGGCGGGCGTCTCCTGACGTCCATCCTGAACGTGAACCCCGGTCACCACTCGAGTAGCACACCCAAGGATCCCGGAGGGACAGATCAGATCGCAAGCAGGACGAGCGCCTAAAAGTAGCGCTTACCGTTTCTCACTCAATACAGAAATTTCCTTTTCGTTACCTTTCAAGGTATACATAGGCTTTTGGTGTGCTGTGCAGATGAGGTCACACCCTTTTGGGAGCTCAATATGAAGAATCGTCCTTGTGGCAGGAAAATACGGACATCGAGCTGGAAAGTGAACGTTAGGACCCGGGACACCAGTTATGCACCTTCTGTCCATCTCGCTAACGTAACGCCACAACCTTCGTATCCTGCTTTAATCGCTGAGTCAAGGTTTGGCCATCTTTCCATTGCCTCCAAATACTTTGCCTCGCGAGGGCGCCGGAGATATGTCCTCAGGTCAGATGTACGGGAATCACTACGGCAATAGTAAGTACCCTCTCTTTTACAGTTTTCCATAGGCAGTACGTCAGGATAGCAGTCTTCTGGCCTTGCCATAAGAACACGTAGCCATCGACGAGCAGCAAGTATACCCCTGCCCATGGGCTACTGTCATGCAAAGTCGACTGACAGCTTTGTTTTCACCAGGACATAACGGCTGGTCTGGCAGCCACCACCACGGCCCAGACGAGGACACCTCTACTGAGCGCGACTATCGGTCTACGGACCCATCACCTTCGCGAATGAGACACATGAGTGGTATGGCAGACCACAACATGCGCCATAACGGCTCCGTTCACACACTCTCCGACCCTGTCCCCATTCTACCCTACTGGTCCGCAAAGCGTCACCTCACATGCGGCAACCCAACTCCACCACCACCATGGGCCCATAAGATGGCGCCGTGGCGGTCGACCTCGAAGCTGAAAACCGCCAATGCTGCACTCGTTCTCTGTCTCAACATAGACGTCGACCCTCCGGACGTGGTCAAGACCAATCCGTGCGCCGTGCTAGAGTGCTGGGTCGACCCACACACACTCCCTGCTCAGAAGGCTCTGGACATCATCGGGACGAACCTCGCGCATCAATTCGAGGGATTGAGCCCCAAAATCACATTTAAGCCGCTCCTGGATCCCGCGTACGACGATTTGCGCAAATACTGCCACTCGCTCCGCAAGACAGCGAAGGAGGATGCAATCCTGTTTTACTACAACGGCCATGGCGTCCCGAAGCCGACACCGAGCGGGGAGATGTGGTGCTTCAACAAGGAGTACACGCAGTACATCCCCGTGTCGCTGCAGGAGGTGCAGAGCTGGTTGCTCTCGCCTTGCGTCTACATCTGGGACTGTTCTGCGGCGGGGCACCTGGTGAACAACTTCCTCACCTTCGCAAAGCGACGGGACAACGACGCTACCCTGAACCGAGGCGGCTACCCTGAAGGGACACCACCGTTCTCGGAAAGCATACAGCTCGCAGCGTGTGCAGCGGACGAGCAGCTCCCATCGTGCCCCGAGTTACCGGCTGATATGTTCACGTCGTGTCTCACATCGCCTATCGACATTGCATTGCGGTGGTTCGTGATGTGCCGCCATCTACCAGACAACATCACGCTGGATATGGTTATGCAGCTACCTGGCGACCTCAAGGATCGCCGAACGCCCCTGGGGGAGCTCAACTGGATCTTCACCGCTATCACGGACACCATTGCGTGGACGACGTTCCCCCGAGATCTCTTTACGCGATTGTATCGGTCCGACCTGCTGGTAGCATCACTTTTCCGTAATTTCTTGCTGGCAGAGCGTATCATGAAGAGCTATCACTGTACGCCACATACATATCCTCCGCTGCCGGCTACGAACACGCATCCCCTGTGGGCATCATGGGACCTCGCGGTGGACACTTGTCTGCGGCAACTACCAGAGTTGCTCAAGTACATGAAGCCTGGCTCGATACCGGAGGGTTCACTCACGTCACGGAGGTCCACAGCAGCCCGCCATCCTCCAACGGGGCCCGCGGAACCACCATACACATATATTCCTAGTAGGTTCTTTAGTGACCAGTTGACCGCTTTTGAGGTATGGATATCTCGTGGTGGCTCGGCACTGACGAAACGTGGCCCGCTATCCCTCCCCGAAACCAATGGCGACCCTTCGCAGAACCTCGAGAGCGTCGGCGAAGGTGTATCGCTACTGCCGTCAGACGTGGATGCCGTCAACGACCACCACCTCGTGCCGCGCAAGCCACCAGACCAACTGCCGATCGTGCTGCAGGTCTTGCTCTCGCAGCCGCATCGACTGCGGGCTCTCATACTGCTCTCACAGTTCGTCGATCTCGGGCCATGGGCTGTGCACCTGGTGCTTGCCATTGGCATCTTCCCGTACATATCGCGTCTGCTGCAGGCTGCGTCGCCAGATCTGCGGCCGGTGCTGATCTTCATTTGGGCACGCATCTTCGCGGTGAACCCGTCGTGCCAGGTGGACCTGTACGGCAACCAGGGGTACAAGTATTTCGCGAACGTGCTTGCGGAGCGGCCGGATGGGGGCATTCCGAACAGCTCAGAGCACAAAGCGATGTGTGCGTTCGTGCTGTCTGCCATTGCACGCGACTACCTGCAAGGGCAGAATGCGTGCTGGCGCGAGCATGTGTTCGACGCGTGCTGCGACGCTCTGGATGACGGCGACTACCTGTTGCGGCAGTGGTCTGCGTTGTGCATTGCGCAAATCTGGGACGGGAACGACGAGATCAAGATGTATGGCGTGGATTGTGGCACGCAGGACAAGCTCATCGCACTACTGAATGACGACGCGTCCGAGGTGCGGAGCGCGGCGCTATACGCGCTCGGGATATTCCTGGGCGCGTCGGGGTCACAAGATCTGAACAAGCTTGGTGGTGGCGGGAGCGGCACGCAGCTCCAGCTTGAGGAGCGCTTCCACTTGCGCATGGAGGTCGCTGTGGTCACCGGAGCGACGTTGGCTACCAAAGAAGACGCGAGTCCCATGGTGAGGAAGGAGCTGCTCGTCCTTATTAGTTGCTTGGTGAAAGAATGGAGGGGCTATTTCATCATCTGCGCTTGGATATACTGGGAGGAAGAACGCGGAAGGATGGACCCCAATCATTCCAGACTGCAGGAGGATGATCCTGCGTCACAGGCGGTTGCAGAATGGCTGGACGATTTTGGCGACGACGACGCATTCCGGGAGGAGAGCCGGGTATATCTCTCGTCGTTCTTCACCATCTTCGCTGTTCTTCTGGAGTTATCGGTCGATCCGTACCAAGAAGTAGCCGCGAACGCGCAGACCATAGTCGACTACATTGTAGCCCTGCTACTCGAGTCACCATTCAGCGGCCTTCAGAGCACAACTCTCCATGATCCACCCCCGCACATCGTGAAAGGCTCTACCCGCGGGGCTCAAACCCGTGCTCCGTCGCTTTCCTCAGAGAGGAACCAACAGACCCCGTTGTCACCGGTAAGCAATCGGCCAGGCATAACGCGCAGCGATACAATGGGCAGTGCAATCTCGTATGGGGTCACAAACACCTTGCGACGCACATCTTCCTTTGCAAATGTGTTGAAGAGTCTCACCGGCAACATTTCATTCCCATCTTTGGATGACGGCCGCTCGTCCTCTCCGCGACCAGTATCAGGCTCAACGCTAGGGTCTGATAACACAGGCGGTGTGTCGCGCCCTCCGTCCCCAAACATGAACTATGCACAGTACACATCTCCCTACTCCCAACCCTCCACTCCCCCACCCTCTGCACCTTCGCAGCGCTCCTCGCCTCACCCATCACCGCGGTCAACTGCGGAGGTGGAACATCAGCCCTCGAATTACTCTCCATCGGACGTTATAAAGGCTCTTATAGAAGAAGATACCGAGCGTTTGAAGGCGCGTCGCAGGACAGCTTCTCATCACCGACACCACCACCATGGCGCCGTCCCGGGAGGCGGGATGAGTAGCCCTGCCAGTAGCACGTTCTCAATGGACTCAAGTATCATTATGGGCATTGGTACCGGTCTTGGCATTCGCGACGCGCTGCCTCTGAAGAGCAGGTTCTATGACTGGTGCTGCGACTACTTCAAGGAGCCGCAAATGAGAGTATGTTTATCTTAAACGAGCGTTCTCCACCACGTTGACTGACGGAACGCGTAGCAACCGGAAACCGATGAGCCTGGTAGTGTTGAGTACAACTACCAAATATGGCGTCAACAGCGGAACGAGAGAGTACTCGTTACAACTAGGCAACAGGCCGAGATTGCACGTGCGTCTCATATTGTTCTATGTCATGATTTCCGATGAAGAACTCCCCTCTAGCAAACCGTCGATGGGATAGGCCAGTGTCCACCATCCAGATAACCGGTCTGCCAGTCAACCTGGCATTCCACTCTTTCGATCCGCACCTTATAATCGCAAATGAGCACGACACCATAACGTCAGTTTTATCTCTATATAATCGCACCAGATATTGACACAGTAAAATAGTGTCTGGGATTGGATGCAGCGCAAGAGACTAAGTCAGTTCTTCAACGGCAATCCACAAGGGACGACAATCACCTCACTGCGTTTGATCAACCAGGATGTTGGTGGCATCATCCTCGCCGCATCAGGTACTTTACTGCATCATAGTCTCAACGCTGCTTTCCTGACAATCACTGATGATTCTAGCTGACGGTATTATACGCTTATATCGTAATTACGATCCAACTTTGCAGAGTGGGCCCGTGCAGATGGTCAGTTCATTCCGCAGTACCAATGAGGTACTGCAGGTGCATCGTGGCAGTGGTGTTGTTACAGACTGGAAACAGACTGGCGGTTCGTTACTCGTGGGAGGCGATTCCCGCGTGATCCGCGTCTGGGATGCGCACACCGAGAGCCAAGTCATGGTAGGCATTCTCCATGCGATAGATCTTCCATGTGGTCCGCTCACTACCATCCTTTCGCAAGGATATGGACACCAACTCGGAAAGCCCAGTCACAGCAATCGTCTCCGACGAAGCGTCAACATCGACATTCCTAGCCAGCTTCGCAGATGGTGTCATCAAGGTTTTCGATCGACGGATGGATGAGGAGGATGCCGTCGTGCGTGAATATAGCGACCATGTGTCGTGGGTGCAGAATGTTAAATGGCATCCTTTGCTGAGTGGACATTTCTTGTCTGGATCGTAAGTAATTGTCTTGCTTGCATGCCAACACACGTTGACATGCAACCCAGAGTGGATGGTGAGGTGAAGCTTTGGGACATCCGGGGAGGTGAACAAGCACTGCAGACGTGGGATGTGCATCCACATGGATTGTCTGCGTTCGATGTGCATGATCATACAAACGTGTTTGTCGCGTGAGTACTCCTTCTAAGCGCCATCTCTAGTGTACTAATTCGATAATTACCACTAGTACGTCCGCATTGGTCCCAACAAATTGGAGAACACAGCGCACAACTGTCCACTCGTTCACACAATCAGACCCTTTGTCTACCCTCACTACTGGTCTCACGATTCCCCCGCCACGAGATCCGTTACTCCCCTTTATCCCCCGTTCAAGTAGCCTCTCTTTCCATCCACGAGAAATGGTGTATGCAGTTGGGCTATGGGATGGTTCGGGTCAGTATTTGTGCCCATGTCGTCCTGTTTTGTATGCTGACGATTCACGCTCCAGTTCGCATCATGGGTTGCAAGCTTCAATCATGAGAATTCCATTTCAGGATTACTTATCTGGACAACCCGAATTGCTCTGCTCCTCGTTTAGCTCTCGGCTCAATGCATGCTTTAGTAACCTATTGTCCACCACACGCTATATGAATAGGCATATACTGTACTGATACTCAATGTTATAATGCTCCAGTCCTATGTGGGTGGCTGAGGAGCTTCATCCCAAGAACTTAAGCAATGCTATGTTTGGCGATATACCCTATTAAGTGATTTACACGTCACGTGCTTTCAGATCCTCCTACGATCAACCTTATTCCTCTCTAACGCTGGCATCAGACATTCTGTGGGCAGTTCAGCAAGCACCCGCATAGGACTGCGTAAGAGACTGATGGCGCTCCTGCAAGCTCCGCTCGAGTTTTATCCGTTCAGCCCCGCTGAACATGACATCATGTGTGACAAGAGTAATTGTGACATACACGTGCATGCGTTACGCTTGTTAGCTTGATCATCAGCCACACGATTTGCCACCCAACGCTGCGCCGCCCCCCACAAGCCACAGCTCTGCCGCGCTTCTCCCAGGGCTCGCAAGTCCAGGCAGGTCTACAAGGGTCCGTTTCAAGCGTACACGGCACATATCAGGTCTAAATAAATTTGCAGTTCGCAATTCGAAATGGTCCGGGCGCACACGAAACAAACGGTGAGCACGCTCGGCCCACACCGATCCTCAGCCACCTCTGCCACTTTGCCTGTGGCTGATCATCCATATCCAGCCCGACGACAAAGAGAAATCACACAAAAAGAAATCATCATCTAAGAAGAAATCAGAGACAGGCCAGTGGCCATGTAAGATAAACGGCTGTAACAAAGTCTTTGCGAGAGAGGCAGACCTCAAGCGGCACCAGAGAACAACAAAATTACATTCTATGCCCGGTTTGTGAGTGATGGGTGCGGTTCGTGTCGGCGATGGTCCCTCATAGTAGGGTGTTTGCAGTGCGTGTCCTCAATGCGACGCGACTTTTACAAGGGTGCGTACTCGCCATTTAGTAAGCGTGGTGGCAAATTGTGAACCTCATTCAGACTGATGCTTTACGGCGCCATCAAAAATCTCGGTGTGTGCTTCTACATCTTACACCTTACATTCACTTATATGTGCACATTGTTCACAGCCACAACGGCGTGATTATTCCACCCGTTGAGCAAGACAATGTCAAGAATGGCGACGACGGCGATGGTGAATCCTCGGGGTCGAAGTCTCCGAGCCCTGATTCGCCAAAGAGAAGTGGGGGCGAAGCGTCGAGCTCGAAAAGCGTGTCACGTTCTACACAGCCGGTATCATCTGGGTCAGGTAACTACTACCGGCAACATACCATGACGAGTATGTGTGGTGGTCGTCATAGTATGGGACTGTACTGATGCCTCTCTAGCATACCCTCCTCGACCCGGAATGATCATGGAGCAACACTATCCCCCGTCCATCGGCCCTCCCACATCCGCCGCGCGCCTTCACCAAGCTACCTGGCACCATCCACCTCCATGGCCCGAAGGCCCTCCTCCTCCTGGCATGTACCCCATGGGTCCTCCGGTTCCTGGCTACTACCACTCGCCCTACTACCGCACCCCGCCCGGCATGATTCCGTACCCCCCGCCACACCACTACCCGCCGCCTGTGCACATGAGCCCCGAGTTCGCACACCACTCGCACATGGTGAACGGCATGCCGTATCCGCAGCCATACCCGCCGGAGGAGCGGCCTGCGTCCGCAGACGGGAGGGAGTCCGAGGGCGAAGAGGAGGCGTCGTCGCAAGGATCCCCGCCCGCCATTGACCCATCACTCGACGGGCACACGGAGGCGCTCCACCCGAGCGCTGCGGAGGCGGCCAAGGGCGACAAGCCGCCTGACGGCCCATCGCCCGAAGCTTTGGCGGCAATCGAGGTTGCCCTGGCGACCATGAGGGCGCGCAATGAGGATATGGAGGACGATGTGTCTGGCGGGGACTCTGCGGCTCAAATAGACAATGAGGAGGCGCCGTCTCAAGAAGGCGGCGGTGGGGAGGAGGATGGCGGGCAGAATATACCGCCGGTGGGTGCTGTGGATGAGGACAAATCTGATGCGGACGCGGAGATGGATGTGGATAGAAGTGCCGAGGCCAGCAGCGGGTCAGCCGAGGCCGCCCGCGAGCAGAGTACGGACGAGATAGTCACCGAGGACGGCGTTACGATGTTGAATCCAGGTAAGCAGCCTGATCTCTCTGTGGTTGCAGGAGTACTCATAGCGTGACTACATGCGTGTCGCATGCATAGCTGAGCTGCTGACGCAGGTCTGCACATCTCTCCTTGGCTGACGTGGCATGCATCAACTGATGTCTCTTTGTGTGATGATAGGAATCGCTAGCATCGCCCCCACCCTCGTGAATCTGCAACCCTCTAGCTTCACATAACGTGCGTTCGCGGCCCCGCCGTTCAAATATTTGCCGCATTATATCTTATTTTCTTTCATTTCGCTCTTCACGCCCTTTGCGTCTTGCGCCCCACTATAGTCTGTTGTTGCTTTCCTAATGTTGTCCCGTCTCGTGTTTGTGCCTTTCAGTTCGCCTTGCTACCGGCAGACATTGTAGGAGGAATAATGTGGATGTATGTAGCTACAAATAACGACGGTTGACTCGATATTCTACACGCTCATAGAAAGCACCCTAAAGCTACAGAGCACCGCTGTTGAGAGCGAGCCGCACGAGACACAGTCAAAATATCATCAAGCAGCACCGCTGCGCACGGCACTCCCACCACCACTTAGAGGATCTGCACCTTCGGCCATTGATACTGTGGGCCGACCTGCTGGACGCACATCGAGCCGAGCTTGTGCCCAGCCTCGACGCACTCCTCGAGGCTCTTCCCGAGCACGTACGCGCCGAGGAAGCCGCCCGCGAACGCGTCACCCGCGCCGTTCGTGTCGACAATCTGCGCGTCCGCGAGCGGGTGCACGTCGAACACGCGCGGGGCATCGGGCTCCGCGCTGCTCACGACCGTCGTCGACTCCGCGCCGTGCGTGATGATGACCGTGCGCGGGCGCGACGGGTTCGCCTTGGGCTGCATCGCGATGGCCGCGGCGACCGCGGCGAGGTCCGTCTGCGCGGCGTGCCCCGACGCGCTCGCCCACGCCTCGGCCTCGGCCTCGTTCCCGATGACGATGTCGCAGAAGGGCAGGATCTGCTGCAGCTGCACCTGGAAGAACTGCGGGATGAACGGCGCGGAGAGGTTGAGCACGAAGACCTGCGGCGGGCGGGGGGTCAGCGCGGCTGGGAGCGGGACGGGCAGCAGGGGAAAAGAAGGGGAAAAAAAGGGGGGGGGGGACAGACGCACCTTGCCGGCCTCGGACGCCTTCTTGCTGAGCTCGAGCGCAGACTCTGTGCCGTGCGTGAGGAAGAAACCCTCGACGTAGAAGACGCGCGCGCTCTCGATGCACGGCGCGACCTCGGGCGACGCGAGGTGCGCCTTCTCGAACAGCTCCGCCGCGCGGAGGGTCGTCACAAGCGATCTGCAGGCGCCGCGTCAGTCCGCTTATCATGACCAAGGACGGATTCGACCGGGCAGGGGGGGAGGGCGCGTCGGGCGCCGGGAGTCGATCGACCGCCGCCGATCATCGCGCCCGATCGAGTTCTAGCTAAGAAGGTCTGCGGAAGGGGCGCACGCACCGGTGGTGGCCCGTGATGACGACGGCGCACGCGCCGGTCTTGGCGCCCTTTTTGACGAGGAAGACGGGGTCGAGGCCCTCGCGCGCGTCCGCGGCGCGGAGCTGCTCCGCGAGGTCGTCGTCGCCGACGCAGCCGGCGTACACGACGGACTTGGGCGGGAGGACGTACTGCGAGCGGGCAGCCGGTCAGGTGGTCGCGCGAGAAGGAGAAGGTGCGCGGGACGCACGGCGGCACCGCGGGCGGCATTTTGCGATGCTCCGCCCGCGACGTAGGTGACCTTGTACTTCTGCACGAGTTCCTCGTAGCTGCGGGGGACTTTATTAGCGGGCGCACGGCGGGGGAGAGGGGCAGAGGACGGACATGGACATGTGCTTCTCCTCGGCGAGGATGGCGTCGTTCGGCTTGAGGTCGTACTTCTTGAGGAGCTCCTCGCCGCCGGTGACTTGCATGTCGAGCAGGGGGTTGCCCATGCAGAAGAGCTGGTACGAGGCCATGGCGTACGGGCGAGTGAGGGGGGTGAAGGGGAGGGGCGGTGAGGGTGAGAGTAGGACGCAGGAGAGGTGGGGTTGGGCTCGCAGAGTGTGAGGCCGAGGGAGACACGGGCGTGGAGGGCGATTATCGACCCCATCCGCCTATTGGTGCGCCCATGCTGATTGTAATTCCCGTCCTATCCGAGACCTTTCTCATCTTGTCCTCCTGCCGTATGCGCAACATTCCGCGACGCTTTACTCTCCAATGTCCATGCGTTCACCGCGGGACCGAACTAATTGACGACTTTGATTGATCCCATGATGATGAACGCGCCCGCATCTCCAACGTCACTGCATACTCTTCTCTTCGCTGCTCTGCGCTAGCAGATTGTTTATTACTATGTAGTTTCACGCCTGGGAGGAGGTTTTGTATCACGCATTCCGAGTCGGATATACTCGTCAAATTATTATCTTCTCGAAGCCGTGGGTATCTAGGGGTTGCAAACCCTAACGCGATTTGCTTGGGTTGGACACCAAATTGAACAGCTATGTGCACGGTCTTCGATGAGCACAGCACCAGCGAGTGGTTCCCGTCCAGAATGATTCAGAAGGGATTCCAATGCCCCCGCAAAAGCTGATGCTGTCTTCCATCTGCCTATCAATGGCTCGATGGATGGTCGCGTTCACAGCACCATCGCAGTCTTGCAAGATGGTCGGTATGCTGGAGGACCAAAGAGTGAAGCTCCCGACCCATGGCAGTGCCAAGAGAGGAAAGGGGGGGAATGTTTTGCACAATGAGCTGCAGCGGAAGCATCGTCATCGGCTCCGGAATGGGGGTACTGGGCAGGGCAAAGGTGGTGATATGATGTAGAGTAGATACATGAGATATCATGACTGCGCGATAGCAACGATGCGCGTGCGGTGGGGGTGCTAGCCTGCGATGGGGAGAGCCGGAGAAGGCTAGCTGGGAGAATGAGGGAAATGGTGAACGCCATGGCAAGGATGGACGAAAAAGGCGAAGGCACGGGGTTACTCATCGTTCCCACTTGCGTTCTTGTCGCTCGCCTCCGTTCAACTCGCCAACCCTCGCTTTGCCTGCTCTTGTCTTACCCGGACGCCATCGTCGCCTGCAGAAACGCATCGCCGTCGTTCCTTGTGCTCGTCGACCGCCTCGAGGCGACAAAGCATCTCGCCGGCTCGCTTCTCGACTCGTGGTCTCCACGCCTATCCTCACCACGCACCCCCAGCCCTGCGTCTAACTCTATTCACTAATTTTCTGCTCCTCGCCGACGACCGTCTCACACCCTCCTCTCACCGTGTCGGCTGCCCCGCCCCCGCTGCACACTCCCCGCGGCGCCCACCGCATGCTTGCCGTCCTCCGCTCCGTCGCACCGCAGCAGCAGCACCCTGATTCTCAGCACCGTCCCCAGCAGCCCCCGCCCGCCGAGCCCGCGCGAGCAGCCAAACTCAGAACCGTCCTCGGTCTTGGTGCAGCGCACAAAGACGTCGCCCCCGCCGCCCCTGCTACCCTCGCTTCGCGTCACTCCCGCACCAGGAGAAGCGTCGACACCTTCACCGGCCACAGCCTCCGGAGAACCCATCGCAGAGACCGCTCGGCCACCGCCGTCGCAGACCCCGCCTTCTTCGCTGTCCCGGAGACCCCTTCTCAGCACCCCCCGTCTTCCATCCCCTCACAGGCTGAGATGAAGAACGCAGCGCCAGCCCAGTCCATGCCCACCTCCCGCCGGGTGCCTATCCGCGTGGACAACCAGGACGGGCCCTGGACTATCAGTGTCGCCGAGAACGACCCGTATTCTTACAGCATCTACATTAAGAGTGAGTGTTCATGCTCCGTCAGGCTCATGTCTCGTGCTCTCCTCTCTGCATTTCATCCTCGCACTGCCGCGCCTCGACATCGCAGGCGTCTCCTTCCGTGCACTGATTGGCCCATTCGACTACGCCGTTCCCTCATTCCCTTACGTCAAGTTGTCAGACTGATGACCCCTTGACCTCATTCTAGCGCCTACACATAATATCACTCTTACGCGCACCGCCCTCGAGATCGTCGAGCTGCATGGAAAACTGCGCGACTCACACCCCGGATACAAGATGTTCACCCTCCCCCTCGACCCCGCCGCCATCCCCGCCCCGCCCAAGCGCAAGTCCGCATTTCTCAACACCCTCTCCCGCCTCGCCTCGCCCTCCGCCAAGTCCGCGCAGCGCCAGGCCTCCACGCGCCAGCACGCCCCGAGCACAAGCAGCAACACGCCGAGCAGCACCGTCTCCTCGACGCACCCCACGCCGCTCGGCTCGCCGCGGAACGAGCTCAACGACCCGTTTTCCGGCGCGGACGACGAGGACGACCTCCAGCCGCCGCTCGCGCCCGCCAACAGCACCGTCACCGCGCTCGCCGGGTACCTGACCACGCTCGCGAACGATGCCGTGCTGCACAACGCCCGCGTGTGGCGCCGCTTCGTGCGTGTGCGCACGGACGACCTCCAGAGCGTCCGCGTCGAGCGCGCGATCAAGCGCGTGCGCTCGGACCTCGCCGCGCATGTGAGCCCCGGCAGCGCGAAGGAGGCTCAGCGCTCAATCAGCCAGGTCGTGCTCGGGGAAGAGAGCCCGCAGACGAAGAAGGCGGCGCCGCCGCCGGCGGACGTGGTCCCGAACGGCAACGGCATCCACGCGGCAGAGCCATCTTCTCCGGAGCGACCGAAAGAGGCGGATATCCAGGAAGAGGAGGAGCCGCAGGCCGAGGTTGTGCCGGTCGCGAACGGGGTGCATGTTGATGGACAGGACCAGTCAGCGGACGCAGCAGATGCGGCGAAGGAGGCCGGTGACATGGAGGACGGAGCAGCCGAGGATCGGGCGCCTACGCCTCGATCGCCGCGGGCCTCGTCGGTAGTGGTGGACGGTCCGGGGCCCATAGACACTGCAGCAGCGGCAGCGGCGAGCGACGCTGACACGGAGGACGATACGAGCGCGCCCTCGACGCCCGTGCCCTCCGACGGCCATGCGCATGCGGCGCGCATCCCGCGTTCGCAGTCCGCGGACCCGACGTCGCGCGCGTCGCGGATCTTCCTGCCGTCGCCGCTCGCGAGCGAGGCAGACTCGTCGCAGACGTCGCAGGCCGGCGAGTCGGCGGACGACTCGTCGGTGTCGACGACGGGGCGGCGCGCGGCGCGCAAGGCGCGGAGCAAGTCGATGGACCCGGGCGCGCAGGCGGCCTTGCAGAAGAAGTCGCAGCGCAAGGTCGCGATCGACGACTTTGAGATGATGCGCGTGCTCGGGAAGGGCTGTGCCGGCAAGGTGCTGCTTGTGCGCCACAAGCCGACGGCGGACGTGTTCGCGCTCAAGGCGATCACGAAGCGCCATGTGCTCGCGCACCAGGAGCTCCAGCACACGCTCACGGAGCAGGCCGTGCTCAAGCGCATGGCCGCCGAGGGCTCGGACCCGTTCGTCGTCAAGCTCTGGTGGAGCTTCCACGACAAGGAGAACCTGTTCTTGGTCATGGTACGTCCCCCGCCGTCCGTCTGCGTGTCCCCTCGCGTCTGACGCAGCGTATCCGCCAGGACTTCCACCCGGGCGGCGACCTCGCGACGCAGCTCGCGCGCTGGGGCCGGCTCGGGCGCGACCGCGCGCGGTTCTACGCCGCGGAGATCGTCGAGGGCGTCGAGGGCCTGCACGCGGCGGGCGTGATCTACCGCGACCTGAAGCCGGAGAACATCCTCATCGGCGCGGACGGGCACATCGTGCTCACGGACTTTGGGCTCTCGAAGGAGTTCCCGCGCCGCACGTCGCCGACCACCGCGCCGCCGACGCCGTCGGGCTTCCGCGGCGACTTCACCGCGGGCACGCCGGTCGCGGCGACGCCGCAGTGGATGAAGGGCGAGAAGGGCCAGGAGCTCGCGAACGGGTGGGCCCCGTCCGGGCCGCTCGACACGACGACGACGTTCTGCGGGACGGCGGAGTACCTGGCGCCGGAGGTGATCCAGGGGCAGGCGTACAGCTACGAGGTGGACTGGTGGAGCTTCGGGACGATGCTGTACGAGATGCTGACTGGGATAGTGAGTGTTGACGGAGTGTTCGGCGTCCACGGTGTTGATTGTTTTTTTTGCAGACGCCGTTCTGGGCGAACAACCACTCGGACATGTACTACCGGGTGCTGCAGGACGAGCTGCAGTTCCCGGAGGACCGGACGATGGACCAGGACACTAAAAGCCTCATTCGCGGGGTCAGTACCATGGCTCGGTGTGATCTCGATCATGATCTGACCCTCGATCGGATTGGTGACAGCTGCTTCAACGCAACCCCGCCCTCAGGATGAAGGAGCCCCGCATCAAGAAGCATCCCTACTTCTCCATGATGTCGGTTTCCCCTCATCCGTTTTCAGCAATCTCACTGACCGCATGTTTTATGCAGAGATTGGTCCCACGTATACTTCAAACGCTACATACGTACGTCTTCGCCTCTGCTCGATTGACCGTCAGGTGGCTTACAACAGATCATGCAGCCCCATATATTCCGCCTATCGACCCGTCCAACGCCAGTGATACCCAGAACTTCGACGATACCTTCCTGGACATGGAGCCTGTAATCAACGACGAAAATGAGAACGAACAGTCCGACACGGATCAGGATCGTCAAACGGACACCGACAGGACCGACGGTGAGGGCGAAGACTCCGTCGTGACACCCTCGCAGTCGCGTAGTCCCTCCGTGCGACCGGATGACGCTGGGATAGATGTCTTCGACGGGTATTCATTCAAGGGACGGCATTCTATCATCATGGACAATGAGGATGAGGAGGCGGACGAGGAGGATGAGGACGAAGAGGAGGACACGTCCACCAGCGCTGCTAGCACTGACAATGTACTGTTGGAACAGCAGCTGTCGCAGACTGCGGCCAACAGTGCGATCATACTGGCAGAAGGTGCAACCGCAACGGAGGAGGCCCCAGAACCCAAGACGCCGGAAGCTAAGGCGCCCGCACTACCGGAGCCCGTGGCACCCGCGAGTCCAGTCAGGGAGCAGCCAGCGGCGAAGAAAGCCCCTGCACCTCGACGCAGCCACGAGGCAGGCACAGAACGTGGACAAACCGAGACCGCTGCACGCGCCGCGCCCGAGGAGATCAAACCGGCCAAGGCGGTACCAATACCAAAGGCCCAACCCCGCCCGACTGCTGGACGGCAACGTGGCCGCAGGGAGAAGTCTGGCATTGCTGCGCTCGACCGCGACTTGTCCGACGTACACGACGAGGACGAGCTCGCGACGGAGCGCGAGGAGGAGGACGATGAATGGGACTTTGTCGAGGCGGAGGTGGTCGAGGAGCGGAACGGCGCAAAGGGGACAAGCCTCTTCGCGCGCGGCGTCGTCGATCGCTACAAGCTGGCTGTCTTCCGCAAGTCGACCCCGCGCCGCTCAGGCGGGCCGCGCTCGTTCTCAGGCATGTCGGTCGAGTCCGACGTCACAGGCTCGGAGCCGGCGGGGGACTCGCCGACGCCTGCAGACAAGCAGCGCCGCGGGCGCACGCCCGGCCTCACGTTTCGCAAGCACCCGAAGCAGTTCCTGCGCCAGCGCTCGCCGCAGGCGTCGACGCGCTCCAGTACGACCGGCAAGACGCTCACGCACTCGACGTCGGGCACGCTGACCACGTCGACCCTGGGGAGCACGGGCTTTCTCTCGCCGTCCGGCTCCGGAGCGTCTACACTGCCAAACTCGCCGTCGCTGCGGTCAAAAGAGTCGGCGCTGTCCATGGGCTCGCCGAGTGAGTCGTCCGACCAGTCGATCAATGGCGAGGGGCGGAATAACGGAGACAACACGATCCGGGGCAACTCGGTCGTGTCTATAGAGGAGGACAAGCAAAAGAGCAAGGTATTGAAGAAATACAAGGAGGGTGCGGAGAAGGTGTTGTCGATTTTCCAGTCGCCGCGCTAGTCGCGTTTCACGGCTGCACTCTGGGTCTTCTGCGTCGATCTGAAAGCTATCCTGCCGCATCTCCCTCCATGCTTATCTTTCTTTCCTGCCGCATCTCCAAATTATCACTATACAGTTCATCTATAGCTCCTATTTCCCAGCGAAGCTTACACACTCATTCGCGTTCTGAATGCCTGTGCCGGAAAGGACACATTCTTTGCTCTGCGGATTTTGTGTCCCACTCTCGTTCTTTGGTAATTTTTGAAGTAAATTGTATCTCGTACCCCATCGTTGCAATCCTGTTTAGTTACATGCATCTCATCAGCAAGTACGGCCCCCGATAGACTCCTTTCTAATACAGCAGCATTGCAGGACATTATGCAGTTTGGTGTGTCCTATTATTGAGATCCCATCGCCATGGAGTGTATAGTAAGTACAGATGTCGAATAAAAACCCGTGAATGAATGCAAAGTGTCCGACAAGCTAATCAATCGAGCTCTGCCAAGCTTTCTCTGATATTCCGCACTCTATCCTCGATGATGTCCAAGGCCGTATTGATGTCACCCACCTCTTCCCTCCAGTCGGCGATAGGTCGAGGAGAAGGGCTCAATGCCGTGCCTCCAGGAGTGTTCTTGGACGCGACCAGTTCCTCCCATAGCGCCTGAACAATCCCCTGGACCCACTTCTCCCTCTCCTCCATTCTCTTCAGCTCCTTCCTCCTTCCCGCTTCTTCCCTCCCTCCTACCATAGCCAGCGTCCAAACATTACTGATGACGAGGAATACGATAACAAAGTACAGGATCGTGGTCGAGGTCGACTGCTCCCATGCGTCACGAATGAGCTCCAGCAGGCCAGCCGTGCTCTGCTGCGCCACCTTGCACGCGCCCTCGAAAGTATCGTAGGCCCACTGGAGACCGCGTTGATCCCGCTTGAAGTCGCGAGAATTGCGGACCTGCTGATCGACAATGGATGGGCGCTCCGTGCTAGGCCTAGGCGACATCTCCGCTGCCTGGGATTCCGTCTCTTCGACGACGGAAGGGTCCACGCCCTCAGGAATGAACTCGGATTGATGCTCGTGGATATACGCCCGCATAGACTTGTCTAGGTCCCCGTGGTACTCTTTCTGCCCATCGATGGCGGACTTCTCGATGATGCCTGGGATAAAATTATCTCAGCCATGAGGCTCAGGATGCAATTTTACTGAATGCCCCACCTTTAATGAAGCTTCGCCCTGTCCACTCGACCTGAGTCGTCACCAGCACCTTCGTGGACACACCGCTGGTCCATGTTATGCATGTCCGCGTTTTCACGGAGAACACAGAGCCACTGGGGACATCCGGAGTCCGTGTCGTAGTGAGCATACAAACGTAGTTGTCGAAGTCGCAATGCAACGTTTCATCTCGTAGCTCGCACTTTGTCTGCTTTGGACCAAACCCTCCTGACAGCGGCTTTATATACGACATCTGCCGGTACAGCAGCTTCGGGTCGTCCGCAGTAGGCATCCAGTCGGAAATCTGGAGGTCTGCCACAATCGTGATTATGAACGGGGGAACACCATGGTCTGGCAAGGAAATGTACCTATCAGCTTCTGATCATGCATCATGAAGTCCTTGATGAAGCCGCTCGTGAACATGAGGTTGTATATCTGCTCCGGCGTGCCAGGGAAGACACTCTCCATCGCTACTTCGCTGAGGTGCTCTCCGTTCGTCCCGCAGGCGCATTGCGTCACCTTGTTCTGCACCTTTCCCTTCTTCTCGCCGACTTGGCTAGCCGACGGGGGTGCTATAGACCCAGTATCCGAGACAAGCATATCAATGGAGCCCCTTGGACTTTGCACCCGCGAGCCCAGGGAAGACCCCTCGGGACGCGCCAATCGCCATATATTATGCAAGACTTCCCACGTGTTGTCCCGGGACAGGAAGGACGTAAACGTGTACTTCGCGCTCTGCGACATGATCTGAATTGCGTTTGGGATGACGAACGCCGTCATGCGCTTTTCCATCGTGATGATTTCAGTCATCGGAATGGTCAACTATATGCGCGTGATGATCGTGGAGGCTCAGTATGTATGGATAATCATAGGGCAAAGTGGCTTACATCGGTGATCCAGCCGAATATGTTCGCGTGGAAGCAGACATGGTTCTCGGACACATACAGACGGCCTTGAATAAGTATCTCGCGCTGCAGGGCACATCCATAGTCTGTTGAACGTGATTGCGTCAGTGTATGCACTTCGTTGGCGGTCTGAGGCTGCATATACCCACCTTCAATGAGATAGTCGCCTTCAGGAACAGTAGGGAACAATTCATGGAAGTCCTGGTTCCGTCTAGCACTCGCAACTGCAAAACCAGTAACTGGAATGTCATCTGGATCCAGATCAAGGTCATCGTCGTCCTCCAAGCCGCTTTGGTCACCGAGAAGCTCCTGCCCCGAATGGAACGACTCGCGGTCAGATAAGTCGCTGTTCGGATAGCCTAGGGAGGGCAGCCGGGGGCGTCCGCTTCTGGAAACCTCAGATGAGCGCCGCGGACGGCGCGAAGACGTACTAGATGACGTCCCAGCTGTAGACGGCATTTCAGGTAAAACAGCCCCGGGATTAGCCATCGCCAGACCAGAAGCAGCTAGGGCTTGAGCAAAGGACCCACCGCCAGTCGTCTTACGCTTCGGGGAAATGGGAGCAAGAGACGTCGTGGACATGGCTGGCGATGACCCAGGCTGTGCCGAGTTGTGGCCGTTGTTGCCTGATTTTCGTGGCCATCCACGACGCCTTTTGGAGGACGTCGCGTTGCTATTCGTGGAATACGTCGAGGCCGCATCCGAGTTGTCTGGCGCCAGCAGACTGGTTGTGATAGTCGGGTATGTGGGCAATGTCTTGGCGGAGTAACCGGAAGAAGACGTGGATGTTGGCAGAGGGAATTCAGCAGAAGTGGGGGAAGACGTGAGGACACCATTTTCAGAGACAGTGACCTGCAGAGGGTGCACTGGAATGGATGGTACAGAGGCAGAGCGATCATGCCTGCTCTGAGACGACTCACGAGCAGGGGAAGCAGAGCCGCGGGTTTTGCTGCCTTTGCTCGCCTTCTTCACCGGCGATGGACGAAGGCTCTCCTTGGATTTCGATTCCACTACCGTCGCGGAGCGAGGATGGTTTATATTGCGCGAGCTCACCTCTGGGGCACGCGCTTTCTCGCGGAGGTTTCCCGTAGACCGAGAATGCGACAACGTATCTGACATCTGGTCGGCGAACGCAGTACGGGTACTTTCAGGTGTAGGCGTGGAAATGTTCTCGTCGTTCGTCATAGGACGGACAGAACTCAGATTAGGTAGCGGTGGCACAGGTGGTGCGGAACCATTAGAGAATTTGTTAGGAGATTGACCGGACCTGGGGGTAGGATCTTCGTCTGTTATGTCGGAGCCGTAGTTGGTGCTACGAGGCGATGGTGGGACAACCGTGACGTTGGGGAAGGACTCTGTACTCCCTTGGAAGGACGGGGTAGTACTCCCGACAGTGGTATGGCGGCGCGGTCGAGAACCGGAGGGACTGTCTGGCTCGACACTTATGGATGGCGGATATTGAGAAGACGGAGCAGGTGAAGGAGATCGTGACCTCTGCGTGTTTTGACCTATGAGGTTATGCGCAGGCGAGTTCTTCACGAACTTAGACAGGAAATTGGGCGCCATGGGTTGGGTCGGCCGGCAAAGCTATATGTTTGATCTGCATTTTCATCGGCCCAACGTTTAATAATTCATGTCCGCATAATCAGCGTGTAAGACATACGTGTAAAACGAGCCGATGGTTCCTTGACTAGACTTCAATTACGAGTCCCACTGAGCAGTGCTGACAGCCGCCCGTTGATGCTTGACAATTGATATCGGCGAGAAGAGATGCGAGAGAAAAGATGCGAGAATAGAAGTTATTGACTGCACAGGCTTGGTCACGCTAACAAAGCAGAAGAAAACAAGGAGGGAGAGTTGTGGAACGAGGAGGAGTCCAGACAGTTCGTGTTCAGACTGGCAAGACGTCGATTCATAACAGCGGCGCTTCAACGAGACCGCCAAGTCGCTTACGGCGCGTTCTAAATCAGACTGTTCTACGCACGGTCAGAGCCGCGTTCAGGCCTTGAGTGCGAAACAATGACAGTGTCAATGAGGATGTATTGAGCTATGACGAAGAGGTAGCTAGGCAATCGTTTACCCGCGGCATTTCTGCGTCTCCACATGCAAAGGCACCCTGCATCTAGCACTGAGAAGTCGAAGTTACAGTACAACATGCACAGTTGGCAAAGGCCGTTCTTCTCTCTTCTCCGTGATACTATTGGCTCCGAGGCTGATATTAAATAGACAATGGTATTGATTCTCAGCGACATATTTTACAGCTCAAACGACGCATTCTGTCACCGTGGTCTTTCTCCCGCACCTCCATCGGCTCAAGACATGCGTCCTGCTTTCAGCAGTTGCTAATGTTGACGAAACCAGGTTCAATCTGCTGTGACTGTTGAGTCTACTTGCGTTACTGCTGCACCTCGCGCATACATAGATATCGTGCACATCGGGGACATCTTGGCCGGATAGTAAGTAGAAGGTAAAGTACAGCACCTCGCATCAAGACAAGTGAGACGTTAGCAACAGCAAATCATTGTTAACGCGGTTTTCTGTATGTTGCCGCCAAAATGCAGGAAGGTATGTGCGCACTCACTATATGCGTTTGTGTGTTGAATGTTGACCGATGTAGGATAGAACTGTAAGATACAGAAAGCACTGTGTCGCGGTTTTGCTGCACACAGCATACAGCTGCATAAGCGTGTACCGAGCCGCTCCATATTGGGTGACGATCGACTCGCCACCGCCTTTTGACGGACGAGAAAGCACTGGTATCGTCCCGCTGACTCACTGACGTGCTGTAGTCAGCGCGCACGTTGTGGCCAGTGCGCAGCTGATATTTGCTTAGCGGCGGTAAAGAGGTACGCGCAACGATCGCCTCAGCCATTTGTCATTTGACGTCGTTTGGCAGGCGTGCATATGCGGAAGCAAAATGCAGTATGCTCGTCCTCGACCATCGGCACAGAGACGTGTCCGAGTGTCTGAAAGGGGATCCAAGACGTATCGAAGGCGCTGCAGTAGCGCGGTCGGATGTAAGTGGTCTGCCTAGAACGAAGACATATCATTTGTCAGGATCACATGACGAATGGCGCGATCCGATCGTTTACGGTGTCCCCGCCCTATAAATCCAGTCGAACCGCCGGTCATCTCGCTTCAAACTTGACGTTCAGCACTCACCGTCCCCTTCATACCTCTCTAACAATACATCCACCCACTCACAATGCCGGTCACGACTGTCACCTCCCTTGACCAGTTCCACAAGATCGTAAGTCGCGTGTTATCCGCGAATCTGTGCCCGCCGGCGCAGTTTGCCCCCAATCATGCCCCGCTCACCTTCGTCGCGTGCTCCCCCTAGATCAACGGCGAAAAGGTCGCCATTTTTGACTTCTGGGCGACTTGGTGCGGCCCCTGCAAGGTCATCTCGCCAATTTTCGAGAAGCTGTCCGACCAATTCCCCGACTTGGAGTTCTATAAGATCGACGTTGACGAGCAGCAGGAGATCTCGCAGGAGGTCGGCATCCGTGCGGTAAGTGGAGACATACTGAACATGCGCCCAGCAACCAGACATTTTGGAGCTACGAAACTGACCACCAACCTGTCACTCAGATGCCCACCTTCATAGCCTTCAAGAACGGCCAGAAGGTCAAAGATCTCGTTGGCGCGAACCCAGGCGCTCTCCAGGTACGCTACTAGCATGTTTCCTCAATTTAACTGTCCTGACACTGCTTTCCATGAAGGACTTGATCAAGGCCGTTTCAGCATGAATGTCCGTCCCCATCTGCGGGCGGCTCTTCACTGCCCCGCCCGATTATCGTTATCAGTCTATGAGCCTGCCGCACAGCCTATTGTACCTTGTACCAATAGACGGAGTTGATGTAACGAATGAAATGGAGGACACATGATGCGCAGATATCGTGCATTCGCGGTTACTTCACTGAGGGGCCCGCGTAGGGAATGACTGAACTACATGAAAGTGAGTGAGTTTTCGAGCTCCAGACGTCATCTATTTTTGCAGATCTACCCCCGATGAGGTAGCGATCACGAGATCCGTGAGATCACTCGACGCGTCGATCAGTCGCGTCTGCGTTCTAACTCTCAGCCACTCTCAGCTGCACGACCCGACGACGGTGCTAAAGGCCGCCGGCGTGTGATAATCTCTCGATGTAAAAACAGGACATGGTGGTTGCATTCATATAACAAGCTCGACACCGAGAAGATGCGACTAAGAATACATATGGCACACTGGCTGCTTACACTCAGGACACACTCATGCAAACAGGTCACAAGGCAGTGAATTCCCGACGGGGCCTGTCGCGAGAACAACTCGCGGGATTGCCGCTCTTGAAGCTTGTCATCCAAGTCAAGAAGTGGTCCGGTGTTATGGCCACAACAGGCCCTTATGGAAGGAAGTGCTTCACAAGCTTCGGCCACCTGGCAGTGTGCAAGATGCACCCTCCGCTTCAGTGACACAATTGTGACGTCAATGCTTTCTATACCCGTCCCTGAACGTAGCCGGAGATCAACACTGCGCGTAAGAGAGCCATTATTACGACACCACACAGCCCATCACGTACACGGGGCCAGGACTCCACAGGACTCGAGCATCCCACCCGCCCAATAGACAGCTACATATAACTAAGCAGCTTCAAATAACCCTGCCATGGGAACTGCATGCTAAAGGGAGCCAAGGAAGGTCCTGGCCTGGAGGAAGTTATTATGTACACGCACAAACTAAGTTACTTCAGTGCTATTTGCGCCCAACGCCGACAACAGCTTTGGCAATATGTTCACATGCACACACCAGTGTTCCTCCAAGTGAACAAATTCTGACATTGGCTATTGGTCATGAAATACAGGTACATTGCACGATGGACAGAGCAAAGAATGTATGGAGTATCATCGATGTAGGGGTGCGATGGGTATGTGTAGAATAGGATAGCATAACGAGCGCATGTAGATACGAATACGGATACCAGTGCCAGCACCCGCCGCAGGGCGCGATGTGAGGTGGCATCCATCCAGAGAGCGAGAATATGACAAAGGGCGGAATGCAAGAGGAACCATGATTAAATCGGCTAATCCGAGTCCATGTCTAGCCTAGAGCCGCCAGAGCGCACGACCCCCGCCCTGGTGGCGTCCAGGATGCGGTGCAGCTTCTGCGTGCCAGCGAAACCAAGTCACAAATAAAAAAAGGAGGGGAAGGCATGACGCACGAAGGCAACACCAGTACCATCAATCATGCAGGCCGCGCACCGGCCTTCCAGCTGGAAGGCGGTGGCTGGCGTTTGTTCGCACCTGACGTCGCGGCCGGCGCATCGCCTGTTGGCGCTGTGCGTGTGCGCGGTCGAGGGCCCGGCCGGATCTGCTGGCCCGCCTGCCCGAACGACTCTGGGCGGGACGGCATCGGGGCCGGCTGGAAACCGTACGCTGAGCCGCGGAACGCCATCGACGAGCGGTCGTTCCCGCTCGGGTCGCCGTACGCGCTGCGCGAGCCCCAGCCCACGCCCCGTCCGTTGACGCCGAGCTCGCTACCGGCGACGCTGCCGGCATACATAGACTGCGCGCTGTTCGGGAACATCATCCCGCCCCATCCGCCCTGCATCGGCATGCCCATACCACCCATGCCGCCCATACCCATGCCGAAACCCGCTTGGTTCGGGTACATCGGGCTCATAGAGGGCGTGCCAAATCCGCGTCCGCCCGATCCACCGACCATGCTTGCGGCGACGGTAGAGCCACGCTCCCATTCCTCCTCGGCGGCGGCCATAGCTTGCTGTGCGACCGCCATCTGGAACGCCTGCTTGGCGAACATCATGGCCTGTTGGTGCGCGGCAAGGAAGGCGGGGTCTGCATTTGGCGGCATATTGGGGTACATGAACTGTTGAGGGCTGAGCATACCAGGCTGTGTTTGCCATTGCATAGGAGAGGCGGAGTTCATGCCCGGATTCATCGGAGCCATCGGGGAGGGCGAAAGGCCGCCCATCATCGAGGACATCATGCTCATGCGTGGCGGCATATTGTTCAGCGGGCGATCCTCGTCGTCATCATCGTCATTGACCGTAGGCCCATGACCATTGACAATCCGACCGAGCTGCACAGACACCGTCATTAGCATCGCAGCGCTGAATAACGCGACGTGAGCACATACCTCGAGCGCTGCCTTGGCCTCGCTTCTCCTACGCTCCCGCCTCCGACTCTCTTCTGCACTCGCACTCGCAGCCGCGCGCTCTTCCTTCTGCTCCTCCCGAGCATCCCTGCCCCTCTCCCTCTCACGCTCAGGCTCGTTGAACGTCACGCTCGCGTTCTTTCTGTGCGCTCTGCGTGCCGCAGTCGCGTCGGTTCTGCGCTTGCCCTGCTCCCGGTCCTTCGGGGCGTAGCTCACCTCGCTCCCGTCGACAGGCGTGATCGGCGTCCGCCCGCTGCTCGACTCCCCCGTCGAGCTTGCCGGGCTGTTGCCTCGAAAGCCCGGCCCTGCGAACGGCTTCACCGGCGGGGCACCCAGAGGGCCCACCGTGCTTGCACGCAGGCGTGGCTGAGAGTTCCGCGATGCACCCGGCGCCGCCGCAGGAGACGAGGTGTTGGAGAGCGTAGACACCGACGAAGACGACACGCGGCTGCTCGCGTCGCCCGCGCCGCTGCCGGAGCTTGTGTTCCGCAGCGCAAAGGGGCGCACAGGCACGGGTGCTGCTGTCTCTTCCATCGTGGGCTTGAGCGACTTCTGGCCAACGGTGGCCGCACGGCTGCGCGCTGCACGTATAGCGGGGCTGGACGTTTGTGAACTCGGCGCAGGTGAGGAGCGCGCATTTGGCGAGGGGCTTGCGAGCAGGCCACCGCCGGTGAAACCCCTTGACGGTGGCTTGCCGTTGTCTGGAATGAGCGGGGCGCGGCCAGAAGGCATCGAGGGTGCAGGGGACTGCATCGTCGACGTGTTTTGCGACTGCGTGAGTGCCTGCCAATGGGTCTGCGACTGAACCGTCGCTGCTGCACCAGACAGGCTCGCCGGGCTGAGGGTGTGCGATGCAAGGCTCAGCTGCGACGCGGGACGCGACGTCACGCTGAACGCAGGAGGGGGCGATCGTTCGCGGATCGGCGTGGGCACGATGGGCGCAGGATCCGAGAGGTCCTTGACGCCTTCCATCGCGTTCGGGGTCGAGAGCGAGCGCCCGTTCTGTTTCTGTCTAGTTGGCGAAGGTGGCTGCGGGGTGACGGGCGACGGCGGCAGGCGCAGGACTGCTGGGGCGGGGTCAGAGAACGCGGCGAACTGCTCGACGGGCGCGGTCTGGCTGCGTTTCGGCTGGCGGCCGCGCCCGGCCTTGTCGTCGTCCTTGGCCGGGAACTCGTGAGAGGTCGACGAGCGTCCGCCCGCGACGGTCTGCGCGAGGCGAGCGAGTCGATCGTTCAAGGTCGGCTTCTCGGTCGACGACAACGAACTCTTCTCCTTATCCTTGTCAAGCTCTTTCTCTTCATTACCTCGTTCGTTCTCCTTCCCTATGTCCTTGATATTCTCCTTGTTGCGCTCGCGCTCCTTCCCGCTCAGATTCTCCTTCGCCGGCGGCGTGGGCGCCTTCTCGTCATTCGGCGATGCCTGCTGATACAATGATGGAGGTGCCAGCCCTGAGATGTCAATCAGTGGCTTGGGCGGTACACGGCTGCGGGACGCAGAAGTCGAGTTCGACATCGCACTGCCTGGCCGCTTGGGCGGCACGAATCTCACGAGGGGCGCATCGTCCGAGTCGTCACTGTCGCTTGACGAATCATCGCTTGTATCCGCCTTGGGCGCAGGTTTCTTGCCAGCTACGTCTGTGAACGCAAAAGGCGAAACCCAAGAAATATTAGCCAAAGCACTGGCTCGAAGTGAGGACAAGGCGACTGACCCTGGGAGACCGCTTTGGCAGCAGCCAGCATCGACGCACGTCTCGCTGCAGCGTTCGGCATGAGCGCACTCGTCGACTGCGACGCGCGGGCGCGGTTGTACATGCTCTCCTGTCCACTGGTCGAGCTCTGCACCGATGTAGACGGGGTCATTCTTGGCGGCGTGGGTCGCGCACGATGTCCAAGCTCGTTTGACGTGCCTTTGCCTACAGACCTTGGCGTACCCGACGCTGCAGCATTCGTAGCGCGCTTCGGGCGGAGTGTGGACGAACCAGCCGAATCCTCTGCTTCGTCGTCCTCCTCTTCCGACTCTGACGACGTCGTGTCCGACGTAGGAGAAACCGGGGAGCGGGGCATGCTACGGCGGCCGGATTGCGGAGACGCGGCTTGCGAGAGACCCGAAGGAGGACGCACGACGGGCGACACGTCGCCGCGTGCGAGATCTGTGGACGATGGGGATGGGCTGTTGGCTGCGCTGCGACGTGCAGCTTCGCGAAATGCGGCAACGCTGATGCGCTGCGACGAGTCCGCAGAAGCGATGCTGCTGCCGCGCGGTCGGGACGGCGGCGTCATTCCAGCAACGGACAGTGAAGACGGCGGCCGCGGAACCTCGCCGGGGCCGGGAGACACGGGACGGACATGGCGGAAGGACTTGAGGTTGAACGAGTCGTCCGGGGACACGACGTCGGGAGGGGCAACCTTGGACTTCTTGCGCTCGCGAGTGGCCCAGGCGAACATGCCCCTGTGCTTTTTTGGTGGGGGCACAGGTACCACAGTGTTGGATGGAGAGACTTGTGGATTGAGGGAGATGGCGTCGCGGGAGTTCGTGCGTGCATGAGAGAGGTTGTGCTCAGTCGTCGTGGGCAGCGAGCGGGTGGAGCGCGCGCTGCTAGGCTCTGCGTAGGCGGCGAAGAGGTCAGAGCGTGAAGGCGGTGGGCCGAGGTAGTCGTGGCCAGACTCGGACTTGGAGGAGGAGAAGCGGGGCGGGCGGGAGTGCGAGTTCAGGTCTGGGGGGCGGAGGAAGCCGTTGTCGTCTGTGTGCGGGCCCGGCGGAGGGTGGGACTTTTTGCCTCTGAAGCCGAGGATCAGCTTGCTGGACGATGCGCCGTTTGGGCCGGAGTAGACGGAGCTGGCCTGCACAGAGGCCTGCACGGAGAGCTGGTCGCTGTCGGAGGTGGAGGAGGTGGTGGATTTGGAGGCAGGGTCCGGGGGCGGTCGTGATTTATCGCGCTTTGAAAACAGGCCGAGGAGAGCCATGGCTGTGGAGGGAAAGGCGGAATAGAGAGCGAGCAAGGATGCCCACGCGGAGAGAAGGGCGTGCGGGCGACAGCAGCAGGGGCCGGGAGAGTGAGGGAAACGCTTGGAGACGCGACGGTGACCGCTCTGTTTTGGACTTGTTTGTATGACGGTTGTTTGTCGGCCTCTTGGCAGCTGCCTCCAGAGCGTCCGCCTCGAGTCCCTGCAATGGGCAGTAGAAACAGAAAACAGACAACACCAGATGGGCGATCAACCGAACGCCGTGCAGCGCCTGAACCGTCGCTGGTGTTGCGCCCACGCCTAATATACCGCCCAATAGGCGTCTTGCCTCCTTCCCTCTATCACCCCCGCCGGCTCTCCTCTTCGCCTTCCCTGAAATATGCACCCATCATGTTCTCTCGCTGTCGCCAAATGACCGCTATATACTGCTCCCTATCCTCTGTAAACCCCCCTTCTAGCCCACGGCACCTGCCTCACGCTCTTCCTGCCATCCGCGCATTGCACCATGTGAGTCAGCTCCCAATGCTTTAAACGATGTACATGCTCTATCGAGCCTCCCGATATCACGTCACTCACGTCCACGGTGGTGACTCTCGCAAGCTCACTGGTTCTATCGCTGCCTCGCGTCTCCTCCGAAGCATGTTGCACGTGGGTCCCCCTGCTTCCCGTCCACGCTCTTGCAGAGTGACACCGAGAACGATAACATCGTGCTCGGCCCATCCCAGCTTTGCTGCCTTTCCTCGGTCCTTTGTTGCGTCCGGCCGCCGCCATGTATAAGTAGTAAGCTGCCAGACATATGTCGACTGCATTAGCTGCTTCCCCGCGGACCCGGGCTAGAGCGCACACCGCGCTGCCTCATAGTGGAGCCACAATCGCACGTTCCCGCCCTCTCGACACAAGGCCGTTGGCACACGTTTATTCGAGGGGAAGCGGATTAACCAGATTGAGCTTCCACACCATTGGGCAAGTCTGCCTCTAATGTCTATTCCCGTCATGGAAGCTGTCCCGCGCCGAGTCTTCCGAACAAGTTCCCTGCTTCCTACTTTGAGTCTTTGACAGGGTGGCGTTGAATGTTTTGGCTGATCTTATGTGGCGTCCACGTTATCACGCCGCCTGGCCTTGGGAGACAGCAACGTAGAGGCTACGGGATGGGCCAGCAGGTTTCTCGAGGAGAACTGCTAGGAACGACCAGAGTCCATATGGCTACCCGTGAGACTGGCTCGGTGATTCAACGAATGATCACTGATTGATTCCATCACGTCTTCGAGTTGTCCAATTTAGGTGACTCACACACCCCCTTGCGTGTTCTACTCACCGTCCAGCAGCACCCAGCTCGCCTATGGCCCCGCTTGCCGAAGCTTAGCCTGTCTTAAGAATGATGAGCAACCTTGCACTCCTGAGCTGAACGAGCGACTCAAAGGCGCGTGTTGGGATATGCATATAGCAATTTCCTCTTGCTTATGTGTCCTGTCTCATCATATACGTGCGAAGCTGCTCATATAGTGGCCCCTTCCGCTCTATCAATGCTGAGATGCGCATACAATGATTACGGCTCTGCGTGAAGATGCTTGATTCATCTCTTGCATTCTTCAGCGTCGAACAACGTCAGAGGCGAATCAAGCATCTGCAAACTGTGGGACTCAGCGGGTTAATCAGTGCTTTAAGATGACTGCAGTGATTTGTGACGTATTTCTCACCAGTGCCCCTGCCTATCCTTCATAGCATGCTAATAGCGCGAAATGCAGCGTCGTGGCGCTCAGTCGAATGCTTTCTTCACTGTGCAGGGCCTTGCCAGATTGTTCCAAGGAGACGAGGGGGAGTGAAAAAGAAAAAGAGGACTTGCTGCTGACGGGAGGCAGCTTTTGTTTAGTGTGTAGAGGAAAATAACACAGCGGGGAGCACATATGACATCATAAGACAAAGTGTCGATCGGGCGAACGATGGCAAGCCGAACCGGGTAAGTGCCTGCCCCAAACAGGCAAGCGCGATCGGAGAACCCCCGTCGGCGGCAGCGATGATCGGCGCGCGAAGCAGCCTTTGCGAGCGTACTCTGTTGATGCGGTCTTCGTCCCATGTCTATCGCTGCACCACTGAGTAGCCTTCTGCACTGCGTTTCGGCGTTTAACATGGAAACATCAGCGGAACCATGAATAGCTAGTTCCCGAAGACGAACAGCATGTTCTAAAACCTTGAGTGGAGATTAAATCCAAAGATCGGACGAGGCGACCGTGGCCTTTCGGGGGCTGACGCGCTTGGCTCCGCGATGGTGCACTGTCGGTGATATGTGGCCGGGGTCAGTAAACCCATCTGCCTTACAAAAAGTACAACGCTGTATGTCAGAATTAGTCGGAAAGTTGTGTCCTTCATATAGCCCGGCCGAGTAGTGGATATGCTTTGCAGGTGAAGTTCGAACGATTACTGTATATTATGAACGTGCCATGCACGCCGGGATTCGACTCATGTGAGATCCTCGAGGCCGCCCGGATCGGAGATTGCATTGTGTTGTGAAGCGCGTCTGACGTCCGGCGTCCATGACACGCGGACGCTGACCTGCGCGGCCGGCACTGCATCATGGCCGGTGACACATCCATCCCTTTTCAGTCCGCCCGACTCCCCGGCCGACGCAGTCACCAGCCCGCCCGCCCTCTCAGCCACACCCCGCCCCTTGTAACAATATACGTTCGGCATGGGGAAGACGCACCAGGTCCTCACAGCCCCCGCCCCGGCCACCGAGATCGGCCCCGTGCGCACGTACACCGCGGAGCAGCAGGACAAAATTAGAGCTCTGCGCGAGGTGCGTACTCCACACCTTTCTTCCCACCGGCCGCCAACGAACCGCTCCTACAGTATGCGGACACGCTGCTGCTTCCAGAGTCCGACTCATATCACGAGTGGGAGAAGCGCTGGCTCGACCGCTGGGACACCGTGCCCCGCTATATGCGCGCAGCCAAGTGGAACCTCGACGACGGCAAGCGGCGCATCAAGGGCACCCTCGAGTGGCGGCGCGAGTTCAAGCCCGACCTCATCCCGCCAGACGAGGTCAGCTGCGCTTCCCTCTGACTCCAGGCACTGACCGCCCTGATGCGCAACCCCAGGTCAGGATCGAGAGCGAGACGGGCAAAATGTGCGGCCCGGATCCCTGTGCATGCTTCTCTCCGCTCACGCTCACCGCCCCTTGCTTCGCGATGACGCAGCATCCTGAATGGCTTCGACAACCAGGGCCGCCCGATCCTCTACATGCGTCCCGGCCGCGAAAACACGGAGACGAGCCCGCGCCAGCTCCGGCATCTCGTCTGGTGCCTGTGAGTATCTCCTTCACCGTGCCAGTGCGGTCAGAGCGTGGTATAACGATAACGGCTGCTCCCAGGGAGCGCGCGAAGGACTTCATGCCGCCGGGCCAGGACTCGCTCGTGATCATCGTCGACTACAAGAGCACGACGCTGCGCACGAATCCGTCCATCTCCATCGCGCGCAAGGTGCTCACGATCCTGCAGCAGCACTACGTCGAGACGCTCGGCCGCGCGCTCGTCGTGAACCTGCCCATGCTGCTCAATTTCTTCTACAAGGGCATCGCGCCCTTCCTTGACCCCATCACGCGGGACAAGGTGTGTGCCCTGTATCTTCGGCAGCATGGCCCCCCGATGCGATCCTTTCCAGATGCGCTTCAACCCGGACCTCTCCGAGCTCATCCCGAAGGAGCAGCTCGACGCAGATTTTGGGGGCGATTTTGAGTACGAGTTCGAGCCCGTGAGCTACTGGGAGCAGGTTGTCTCGTGAGTCGGCCTCCGGTATTAGCATTTGCGTTGTATGGCTGATCAAGGGCTGCATCAGACATTGTCGCATTGCTTCCGACGGAACGCGTGTCGAGGAGCACAAACACGAGCAAGGGGAGCGGCCTGCTGACCGCGAGGCCGAGAAAGCGGACATGAGCACGGACGAGGTGGACAGCCCGTACGTATGATATACCTGGTGACGTGCATTTTCACACGGGCTAATGTCCTCGGGCGAATATATAGAGATCGAGAGGCAAACACAGCGAGACTGTCCGAGTCCGTGGAGGAGGTCGCCGTTGCTGCATGACGAGTCGTTGAGGCCATTTAATGTGCTCGTCGATAGATCACTGATTTAGTAGTCATATCGTATTTATTGCTTGCAATCGCAGATATCTTGACTTGTACTGCGTAGCATTGTTCCGCCCCTCTCACTATTTTCTCGCATTGTCCACTCAACACCGTCGATAGCAAAAATAGCTGAGTTCTGTTACAACTCCTAGAAAACGGCATCGACTACCACTGCCTCAGAAATGTTACTCTATAAGCGCGCCTCGCACGCACTTACAAGAGCCCAAGTAATGGACTTGAGAGGTCATAGTGCTCTGCGTAGATCTCAGTAACGGCCGAACTTCACGTTCGTCTACGGAGTAGAGCGAGCGCATGCTGTCCTGCACACGCAGCGTCGACAGCAGCCCACGAGTTGCCTACTCGTCTCACGACGACAGTGGGCGTCTTCACGTCCTCGTCATGCCCTAAGCCAAGCTCGCCGACTACCTGTCTACCCCACGCGTACATCGCGCCATCTCTAGTGATAGCCAGGTTGTTGTTCGTGCCGCAAGCTATGTGCACGACCGGGTCATCCGCGTCTGGGAACGCCACACGCGCCGGCTCAGGGAGGAAGCCGGGGAACGCGCGGTCCGCGAACGCAGGATCGTCGTCTGCGAGGCCCAGCTGCCCCTCGTCCGCGATCCCACACGCGTACACCCGCCCGTCCGACGTGCGGAACAGCGTGTGGTGGCTCCCGCCCGCGATCTGGACGACCGTCGCCCCGCCCAGCGCCGCCCTGTCCAGGCGCCGCACCCTGCGCGGCGCCGCGACGACCTGGTCGGCAGCGCCGCGGTAGCCCGTGCCTGTCTGGCCTCTGGCGTTGATGCCCCACCCCCAGACCGTCCCCGCGGCGTCGACGGCGAAGGCGTGGTTCTCCCCCGCGCCGACCGCGACGGCGGGCTGGGTGACGCGCCCGAGCACGATGCGGCGCGGCGCGGTCCCGTGCGCTCTGTGCCAGTCGAGCACGCGCCGGCCGAGCTGGCCGTGCGCGCCCGAGCCCATCGTGTACACGCTGCCCTGCGCCGTGAGCAGGAGCAGGTGGTCGTTCCCTGCGGCGGCGGCGACGATCTTCACACCTGCGAGGGCGGGAAGGAGGGTGGGTGTGAACTGGTGCATTGTGTTGGGGGAGAAGCCCACGGGGCCTTGTTCGCCCTGGTCATTGCGCTGGTTAGGAACACGCACGAGGTGGCAGCGCGAGAGTGCCTGTTACTGACTCGGAAGGTGCCCCAGACGCGCAGCGCGCCCGTGTCGCTGATTGCGGCGGAGATGCTGTCGCCCGCGACCACTTTGACCGCACGAAAGCGCTCATTGACGAGGCTTTGAATGGGTACGGGCACAGTGTTCGGCAGGTGTGTGGACTCGTCTATTTCCAATATTCGGGAGGGTTCTGCAGGATCGGTCGTGTGTATGGTGACTCGGCCGAGCGCAGCATTGTCGTTCGCGCCGCATGACCACACCTAGAGCAGCGGACACCCAGTGGACTAGCGGATTAGGCGTTGAAACAGGATTGCACGTTTGGCAGTAGCGTACCGTTCCCGTTTCATCTACCATGAGCGAGTGCATCCCGCCTGCGGCGACCGTCTCTAGTCCCGCACCAACGCCACCAAGCGCGTTCTCCGCCATCTTCTGTTCTACGTAACGGTTGCACCTTGGTTTACGAATGATGGGAATGTTCTCAGCCAGATCCAGGGATAGCCCAAGCTGTCCTGCGTCCCCGAGGCCCCAGCCAAAGAGCTGCGGGGCGGGACGGAGACCTGGCGGCGGGGTTGGGAGCGGGAGTGGGAGGAGCGGGTTCATGAAATCACCTCGGCGCCACAAGTAAGAGAACAAGCACCAATAAGTTGAATTCATTGGGTACCTGTAAGCTCTCCGAGTAGAGCGGGCCTGAGTCAGCGTATGGCAGTCCCGCAGTTCATCGTACTCTGGCTGTCATAATGCAGGGGGACTAAACGGATAGTAGTCCAGATACAAATTTAAAGCAGCCATTGCTAAGTGGAAACACCGAGCATAAGAATTTCGGTACACCAGTGGTATGGGGATGATGTTGTGCGAGACGGGCGCTTGGACCTACAAGGACCTATTTGCTATTATTTATGCAGCCTGGATAAGTCTTGTCCCATCACGCGAACAAATTTGGTTTCGATCATTGCACGCTCTACGTTCTCCCGTTCGCCCACCATGCATCTCATGTACACGCTCGATGAGAACGGCAGCAGAGTGTATACTCTGAAGGTGAGTAGCGTGTATCAGTCGCACCTTGCTCAGTAACATCTGAGACGGTACCTGCAGAAACTCACGGACTCGGGCAAGATTACCAAGTCTGCTCACCCAGGTTGGCACCCTGGTGCTGGTTTCCATCATCATGCGAATAGCTGATGGTTACGTTGTTGCGATACAGCCCGTTTCTCGCCTGATGACAAGTTCTCGCGGCACCGAGTGACGATCAAAAAGCGCTATGGCATCCTCCTGACGCAGCTCCCGGCCAAGCCGATGTAACGTCGGGCCTGGGAGTAAGACGGACGACATCACTCCAAAATTGGTGTGCGAGCACCGCAGCCGCTCCCCGCGGTAGACAGCGATAAGAGAATTGTTGGTCTCGAGGACCGCGATAGAGCGACCCCGCGATTGGACGCAGTCAGAGGGTGCTTGGGCGATGTAGAGAGGGGTTGCAGGCTGGGCTGCGGTTTGTAATGTGTGCTACGAAATGTGATGAGTATCGTGTGTCTGTATGCTATGGTATGGCTGATCGCTGAGTTGCTTCATGCCTTCGTCCCATGTTTCATGGCATGGAGTTATGGATGGGACCATTTACTCCACGAAGATGTCTGTATCGACGTCACTCATGCCACCCGCAACATTACCCGACGCCGTTACATATCAACAGCTAGGCTGGGCCATATCTGCAATGTGAGATGATGACTTTGGGCTTGCGCAAACTACTCGAACCACGTTCTCTGCGGGTTCCCTTCCGCGCTCAGCAGCGGTTCACCAGTTACTTTCGAGTATTTTCTATAGTATTGTACTACGTCGAAAGTATAGCATAAATCGCCGATACTAATAATTATTCACAGCAAGTTTGACGATAAGTCTAAAATGATTTCTTGCTGACAGCATAAGAATATTGCCTAAGATAGATTACGTGAGAACAGATTTGGCGAGGTCGCGGGCTGGCAGCAGACTTCGCAAGCATTCGTCGAGTTGTTCTCACGTTCTCTTTGCCTCATCCCTCCGCCCGCTCGCGACACTGCATGCGCTGACCCTCTCCGCCGTCTCCAGTAGCTATGGACCGTCGCGGCCAGCGTCCCCCGCGCTCAGCGAGACCACCTCAGCAGTCTCCCCCTGCCGACTACGAGCAGCATGGCCAGTACCGACCCCCATTGGCTCAGACTGGATCTTCCGCAGGCATCTCTTTTCGCGAGAATGAGACTGGCGATCGTCATGATACCTTAGATCCCGACCGTCAGCGGGCATACACTGCATACAATAACCAGCTTTTGTCGCCGGGCTCAGAAATGGATCCCGCGTATGCTGAGGCTGGCGGCGTCGGCGCGAACGTAGGGAGGAAGAAGAGTCTTGTCCGGCCAGACCGCGAGAAGATCGAGCCTGGTCACAGGCTATGGCACTACCGCAACCATGCCGCCCAGATGGAGGACGAGGGTGGCGGAAATGCTCAACCGTCTAGTACGTCCTGTCAACATGTGTACAAATCGTGCCGTTGACGCGCCCTCACTAGCCACTGGTAACGCTCCCCAGAGGGAGCAGCTCCGGCGTGGCAAGTCTATTCTCGGCCGAGAGGAAGATGTCCACGAGTCTGGCCTAGCTTTGTTCAAACGGGGCACGACCCTGCGTCGGAAGAAGGTACCCACAGCGCCGGTCTCCGAGAAGAAGCGCAGTTGTATGGACAAGTTAGGACCAGGTCCCAAAGGTCCCTGGTTCATGTACTGTTACATTATCACTTGTCTCGTTCCACCTCCATTGCTCCGGGCATGTGGTAAGTCCGCACCAACAGGTCTTCTCGTTGCGCGCTAAATATGTCATTTCAGGCATTCGCACACCGGAGCAGATTCGGGCATGGCGGGAAAAGATGGGCCTGATGACCATCATCGCCTGTCTCATGGCTGTCGTTGGTTTCATTACATTTGGTTTTACGCGAACGGTGTGCGGTACGCCGCCGAACCGGTACCACATAGGCTCAGTGGAGAACTCCTCAGTCATCATCCACGGATACGATTACGACTTTTCCGACTTCCACCATCCCGCAGTGGGCAACTTCGATGGCAATACAAATCCGCTTCTCGTGGGCAATTGGCATGCCGCAGGCGCTGACATCTCGTTCATGTTTCAGCAAACCGGTGGCTCGTGTTCCGGGTACTTTACCAAGGCGGGCGACTCCACGATCAACGGTAGCACCAAAGATCCAGAGTGGTACTTTCCGTGTAATGTCTTTCCTCAGGGTTCTACTGCCAACCCTAACGAGACAAACTACGGTTCCTCGACGACATGCCATACATCCTCGAGCGCGAGGCAGCAGCTTGCTTCTATGTCTCCCAAGGGCCAGGTTTACTACACGTGGGATGACCTCGCTGCTTCAGATCGAAATCTTGCTGTATATGATTCGTAAGTGGAATGACACGGGTTGCTGCAAATACTCATTGTGGCGTCTCTTAGAATTGTACTCGATTTTGACCTGCTCAAGTGGCTCAACACTAGCTACGTGCAGTACCCGTCGCTACTGGATGAACTCAAGCAGGCAAATGGGACGTTCAATGGCAAGGATCTGACAATGTGGTTCCAACGCGCGAACCAACACGACCTTGCTCTATGCTTGCAACAAGTCATCAAGGTCGGCTATATTGATACGGACACCATTGGTTGTGTCGCTTCAGAGATCGTGCTTTACGTATCGCTTGTGTTCATTATCGGAGTGGTCGGCATTCGGTTCGCCATCGCTATATTCTTCTTCTGGTTCATCTCTTCAAAAGTCGGAAACTACGGCAACGAGACCTATCAGCAACGCCGTCAGCGCATGATGGAGATCGAGGACTGGACGAACGACATTTACAAGCCTGCCCCGAGCGGTTATCGACCCAACGTGTACAAGAACGGTGTCGCGAAGAACGCGAAGAGGAAAACTTTTCTGCCGAGTACTTCGCGGTTTACGCCGGCGGAGACCATGATCAAGGGCGGCATGGGGGGTCGTACATCGACTGCATACGGCATGCTCGAGCCCATCCCGTACAAGAGGGCCGGGACGACGACGAGCATGTACGGCTCAAATAGCGGCAAGAGCCTCTCCAAGCTCGTCCCTCCCGACACGCCCGGTTACCGCAACTCCAAGAGTTCGATCTCGCTCGCAACCGATGGGACGCGCAACCTGTTCACAGATAGTCCTTGTCCATTCCCACTACACAACGTCGTCCCGCAACCTCCGCCTGATTACGAGCCGTTCAACTTCCCGCTGGCACACACCATCTGTCTTGTCACCGCCTACTCCGAGTCCGTGGAAGGTCTTCGCACGACGTTGGATTCGCTCGTGACTACCGACTACCCGAACAGCCACAAGGTGATCCTGATTGTCGCCGACGGTATGGTAAAGGGTGCAGGGAACTCTATGACGACACCGGAGATCTGCATTACCATGATGAAGGAATTTATCACCCCACCAGAGGAGGTTGAAGCGCACTCGTACGTCGCCATTGCCGATGGCCACAAGCGGCATAATATGGCAAAGGTCTACGCCGGCTACTACGACTACGACAATGCCACAATCGAGATCACTAAGCAACAGCGCGTCCCGGTCATCCTTGTCGCGAAGGTCGGCAACCCGCTCGAGGCCGGTGAAGCGAAGCCGGGCAACCGAGGAAAGCGCGACTCGCAGATCGTACTCATGTCGTTCATGCAGAAGGTCATGTTCGACGAGCGTATGACAACATTCGAATACGAATTCTTTAACTCGATCTGGCGCGTCACGGGTATCAGCCCTGACCGGTACGAGATGGTGCTATGTGTGGATGCCGACACCAAGGTATTCCCGGATTCCCTCAGTAGGCTGGTCGCATGTATGGTACAGGACTATGAGGTCATGGGTATTTGCGGGGAGACGAAGATCGCCAATAAATCCGAGACCTGGGTTACCATGATTCAAGGTGCGGTATACCGACTTCTTGATATGAAATCACAGATCTGACCATCGCTTCTTCTCAGTCTTCGAGTACTTCATCTCGCATCACATGACAAAGGCCTTCGAGTCGACGTTTGGCAGCGTCACTTGTTTGCCCGGCTGTTTCAGCATGTACCGTATCAAGTCTCCCAAGGGCGAATCTGGCTACTGGGTCCCTATCCTGGCTAACCCTGACATCGTCGAACACTACTCCGAGAACATTGTTGACACCTTGCATAAGAAGAACCTGCTGCTGCTCGGAGAAGATCGATACCTCACGACCTTGCTTCTGAAGACGTTCCCGAAGCGGAAGAACATCTTCTGCGCATCCGCGGTTTGCAAGACGATCGTGCCTGACACCTTCGGGGTTCTTCTGTCACAACGTCGTCGGTGGATTAACTCAACCGTGCACAACCTGGCCGAGCTTGTACAAGTCAGGGACATGTGCGGCACTTTCTGTTTCTCCATGCAGTTTGTCGTGGGTATGGAGCTTGTGGGCACACTTGTGTTGCCTGCTGCCATCTCGTTCACACTATACCTCATCATCGAGTCTATTGTCCCGCATCATCCTAACACGACCATCCCGCTCGTGCTGCTCGCCATGATCCTTGGTCTTCCGGGCGTCCTCATCGTCGTCACATCTTTCAAGGTCGCATACGTCGGATGGATGGTCATCTACCTTCTCTCCCTCCCCATTTGGAACGGTGTTCTACCAGCTTATTCATTCTGGCACTTTGACGACTTCTCATGGGGTCAAACGCGAATGGTGGCGGGCGAAAAAGCTGGTGACGCCGGCCACGGCGACAAGGAGGGAGAGTTCGACTCAACACACATCGTCATGAAACGCTGGGCAGAGTTCGAGCGCGAAAGGCGCTGGAAGAGTGGCAGCCAGTCAAGAGACTCTACGGTCTTCGATTATCGCTCGAACTCGCCGAAGAGGTACGCTGCATCTTAGTTACATGCATTATTGGCTGACCAGATCACGCATTGCCAGGGATGGCAGCAGACGTCCGTCACTGTCGTCGACAGCCGAGTACCCGAACGTGCTGCCGCAATTCGATTCTGATACATACGAGTCATCGAGCTTTGCCCCGCCCCGCCCACGGAAAGATAGTAGCCAGCTACTCATGCTTCCTGCGCCGCTGTCTGTCAACCGTACGCCCGCGTCAGTAGCCACCGCATCAGTGACCACGTCTGGTGTCTCCCGCTCCAGTGATGAGGGGTCCGATCTCGGCTCATCGCGCGGGCTTGTCTCCAGCCCACAGGAGTACACAGATCTCCACGACGCGATGTCTCCACGGTCGTTCGGACAGCCACAGGAACAATACGGACAGCGCCACTCACAACAGCAGTACCAACAGCAACATGCCCATCAGTCATACTCCTCGCAGCAATATGCACAACCGCAGTACCCCCAAACACAACCATTTGAGGCTCGTGTCGCTCGAACCGCGACGGCGAACAGTGGCGCGATACGCCATGCGACGAGTCCTACTCAGTATCCGGGCGAGACCTACAATCCCTACGGTAACCAGGGTGGCTACATTGACGAGCCGTATTCTCCCTTCGCCACAAACGAGCCCGATGAGATATCGCCCGTATCTCCCCCACCACCTCCAAAGCCTGCGCCGACGAGGTCTCGAGGAGTTAGCTTGGCTGACAACGGCCCCACACCTGGACCAGGAGGAGTGCGGAGAGTGTCAAGACAGACGGGCCGTCGTGCATCGGCCCAAGCGCCTCAAGCGCCTGCGCAGAACCGTTACTCACGGTCATCGACGTCGCCTTATGGCAACCTTCCGCCGGGTGCTGCACCGCCACAACAAGGCTACGGCTATTGATTGCGTGCGTACATCTCGTGTACTATATGGCCAGCATGACTAGTCCACGGACCGCCTGTCCTTCCTGGATTCAACGCCCTCTTTTCGCAGTGAACTGACTTGAACTTTTTATATTTGTCTTTATCGATGACCTTCCCTTCGTGATCGGTGCACATGGACCACTTGATCGTTCGCTCGACGTTCTGCAATCTTATGATCTCTGTACACGACTTACGAGCAGTATGGGCTCACCAGCTACCTCCGGACATCCTGCATAGCAACTACATACTATAGTCGCTTACCTTTATAATCACATTCCACGGACCTGATGTTCAATGTTGCTTAGCCATGAGATTCCAAGCTAGGACTGGCATGTACTCTTATGGGCAGAATGACAGGATAAATTGCGGAAGCCATTATGATCTTCTTGGACAACACCCTTGAAGGATTTGCAGGTTGCACGCCCGTCAATACGGACCTCAGCAAGATTAAATGAGTGTCGGATCAGGTCCCCTATGCACCCGACGCCCTCCACAGTCGCAGCAAGATGGTCAAGTCTAGGGAAGATGTCATCACCAGGTTCCATGAACAGGTCAACATGTCCGTAGACGAGCTACAGAAGTGGCTCGACGACCCCAAGAGCAAAAAGGCGGGCACTGGAGTGGGCATAGAGAGCGGCCACAAAATCATCGAAATTCTGAAGAAAAATCCAGACAAGGATCCGGAGAAATACGACGAGGTAAAGGCCGCGTTCTCTCGAGAAGGAATGTGTTGTTATTACGAACTGTAGGAGGACATCGAACACATGCGCAAGGTTGTCTCGTACGTGATCTTCTTTGTGGTAGTATTCTTGTCACCGAAGGCTTGCTTGGTACGCACAGATACAATAGCCGTCATCTCGCGCAAGAGGACCATCTCAAAGATACAAAGACGAGAGAAGAGCTTGAGAACACAAAGAGCACTATTAGGTTCGTAACTTCGTACACTGCGAAACACGGGAGATGCTCACCGTACTGCTCGTGTTAGCTTGAAAAACTGGGGGCATGTAAGCATAACGAAGAGTTCTGCACCCGGCAGCGGGAATTGAGCCTCCCAACGTCTAGGATCCCATAAAGACCCTGGGCGGGCGAGATGACGAAGACACGGCCCCGAACATCAGGAACAATGCAAAGACAAGCGAGCAGCTGAAGGACAAGAAGACTGATGGCAATACAGAGGCGGACGATGAGCAGACCCAGGGTGCGAAGCGCAAGCTCGCCGAGCGCGATGGAGATGGAGATGAGGATGAGAAGGAGCGTACAGCTGAAGAGGAGAGCGACGACGGCGACGTTGAAAGCGATGCCGAGCAGCGATCTAGGAAAAAGTCGAAGACAGCGGAAAGTTTTACGGAGACTGAAGACGATACCCCAGAGGACGTGTAGACGTGTAGACAAGCCCTGCTTGGTACATCCCTGTCGTATGCGTGGTCTGCCGCCCAGTGCTTGCTGGTAGCACAATGTTTGTTGATTTGGGTGATAAGTCTGCCTCCATGAGCGACAGTTGCATACCTAGCGCGGCACAGGAGTTAAGATTCCTGCTGTGCTAAGTACTTGCTTTTGGAGACAAAAATTCTCGACGAGACCAAGCACCAGAAAGTGCCTCGAATCGTGGATTGTAGAAACGAAGGCAAGGTCAGAACGGAACTACATACGTTTAGGTGCACTTGTCGCAGGGTCGAAGTCTTGACTTTAGCTTGCGCACTCGATGGACATAGAATATCAACGACTTCATTGAACATTGACTGTGCCGTACGTACGTATGTGAGTACAATTGAGAAAAAATGTCACAGGAGTATGTCGACATGCCGCAACATAAAGTAATGAATCACGACACTTCCTAACCTGCTTAGCCGTAGCCAAATCTCGAGAGAACAGGACTCGAGAGAGTCACTGGCACTGTCTCAACGGTCGAGCGTTCTGACATCGAGCAGCGTGGCATATCTCTCTGAGAGAGAGGAAGAGGCGCGAGACGAAGGATTTTATAGGGTTCTGCGCACGTTCCCACGGTCATAGGCCATTTTACTCGGCGTCTCCGACACCGAGGACTACAAGCTCGACATCGCGGACGACGGCAGCCATGTTGAGGGCGCGTCTTGCACAATGTACGAATTCACAGCCACTTTCCGTTGTCCTGTTGTACTCATCTCTTGTCAAGGCTCACGCGCGGTGGCGTCTTCGAGCACGGCGCACACCCCGTCATCGTCACTGCACACATCCGCCGTCCTGCAAGCCTCCGCTCTCCGCAAGCGTAAGTCACGAGTCGCGGAGAAGGCCAACATCGAAAAGCGTGATGAACGCGAGCGCGCCGCGCAGGCCAACCGCCCCCACGTCGTGCTCGGTTACCGCCCAGGCGACGAAGTCAAATGGCAGAGCTGCGACCTCGCTCGGGTCATCGTCACTGAGCGCGACATCCTGGCAGCACCTATCCCGCCCATGGAGCCGCCTAAGAGCGACAAGGACGTGCACCCTCCGGCGTACATGAACTATGGTGTCGGCCCCACAGAGAAGGAACTCCTGTTCGATGTATTGCCGACGCTGTCTGTGCAGGGCACGGCCCTCCGGCGGGAGGCGGTCCTACGGATGTCAGCAGAAGAGCCGCGCTTTGACATAAACAAGATACACAGTGACCAGTTCCTAGAGACGCAGAAGGCGATTCAGCTTACGCGGCTCGTGGACCTGCGGAATGCGAATGCGAGGGGCATTGCATACGAGAACCGCAAGCGGATCGTGGCCGAGTTCTCTGAACCAGAGAATCCGACGGATACCGGACGGCCCGAGGTTCAAGGTATGCACTTCCTCCATGTCCGTCGGTGACGGCCTCTTATTCACGTCTCTTAGCTGCCCTTCTGACGCTCCGAATACGTACCCTTTGGGAACATTTGAACAATTTCAAGAAGGACATCAGTAATCGCCGTAGCTTGCGGAGACTTATCCATCAGAGAGCCAAAGTGTTGCGCTACCTCAAGCGGCTGGATAGGGACCGATACGACAATGTCCTAGGGCGCCTCGGTCTGGAACCGGAGAGCGTTGAGGGCGAGCTGGTGGTCTAATGTGGTCCATTAGGAATGTGTTTTACACAAGATGCTTCTAATATAGGTCCCATGGCTCTTAGATTGTCATGTCTTTGAGTGTCCAGAAAACGGCTAGAGCCACGAGTAAGATATATTGCTAACGTCTCGTCTCCCTTCTAGACACAAATGTCAAGTCTCAAGGAATACTTTGATCCAGGCAATCTCTGACGTGCCTATCGCGGTTGAAACCCGCCTACAGAGCGTCGCTGGTGGTGGGAACAGACGTACTTGCTCTTCCCGTTCTATGGCCCCTGACTTCCCTGACTTACCTTGTTGCATACGGTTGACTTTCTCCGTGAAAGCAAGTGGTGCAACTAAGCGACGTGAGCTCAAGATACTTATATTCTGAACCGTCTTGCTTCATTTCTCATCGACCAAGCATTAGACATGCTCGCAGGTCGGTCTTAACGATATTAAAGTCCGCTCTCCTTCAGTCCCATCAGAAATCCTGGCAACTGTTCTCGTTCCCGGGCCGCATGGTCTGCGTTCGCATGGTGTTATCGGGCTTGTGACATTGAATGCGAGCGGGCATCGTCGACCATCGCTCTGCCGGACATAATAGGCGTGAGTGATCACGGAAATGCGTTGTTCGCAGGCTAGAAGCAACCCCCAGCGGACCTCCCACAGCTTAGTGGACTATAGACCCCGTGCACGATAGCAGATCTAGCGGCCATGGTGTCGTTGCTGGCTGCAGCAGTCTGCTTCTGGATTAATACTCTCCTGCTTTGTTCGCATGCGCTCGCCGCAAGCCTGCAGCCTCAAATCCCCTCCATTGCGTCATTCACGTCCGCTGGAGACAGTTTCCAGCTCTCTCCTAATGTCCGCATCATCGTCGACAGCGCGCATGGCCTTGAAGGAGCGCCATCTGCATTGTCTTATGCCCAGACATTTCGCTCAGACCTTATGAGTGTTGCGGGCTTTGCTCACGTACCGCCTGTGGAGGTGCTTCCCGGAGGCACTGGGTTCGCCGGTGCACCCGTCATCTATATTGCGATCGATCCGACGATGCAATTCGCGTTATACAACGGCGAACCCACGCTGGAAGGCTATGACTTTGAGATCACTGAATACACTTACACGATCAAGGTTGCCGCTGCCATCGGCGCGTGGTGGGGCGCTGTGACCATGCTACAGCAGGTAGCCCTAACGGCCGTGGCTGGAGGGACGAACATCTCGCTCCCAACAGGCGCAGGATCAGATTCGCCTGGCTGGGAGGTCCGCGGGTTCATGCTCGACGCTGGTCGGCACTGGTTCGACACCGCATTTCTATGTGAGTCATTTCTAGCATGCTAGCGATTACTTGAGGCTGATTCCGAACGCGCAGCCGAGCTTTGCATATATGCATCTTTTTTCAAGCTCAATGAGTTTCACCTACACGCATCAGACAACTTGTGGAACCCAGACTTCCTCTACGGAACTGGGAACGAAGGTTGGAAGGACCTGTACGCAGCATTCCGCTTCCAACCTCCCCCTGGCTCCCCGATCGACGGTCTCGTACCCAGGCTTAACGAAAGCTGGCCGGAAAACGAATTTCTCATGTTCCAGCAGACATGCTCGGAACACGGCGTCACTGTCATTCCCGAGATTGACACACCTGGCCATTCGCTCGCGATTACGCAATGGAAACCGGAATTGATGCTCAGCGGCCAGCCAGACCTGCTGAACCTGTCGTACCCCGCGACCATTCCGGCGATCAAGTCCATCTGGCAGCAGTTCCTGCCCTGGTTCACCTCGTCCGAGGTTTCCATTGGCGCGGACGAGTACGACGCATCTCTCGGCGACGCCTACGTCTCTTTCGTTAATGAGATGTTTGGCTTCATGCAGGCCGAGGCCGGCAAGTCCATACGCATCTGGGGCACCAATGAACCCAGCACAGAGATCATCTCCAAGAATATCACCATTCAACACTGGGACTTCCCTGACGCGGACATCCCAGTACAGCTTCTCGCCGCTGGATACAACGTGATCAACTCGGAGCAGGCCTTCCTCTATCTCGATGGGAAGTACTCTGACGGCGGTGTGTACCCCTACACGCTAAGCCTCGACCTCATGTTTAGCGGAGCGCCCGACGGCGGAGGGTGGGCACCCAATATCTTCTCGCCCAATGACCCAAGCAATAACACATCCCCGAACGAGCTGCACCTGCGCGGCGGGATTATGGCCCTCTGGTCTGACTGGGGAAACAATGCAACGACCATGCTCGAGGACTACTATCAGCTCGCACAGAGCCTTGCAGTCGTTGGCGAGAAGACATGGGCGGGCTCTGGCATGCGCGCGTCCGAGCTCTCGCGCGCTGAGTTCGAGGCCGCGTACCCGATCCTAAACGCAGCCGCGCCAGGCCAGAACCTCAACCGCGTCGTGCTACCGGAGTATGGCGATGTCGTGTACAAATATCCGTTCACGTACAATACGCTCACAACACCATATGCATCTGTCGGTCCACCATACACTCTGCAATTCAGCGTCATGCCCGACACCCATAGCTCTAATGCAGACTTCTTGTTCTCTGGGGAGGACTCGAAGCTCTACGTCGCAAACCTGACATTCGAGGCAACCGGGCAGCTGTATCCGCTCGGATATGTACTCCCCGTCGGAACTTACACCGACGTGGAGATCCACGCCACTGCGGATTACACATATGCAATCATCAACGGGGACGAGGGCAATCCGCGGTACTGGTACACGGTCATGGACATCTGGGGAGAGTATATGGAGGTGGCCAATATGTCTTTCGCAGCTCCGGCGCAGCAGATTGGTGGCGAAGGCTTCGTAGGATCTGTCAAGGATGTTGTACTCACTTTGGGTGTTTGAGCAATGCATGACCACCGTTCAAATATACATAGCATATGCCATAGGATTGTTAGCATGTGGAAGCATGTTGATGTAAATGAATGACGTCCGTGAGGCTCATCATTCAGTATACATCGACATGCTTCAGCAGCCGAGGTGAGACACTGTTGTCATATACGCCATATAACACCTAGAATTGCCGCCTCTTCTTAGGGCGGGGGCCCCCTCCATAATTCGGCTGTGCCGGCTGACCTCCGTAACCATACGCGCCGTAGCCTTGGCCATAACCCTGGGATGCGGGGTGATTTGGCATCTGCGGCCCGTAATACGCCTGGCTAGGTTGCCCGGAGTAGTACGGGGCCGCCCCCGTGTGGCCATTGCCGTAATACGAGGCGTTGTAAGGATAAGCAGGCTGCTGATACATGGGATTGTGTTGCGGATGCGGCTGGTACGACGGCATGGGCTGTTGCTGTCGCTGATTCGGCTGGTGGTGGTTGTGGTGGTAGTGCTGTGGCTGCTGTGGTTGTTGTGGCTGGAATTGTCGACGCGGAACGTAGGGCGGAGGAAGTTGAATAGAGGCTAGATTGCGCTCCAAATCTCCAGAGTCGACGAGTTGTTTGAGATGTTCTCGATGCTCCACAGTCTGCAATGCGCCAATAAGTCATAGATACAATGAAACCCAGGCTCGAAATAGACAGACCTCTGGAGAGATACCAACGATGGCTCCCAGCGCATTTGTGTGTGCCATCGAGAAAGGATACCCCTGTAGGATCATGTGCGCATTGTGAAAGGCGGTGCGCACTTGCTTAATCTTCCCTGTAGGCCGGCCGATGTCCCAATCTGTGAATGCGACGTGAGCTCCTATTGACGATCTTGGCCTCGTGAATCTGGGACTCACTGGAATTCACGAGGCACTCGATGGATAGGTGGTCTGACTGCGAGGTCTGATCCCAGCCTTTGGACTTCTTTGACACCACTTTGCCTTGAGTCACGGATACGCAGGACTCAGTGTAGTCGAACTCATTGCCATAGTGGTCCAAGAAATCCATGAGCAGACGCCCCAGCGACTCGTATTCCAGGGGCTTCTCGATGTCATCAGTAGGTCTCTGCTTTGGATTACGCTGGAGATCCAGTGGAAGCTCAATTGTCTTCCTATGACAGCAATGAGGTGAACTGACCTGAAGAAAACTGATCACAAGACACATCAGCGAGTAGCTGCTCAGCCCACCGTCTTGCGCGGAATTGAGTCTCAGCTGTGACAAATAGCCCTTCACAACTAAGACGAGGTATCGTAAGGCGGGCATACTGTCTAGATATTTCTCCATGATCGGCACTAATTTCACGCCATCCGGCGAGTTCACACTGATATCAATATGAAGGGAACCTGAAGCGCTGTCAGGCTTCGGGCGCAGATGCAAGGTGATTTCGACGAATGGACTCCTCACCGAGTTCATCGACAGTCTCGAAGTGCATGATCGGTACGCGCGCTCGGAATACAAATAGCGTGTCTTGCGTGACCGAGGCGTTACGAAAGATACCGGAGAGGTTGTAGAGGGTCTTCTTTTTGCCTTCAAGATCCAACTCACGGGGCCATATCATGAGAAGGTCGACGTCGCTGAGAGCATCAACTGAACGGATGACAGCATTGTTCGACCGGGTGAGACTTACCCGCCGGGAAGGTATGTTTGATTCGTTATGCTACCGAACGGTGTCAGGGTAGAGTTCGGAAATCGCCTCCGCACCAGCTCTCCTACCCGAGCCATGACTAGTTTACGCGCGCGCTGCTCCTGTGCTGTGGGGGAGATGTACGAAGCATACGCCACAATTTCATCATGCAGCCTATGCACCGGGGGTCAACCAGATAGACGCAAGTCGTTGACTACGCGTGGCTTACCTCTGTTCTTTGCTCTCATACTCGGTCATACCCAGCAAGTCCACCCATGGCCAGACGAACTCCTCATTCATGTCGTCCGCTGTGCGTTTCTTCTTCTTCATCATCCTGTTGACAGACTTCCCGGTGTTCCGCGCAATCTGCCCATTACTTGATACACTCGGTGGTGCACTTGCTGGTCCTGGTTCAGGAGTCCCAGCTTCCGACTGGTCAGGCATAGCGATGGCTGTGATCCCGCTATGCGGCTGCAGTGCAGAGGAAGTAGCAACAATGGCACAAAGGTGTAGTCGATTGGTCAAGCAAGTAATGGGCGGATTGCGCCGAGCACTGGGAATTTCCCGCTAGGGTGATTGAGGACGACTATCAAGTTCAAGTTCAATGCAGCGCGCATTCCTCTAGGGCAAGGCCGTGCTAAGTAGCAGTTGCTAACACGTGCAAATTAGCGCCGATTAACAGTAACCTTTGAACGGTCAATAATGAGGCATTAGCAAGGTGATCTTGCTCGTGTAGAAGCTCAGAAGATGCAGGATACACAAATATCATAGTCTCACTAGCATATAGTAATGCTACAGAGATAATTCCGTGAGCACCATGATTAATGAGCCTAATATTGTGTGGCGCTGATAACGCTTAATATCGACTGGTCAATTAGTAGTAGATTGCATAGGTCGAACTCAACCGTCGCAAGTGTCTGCTTAAAACTACATGTAAAGCACGTCGCCTACCCTGTCTCCCCGGGCCCTGCGTACCTCACCCCTGGTCCAGTCGCGACCAGGGCTCTGCATATACTGTTTGGCGGTCACACCCCATGTACTATAGTCTATCGACCGCAGGAAGAGAAAGCGTCCATATGGCTGAGACCTCAATTTTTGGGGCGCATGGGGCGCATCACCCAATCCATGATTCCGCACAGGCTGTCATATATTGGAAAGGCCGTTGCACATACTGTACATTTAGAAACCGAAATAGAGCGAACAGGTGTATCACTTGAATGGTTAGCTTCATACCCATTTTGCTATGTCCTCCACATCAGGTCCAACGGGTCTGTCCGAGGCAGCAAGGTTGCATTGATGGTACGTGCGTACTTGCTCTGGTTTGAGGTTCCCAGTGACGGAATGCATAACGCCTCGGTTGTGGAAGACGATCAGATCATTTGCTCGCCTGTGGCAGAGGGATTAGCGTCGTTCTCGTGCAAATCCAGTCTGTGTTACCAATCATGCGGGTATACCAGCTGTGCGCCGATTGAGATTAGTGTTGTGGCTGAAGCTCGAACAAAAAGATAATACCGGAGGTGCGATTGCCGGTCTTTGTATCTTATGCAGGATGTCTCGGACTTCTTGCAAATTCGTGATGTGCGCTCCATCTGGGTACAAAGCTCCTTGTCTCTCCGCGGTCTCTGGAAGTGGATCTACTAGAATCTCTGCCGCGGTCCATCCGTGGACCTGAATGTGCAGATGTCCAGTCACAGGGTTCTTCCAGGCCTATGCAGAGCTCGCCTCGTTAGCCAAATATCACGCATAATATCACAATTATCTGACCATAGGAAGAATTTGTACTTTCGACTCCTCCCACGGAGGCAGCTGATCGTACGGCATCTCAAGTCCCTCCGTTTCTATGCCCATCCCGGTCGATTTTGCCTTCGCAGTCGAAATCCACGTATACGGATGCGGCGCGTTCTTCACTCTGCTCCTGACCGCCAAGCTCTTCAGCTCTGGAGGTAAGATATCGAATGTTGTCTTGCCCGATATGAACGCCGTCGCGGCCAGCGGTACCTCGAGCTCGTCGCCCGTGCCATCATCGTATCGGATAGTCTGCCTCGGTCCCTGGGGCACGTTGATCCCATATAACGTTGTCACTTTCGGCGGGAGCAGATCGTACAGCGCCGCATCCATATGCCAGCGCACGAAGCGGGTAGCACCCTTCTCCTGATCTTCTTGCGAGATAGACGTTTTGTGCCACGATGTGTGTGACGGATGCTTGAGCATCACCTCTCGCAGGCCCTCGTGGTCATACGCGGTGCCGTTTCCAACGAGGTATACCTGTGGCACGCGCGGGATGCCTTTGAGAGTAGGGTACAAGATGGACTTCTTGTCGTTCTCGAGCTTTCTGTTCCCGTGCCCAAAGCTCTCCGACGTTGGGTCGAATTTCTGAAAGTCGACCTGTCAACGACGCTTCTTAAATCATCTCAGATGGGCGGCGCACCTGTGCCAATGCGTACTGCTGTTCGGGGCTCACATCCACATTCCTGAAGAGCAGGAGACTGTGCTACGGCGTAAGTGAGCAGTGTGCAACGCCAGGGCTGCCAAAAGTTGTAGATCCATACCTTATACAACAATCGTTCGAGCTCTTCAAATTGCTCTGGACTGATTGCACCAGGATGAACACCCCTGATCTCCCTCCCGAAGTCCGCGAACTTCGCAATATCTGCAGAAGGAGGCAGCGAAATGGGCACGACTTCGATTCCGTCTGCCATTTGTGTGTATGTGTGTTAGCTCGCGTTGGATTAGCCAAGTTTTGGCGGTCACAGAATAGCAACAACGCAGGGTGCGGGAGGGAGATTGGCCAACAGCCTTATCGTTGTTGTATTCGCTCTCGTATCGCTTCATTCGCTTCTATCATTTGGAAGGCGTCCACTGCCGTCATATGAGCGAATAGACCTGCTGTATGCGTCCCTTATCGCTACGAGTGGCACATCCGCACGCGGGACTCGAGAGGCCTTGTCAGGCGATGGCTATAGCATGAATCGGAGGACGGTGACATCATCCGCCAAGTCTGAACGGCCTGAGACCCTACGTTACTTTCTTTGACGTCTGGGCCTCAATCTCAGTCAAAATAGAGCGCACAACAGCGGAAACATCCAGACTAGCGCAGTGGAGAGAGCCAAGCTGAGATCCACTTTCCAACGGACCATCGTCCAAAGAGCGTGACAGTGGCTGTTCTCGCGGGCGTGAGCTCGTCGATCCTACTAGCGTGATCGACAGAATGAAGGGCACTGACCTAGACCCGAGAATTCGGACTAGCATCAAGCAAACAGACGATCGACATCCACGCACGTCTAGTCTGAAGAGCCTCGCTAACCATAACAGTCGAGTAACGATAACATGTACATTCTGTGAGGAGTAACGATAACACGTACATTCTGTGAAAAATACATATCCCATCAAGGAGGTGGCAATACATCCTAAATCCTGTGGCCCATCATCAACGCGTGGATTCACGCCCATTTCCTCACGTCCTCTGCGTTCGGGCCCGCAGGATCTTCCGACGCCGCAAGGTTGCACTGATGGAACGCGCGCACCTGGTTTGGCTTGAATGCGCCCACGACCGAATGCAGCACACCCCTGTTGTGGAAGATGACGAGATCGCGCTCGTGCCTGAGGGGCGGCAAGTCAAGTCAGCAGTCTGGATTCAGCACTAGTCAACAGATCCTGTCACTGACCAGTCTTGGGGATAGACCAGCTGGACGGCGAGACACGGTCAGCACTCTAGGCACAGCGCATGTCGGCAGCTATTAACATAACTACTCACCGGCGGTGCGATGCCTGGCCGCTGCATCTTGTAGAGCAAATCGCGGACTGTTTTCAAGTCGGTGATGTGCGCGCCATCAGGGTATAAAGCTCCTTCTCTCTTCGCGCCTTCAGGCAAGGGGTCGACCAGAAGCTCCTGAGCCCCGCAAGGATGCACCTCAAAGTGAAGACCGCTTGTTACTGGGTTTTTCCAGAGCTACAGCCGCGTCAAACATAAGTAGACCATCCAAAAAGAGTCATCCAATGTATGTATGTACTCACCACGGGGAGGGTCTTGATCCGAGACTCTTCCCAAGGGGGCAGTTCTTCCAGCGGAAGCTCGAGACCCTCACTTTCGATACCCAAGCCAGTCGAAAGGGCATGGGCAGGGGCCATCCAGACGTAGGGATGCGGGGCGTACTTGACCTTGCTCCGCACCGCGAGGCTCTTCAGCTCTGACGGAAGAATGTCGAACATTGTCTTGCCCGAGACGAAGGCGGTCGTGCCCGGTGGGACCTCCAGCTCGTCGCCCGTGCCATCATCATACCTGCATTTCTGCTTTGGCCCTTGAGGCACTTTGATACCATAGAGGGTTGTCACCTTCGGAGGTGAAAGGTCGTACAGGGCGGCATCGATGTGCCAGCGGTAGAAACGAGTCACCCCCTTGTCCTCCTCCTCGGGGGAGACACGAGTCTTGTGGAAGGTCGTGTGAGATGGATGCTTGAGCTTTGCCTCCGCGAGGCCTTCGTGGTCGTAGACGATACCATTGCCGATGAGTTGCACCTGGGGCTGGCGGGGGATGGTCTTGAGATCTGGATGGAGAATGGACTTCTTCGTGCTCTCCGTCTTGTTGTTCCCATGTCCGTAACTCTCGGAAGCGGGATCGAAGGCCTAACACAATCAAAGAAGTTGGATGTCGATATCGATACCGCATGGCTCGGCATAATTACCTTGGTTAATTTGTACTGCTGTTCGGGAGACAGACTGACGTCTCGGAAGAGCAATGCACTATGCTAAGCGGCGAATAGACTCAGCTATGCTTCGCGAACCGCGCAGACAAATAGTACCTTGTACAGGAGAAGCTCTATCTCCTTGAATTGCTCGGGCGTCAGCGACCCGGGGTCCACCCCTTTGATCTCCCTACCAAAGTCCGCGAATTTGGACGCATCAGCGGAGGGCGGAAGGGGAAGAGACACCACTTCGATGGCCATTTTCAGCTCAGCGAGTCAACGAGGTTCAGGCAGATGTAGTGCTTCGTTTTAAAGACACAGCAGCGCCAGATAGTGGGTCTGGCACGGACTATCGATTGGTCACAGTGGGTCTAGTTCAAGCACGGACTACCAATTAGTCACGGGACCCGTTCCTGTGGCAAAGTCGACGCGCTCAACACGCGCCTCGCGTTCAAGTTCGCGTCCATCGCCTGCATTCGTGTTTCCACTCCCTCGCATATCCTTGCCTTCTTCACGCCATGTACACCACCTCAGCAACAAAGGCTAAACGGCGCCACCCGCGCCCCGAGCTCACCGACGAGCAAAAGCAGGAAATCAAGGAGGCGTTCGAGCTCTTCGACACCGACAAGGACGGCTGCGTGGACTACCACGAACTGAAAGTCGCTATGCGCGCTCTGGGCTTTGATCTGAAGAAAGCTGAAGTATTGAAAATTCTCCGTGACCACGATAAGACAGGGCACGGACTGATGGACTTTGAGGACTTCGCCAAAATCAGTGAGTCTCTCACACTCGCTAGAATGGGTGTATTGACCTCAATGATACGTTCATCCGCGCGTGTTCACTTGGGGCATCAGTGAGTGAACGGATATTAGCGCGTGACCCCATGGAGGAGATACACCGCGCCTTTCAGTTGTTCGATGACGACAACACCGGCAAAATTAGCCTGAGAAACCTACGGAGGGTTGCCAAGGAAATTGGTGATCGCCTCGAGGACGATGAGCTGTGCGTGTTATCGTCATCCGTTGTTCATGTTTATGTTCGCTGACTTTGTGGTGTGATAGGCAAGCCATGATAGACGAGTTCGATCTTGATCAAGACGGCGAGATTAACGAGCAGGAATTCATGGCCATCATGACGGATGACGCATAGAACCAGATACTTGATCTTTGCGATTACTTTTGACACCTCGTTCACATCTCTCGCTGTGCTTGCATATCAGAGTCTCGCCTTTATTAGTCCCAGGTGCGTCTGAATGTTCTTCTACGATCTACTGCGCTAAGTGATATTCAGAGTAGATCGAATATCGGACATTGTAACATGCTAAGCTGTGTAATTCTATGGTTTCTGGCAGACGTCCCCGGACAACATCGCCAGTGTGGCGCATAAGTGATACTCGCGCACGGCCACAAGACATTGGTGAATAACCTCGAATCGATTGTCTATTGCTACATCGAGAGTAATATCAGGAGTAATTTAAGGCAAGTGGGGCTACATATTTCTACTAGTGTTACAAGCAGTGAGTAGTGGATTTGACCCAAACTCCGGAGAAAGCGGACTAGCGTGTGGTGATCGGTGAGCGTAGTGCGAACGAGTGATCGCCAGATCTGGGGACTACATGTAAGGGGCCGACAGGCCCGCCACTGGCATATCGGAGCGCCAGCTGACCAACTGCTGACGGGGGGCACACGTGCGCAGCCGGATGCGGCAAGAACGGCGGCGTCGAAAAACGAGGCACGAGGACCGACGGGCTAGCTCCAGTCCGGGCGGATGTTTCACCGTGGCACCATGACCCGCCCGTGGGGCCTGGCCGCGTGTGCGCAGTTGTCTTGGGACTATCGGAGAGGCTGTGGCGGGGTGCGGGAAAGATCCTGTGGAATAGAAAGCATGGAATGCGCCCGGGCCCCGTCGGTCTGCATCAGTAAGCGCACAGCCACGCTGCGGACCGGGGGAATCCAGGGAGCTCGACCACATGCAGGTAGGCTGTCACGGAGGCTAGGTAAGACAAGGAAAACACGATACCAGAGAAACAAGACAAGACAGCGCAGATCAGAAGACGTGTCAGTGGTATGGTCATTTCCGTAGTGTTACAACAAAGGAAGTCCGATAACGCAGATCCAATAGATGTGGATGCCCATTGAGACCCGAAGAAGGAAGAATAACGACTGGGTAATAATGATCGTGCAAAGAAAGTCGCGTACATGAGAGAAAAAGAGAAGAAAGCGAATTTTATCATACAGTGCAGGTGTTCACCTGCCGGTCGTTAGTTATTTCACCACAGTTCGCGGTGCGATCTTCACACGGCGGTGAAGCGGCGCTGCTTGGAAGACGAACTCTTGTGCACTCGCATGTGCTGTCCGAGATTGTCGTGCCGGCTGAAATCCTTGCCACAGCACGGGCACTTGTGCGCTGTAATACACGCAGATGGACGTAAATCAGCAGGCCTGCGGGGCGAGAAAAACACGGGATGACTGACGCTTGTCATGAGTGTGGATGCTCCGGACGTGTCTCGCCTCTCGCGAAGCACTTGCCGCAGTCAGCCACCTTGCACACGTACATCCTCGTGTTCTGAATTTCAAAGAAATCCGACCGTTAATTTTGTCACCAGCAAATTCCATCACAACGCGGTAGACGCACCTTGCCCACGCCGCTCTCAACAGTCTCCGCAGTGGGGACGTGTCGGCCTCTGCTCTTCTTAGTTAGGTTCGGGACCGGAACAGGTGGAGCGACGCGGCGGGAGGGATATTCGGCGCGGGACGAGGTCGATGTCGTCGACACCGTGCGCCGCCGTAGGTGCGAAACTTGATATTCATCGTCGCTATCTCCTTCCTCATCACTGTTCTCGCGCTCCGACTCGCCCCCATCGGTCTGATGGGCGCTGTCCCCAGACGACGTGCTCGTGAAACTCACGGTGCGTCGCCGCTTTCCGGGCGCAACAGTTTGTACAAGCGGTGGGGACACGCTCGCGCTCCCAACATCGCTGTCGGAGCGCCCGCGCTGCGATGGGGGACTCATACTGGTGAAGGACAGCGGCGGGCTAGGGCCGTTGAACGTAGTCCGCGGGTCGCACGCCGCAGGAGACGCGGCAGTTTTCTCGAGCGGAACGTAATCTGTTGCGGGCGAGAGGTTGGGCGACACCTGCGCAGGGTGCACATACCGCGGGATGTTTGCCTCGTAGGTCGTGAACGGCGTGCCGGGCTGGAGGGAGTAGGAGGCGGTGACATCGGGGGCGGCATTGACGCCGTATGCCGACGACTGCGTGGTCAAGTCATAGCGGGGAAACGCCGGGGTGCGATGAGTCATTCCTGCAGTAGAGGTGTGTGCCGTGTGCTGCGACGAGAGGGGCCCTGCAGCGGAGAGGGGCCTTGCAGCAGAGACGGACGACGCTGTGCCCGCCCCGGTGTAGCCAAGGTTGTCCTGGCTGTATTTGTCGTAGCCGGACAAGTACTCCTCCTGCTTAATGTACGGGTCGACGAGGCTCGAGTATTGGTCAGCGAGGTTGCGATTTTCATCGGCGGCCACGGGAGACATTGCGGATGACAAGGAGTACATCCCTGACATGTAAGCGTCGTTGTACGACAACGCTTGATCTGTGGACATCCACGAGCTGCGCAGCGGATCTTGGTATTCGCCACCATAGCTGTTGTGGCCTCGAGTCCCTGTGTTCGGGTCGAAAGCCGCCTCTATGGTGTTGTATTCGGAGGAAGCGTCCGAGTTCTCGTAGCCGAGCATTGCTGCTTGATATGGCGGAGAGCCAGACGACATGGATGTCATATGCGAAGGATTTGCAGAGGGCTGGCGGGGCACAGAAGCACGAAGGTAAGAGGATTGGGAAGGCATCACTGGCCGGTAATGACTAATATGGGGGTAGTATTGAGACGGTATGGGGTAGCGATGAGTGGCAAGACGGAGGAGGACGGTGGGTTCCATTATTGACGGGTGGGCGTAGATATGAGAGCTGGAGAGAGAGTGAGTGGGGGTGCGGCTCGGATTGAGACCAAAGCAAGCGCGGATATAACGGTGTGAGTGAAACTCTATTGGATTTTGGTCCACCTGTCTGAACGGCGGGGTGGCGGACAAAAAAGGCAGAAATAGGTACGGACCTCTGCGGTGGGCTGGGCTTGAACTGGAGTCGAGGCACCTGAGCGGGAGTGATCGGCGTGACGCTATTCGCTGACAGATCGGGGTAGCTCCGCCTGGAGACAAAAGGCGCGACAGATGCGCCAGACATGGGATCGTACAAGTCGTAAATGATCGTAATTAGGGTGGCGGTGTGGTGGCAGAAATCGAGACGTGACGCCAAGCGCAGGGGACCGGGTCAGACGTAGAGGGGCGATGTGTCAAAACAGCTGATTCAGAGAATGACTAGAAGGCGGGAGCTTGGCAAGTCGGAGAGTGTCGTGGGTGGGGTCGTCAGCAAACAGGGCGATGGAAAACATAAGGCAACTGAACGAGAGTCGGATGAAGTCTGGAACTACGAGTAGTCGTAAGTTGTGCAAGCAACGATGCAGCAAGAGGCACACTGCACCCAAGTGCACCGGATGATCACTGTTAACAGCGCCTAGACGCACTGCGCTTGAAGTAGGCGGCAGAGCCGCTGTGTATGTGTGTTTCCCTCTGTTACCAGATACGACGGTGACATATCGAGCTCTTTATCATTGTCGCCGATGGGACTCGCGCGCATACACTGGCCGAACATCCGGTGTGCCAATTCAGTGCAGCTGGGGCAGGCCAGGGGGGTATGCGCTCTTCCCACACGGAGGGACACGGACGCGTCCGAGCCCGAGAGGTTCGCATTCGCATTCGACGGACTGTGTGCCTGTGGCCGAGTCGGCGGCTGCGACGGGCAGCCTGCGACTCCAGCTGCACGGCTTCGCTCCCCGTCCCCGGTTCATCCCTGCGCTTTTTTTCGCCCCAAAGTTCGCGCGCAAACCCACCATCTCGGTTAGATCTAAGCTTGCTAAATCACCGATCTCCGGCTATCTTTGGAAACTCCGCTAGACCCCTTTTGGCCCGAATCATTTCTCGATCGCCCATACTTATCTAGGTTCTCCATGAGGCGCCCGCGCGGGCATATGATTCTGCACTCATGATCTCGACAGCCTCAGTACATCGACTCCTGCTCGTCCGCCTGCCATTCAACAATGTATCACTGCGCGCACCAGCCATGTAGTTTTACATGACATCGCGCGAACAGTGGCACCTTGCTGATAGTGAAGAGCAAGAAGCTGATGTTCAACTATCCGAACACATATTTCACGGTCAGCAGTCAATTCAGTGTCGACATTTTTTCCCTCTAATGTCGTGGCCACGTAAGCCACACCATCTCAGCCATGTGCCCATGACCGACAAGACATCCGCACAGAAAGATGTTGTGCGGGGATTGGTCCGGATCTGTCTTTCCTTTCCGGGCCTCCTCTTGTCTCCGGCCCCTTCTTCCAGCGGGTGGCGTTTCTGTCAGCGAGTAAAGAGTCTCGTCAATTGCCTACGGTCTTGGGCCAATTGCATCGATGAAGCGTACAAGCGACTCCAGCTCGCCTAACGTCCCCACTAGAACCCGCTGCGCCAGCTCATGACTCGCCCAGACATCCTTATGCCCTGCGCCCTAGCGGACAGATTCGGGTCGAGTCGCTTCCTGCGCCATGTTCGAGATAACCGAATGCCTTCCTCGCCCAGGGCTATGCGCCTACGTCCGTCCGTACGGTTTATTGTGGCCATGTAAGACATGATGAAATTCATTCATTGAGCACGACATAGATATGATGTGAACGCATCGCGGGCGTAGACAAGTCTGGCGACTGCGGATCAACGCTGGTATCCCGGGCGAGTCATTGCCGCTGCATATAGGTACAGATGAACGGCACAAATAGACCGACCGTATCAGGCCAATTCACTACCCGTCACTTCTTTGAGTGCTATTAATGCAACACGTATTCCATCGTGGCAGATACCATCGTTACCTGATCGAAGCGCAACGTCCGTCAATAAAGCACATTAATGACAAAGGGTCGACGCTGATGTAGGCAGATAGCGCGCCTCATTCGCTGCAGACGTGATCGTGATATGATGTCGGCACGATCACCCCAGAAGCAGTTTCTGTCAAATCGCACCTTCCCGCGACTGTCCCCGGTCAGATGCGCCCGGGCGCAGTAGATGTGTCAACAGCGGACATCTGAACGCTGGGAACGGGAGAACGCCGGGATACGACGCCACGCACGCTTCGGCGGGTGGGAGAGCGCATCGGAGACAGGAAGCGAGGGCGATCGCAGCAGGGCCATGGCAATTGAGAAGAGAGCCTATTCGTCGGGCGCAGGCTCAAGGTTTGCGATTTGTCAAGGTTTGGAGCGGCAGATAACGAATCTTGCTTGGCACGAGCTTCCGAACGCGCGACGGACAGGGCGGGGAGCAGGGCGCCGTGATCGAGATGGCCCAGCTTCCGGACGCTACGAGACGCAAAGTGGCCTATTCCGACGACCGCTGTGTCTGGAGAGATTCACTGAACGCCTCCCGTCTTTTCAACAGTGAGTGGGCTTTGACAGACAAACTTGCCATGGCCGTGAGAGCCTTACGCGGATGAGCGAGACAAGGGCAGCCATACACGTCGAGCGGGAGACCCTATGACCAGCCCGTCCCACCCTTCCGCTGGTTCTGATGCCGCTGCGTTCAGAGAACGGAGGGCGAGACGCTCTAGTCCCGCCGGCTGATAAACGGATCTCAAACTTTAGATCCCGGCAGAGTCAATTGGGCTTGTAGAGCTTACGACGCGATGAGGAAGGGGCCCGGGTCGCGCTCATGTCTCAGTCTGAGCGATGGTGTACGGGGTGGTTAATGCCTTTCCTGCCTATTCTTTCGTCTCCTCAGAGGAGTATCGGACCATTAGCTGCTGTTCATGTTGTGTAACAATAGCAGTAAACATATCGGAAAGTCACAGGGAGCGTTCGTAGTACCGATACTGAGCCAACCCGTCGAGATAAGCAGCAGCGCCCTCCGTTCCGACGAGTGGAGCTGTGTCTCGATCGAAGCGCGAGAAGAGTGCGGAGCCCGTCGCGACAAAGGACGCGCTTTGCAACTGAATGGACCCCCTGCCACTGTGCACAAGGCAAACGTCGCAGAAACACAAACGCGGTGATGACGGAACCGAGCAAATATCTAATCAGCGACACCGCGCGCAAGGAAATCGAAGCTGTACGCATAGACGACGGACAAGATCCGCCGTGCGAACTCGCCATCCGTGACACAAACCTCCACGCCCCCTGCGCGCCGTAGCACCGTGGCGAGCAGTGCACTGCGCAAGATAGACCACAGCCCAGATGGCTGCATCGGGATCAGCGAACATCCGCAGCGATCGGCCAAATGAGGGAAAATGAGATGGCGCACTGCCCAAGCAGTGATGTGGAGGGCGGCCTTGACGGCGTGATTATTTGCGCCAGGACAGCCAAGCAAGGTAGATTGCACCATCCGTGGGCGGATATGAGAGTTCTTTCGCTGGATATTTCAGCCTTGCCTGCTGAGAAGACGGATAAGGCGGAACTCCAAGCAACGCGAAACACGAATGTCAGGCGTAGTACTTCCGTGACGAAGAATCCCGCAAAAAGTGAAGTAGTACGTTATTTCGAGGAATGTAGCTTCATGAGTGACATATGCTCTCGAAGCGCAATAGCCTTCTGGGCAAAGCGTGGTAGATGGGCGCGGAATTACGTCTCTGTCATTTTTGCGCAGCTCACCTTGAAAAATTGAGCACGAATGCATTGAGGAGATCATGAGAATAAAAAGACGTAGTCAGCGGGATATCTGAATGATGATTGTGGAGTACCCCTTTCTTCACAGTAATTTGCGTTTCTGACGATTGAGCGGTTAGATTTCGGAATGGTAAAGGCACAACGGGCTCATCTAATCATACTATTCTGGGGAAAGCTTTGGGGGGCTGCTGTCAAGTCGGGGACGAAGAAGGACCGTGACCAGCTGACAATGGGACACATACACAAGAAGTGGAATTGACAGCTCTCTCGCCACGCGCGTGTCAACCAAAGCGACAAGGCAGATGTACCTGTCTTTGAGGCCGGGTCCGAAATAGCAACAAGATATTCATCGGCAATACAGGTCAGATCTTCCAGGATCGAGGCAGATCATGATCCCGCATTGCGATCCTGACAAACTTGATGGCGGCTCCACGCGTTAGAACAGCAAAAATAGCACGTACAATAGAAAGTCTATGACAGCTTCCTGAGACATGCCACATCATTCCTAGGTGGCATTCTGGCGCCATCGAAGAAGTTCGAATGTGGTGGTTCGTTTGAAGCAGATCAGGGGCGGGCGTCTGTGAGACGGTTGATATACACGTGGCTTTGACGCCACCATAATCTTCGCGATAGACGCCCTTCAAATTCGCCGTTTCACGCAGCGTTCGTTCAGCGTCGGCCTGCGCGGCACGGAAGCACGCAGGCCTTTTGGAGAGGTCGTCAGTAAGCCTTCTTAGGGCAGTTAGTGTCTGGAGCCTTGCACGTACGTACCAGGAGTGCTCGATGCGTTCTACAGTCCTCACGCGGACGCCACAGTTCACTGACCCAGCTCAATCAGGTACAGAGCCTACCCGTTTACGGCTCATCGTCGGTTCCGCATTCGGCCCCGCGTGCAAGTCTGCAAACATGCCCGCCGACATGGAGTTGACGCGCTACTACGACCCCCCAGACCCGAACGCCTGGCGGGAGTCACTCACATGGGTATGTCACCTCGTATTGCAATCGCACTGAGTGCTGTCATCCCTGCTAATGCATATATCACACTCGGCCCAGAATGGGGCGCCGGTCATGCCAGAATCATGCAGGCCGCTCTCCTTCCTTGTCAACCGCCCGCTCGCCCGCCGGCCCCCGCCGGTAGTCCCGGAGAAGGCTCCCGTGCAGATCGAGCCGCGGTCCTTACCCCCCGCCAAATACGTCCCGCCTCCACCTCCACCTCTTCCTGATCCCTTGATCGCATCGGGTGACGTCATCTTGATAGACGGGCAGCGGCACACGTGGGTAGATGGCCAGCTGTTCCCGCTCGAGTACGAAAAACACCCGGGCCCGCAACCCCAGCAATTCCGTCCGCGGCCCGTGCCGGGCGTGTCGAAGAAGGGCAGGGGTCGCCACGTCCCTACCAAGGAGGCGGGCGGGCGGAAGGGCACGACGTACACATGCTCCGTGGAGGACTGCCACAAGGTCTTCAAGCGGCACGAGCATCTGAAGCGCCATGTCATGTCTCTGCACTCGAACGAGCAAAGTACGCCATCGATTTCGCGCTCGCGCTGACTGATGATCGCATGCTGAGCGGCCCTGGATTCCGTACAGACTACATGTGTGCCCTGCCTTTCTGTGACAAGACGTTCAATCGCCGTGATAATCTGCTGCAGCACGAGAGGAAGCACACGCTGTACCAGCGTCTCTTCGACTGCACCAAGAACTTCGATGGCGAGCTGATTCGCAATGAGTGGGAAGACATAAAAAACCCTGATGCCATATACGAATGGCCTGAGCCCTGGGACTCCGGCGTAGGGATCCCACTGTCTTTGCGCTATCTGAATCTTACCGCCAGAGATGTGGGTGACATGGATGAGGACAATGTGGCCGACGACGATTCAACTATGGCGGACGTGGGGGATCACCCAGACTATACCGTGCATTTCGTGAGGTATGAAGAACCGCTGCAGCCTGGTTCCCCTGTTCTTGTTCGCAGTGACCCCTTCGCGCCCTCCGACAACATGTTTACCGTCTTCAATGTCTCCGCCATTCATCCCGACGATCCGAGTGCTTCCTGGGACGACCAAACCATTGCTAACCATGAACTTGATGTGCCCCTCTTTGACCTGCCTTCTCCTTCTAATGATATAAAAGTTATTCCTGCGGATACCGTTACGGTATAAACATCCAGTGTTAGTTCCTCATCCTGCATTAGCTTGTTATGATCCCCTCCTTTGTTTTATCCTGCTTTCATCGTCGCTATCGCTCTGCTGTCATTGTACCATCTTAGCTGTCGTATGCTTTCTGTTATGCGCCTCACTTCTGCTTTCGTTGCACCCGCTATGTTTGTACATCGTCATCGCTTTAACCCTGTAATGTCGGTATATGCGACATCGAAATGATATTTCCCCGTTCTAACATCATGCAGATCCTCTGAAGTTTCTGACTAAGACTGCATATAACTTAGACTCCGATTGCCAGGTAGAACTAGCGGTAGACGAGGGTGTTGATTATTATTTATAGCGCTGTTTAGTCGATCGGACTAACCTCTTCTGGTGAGAACGCCCGATCACATCGTCAATACACACCGCTGCGACTGCGCGGGACGCCTTCACTCCTCCGACACGTCAGGCCCATGCACCCCCTCTACTGAACAGTACAACCTGTGAGAACGACGCCGGAAAGACCGCCGGCAGCCAACGTCCTCGATGAACAGGGATCAATGGTGGATAAGGTTACAAACCGATGGGGCTACCTACGGCGCGCGACGCCTACATAAGTCCTATTCCCACACCGGCGCATGACCACGTGACCCGGGCCGGCAGCGACGCTTGCCCGACATACCCAAAAGTCAACACTCCCCCTCAAGCGAGCTGCCGTTAGCCTACGCCCAATCAAAACGCGAAGACATCCTCCACGACCGCCAAGCTCGCATGAGTCCTTTTGTCTGGACAATTCCGTCGAATGTGCCCGACCTTCCCGCAGCGAAAACACGTCACCTTGCCTCCCGAAGCTCCCCCTGAAGCCGCAACATTGGCGACAGTCACCTCGCCATTGTCCCGCCGCTTCCCGAGCCTCGTCTCCTCATTCAGCAGCTTTGCACACACATTGTCGAATGTGCGCTCCCTTGTCGGCATCTCGTCAACCACCGTGACCACCCGCTCGAAGTCCTCGCCAAGTCCCATGATGAGAACAAGGACCTTCTGCTGGTCCGATACCTCGACGTCGACATCCCGGAGCGCCCGTGCGTAGCCTTTGACCCGGGAGATCCAAGCCTGTGCTGTCTCGCTGCCTTCCATCTCTGCGCGGTAAAACTGTCGCCACTTTGCCAGCTCCGTGGCGAAACCTCGTGAACGGTGCGCATCCTGGAGGACCCGCCAGCACTTACGGGGGTCCGTTTCGTCCTCCAACAGCTCCAACTGGTCGTCACCAACCCGGAGCACGATCTCCGCCCGCGCCTTGGCCATGTCGGCCTTCTTCCGCTTCTTCAGCTCCTTCGCTAACGCCTCAGCCCCGTCTTCCCCCTCCTTGGGCTCCACCTCGACTTCCACTACCCCCCACAGTCCCTTCCTAACCAGCTCCGCCTCCATCTTCATTGCCCAGACCCGATACTTCCCCTCGACCAAGAGGGGGAACTTGGTGTCATGCTCCGAAGTCATGTTGGCGCCAGTACCAGACGAGAGAGTAGTATAGCGAGGTTCTAGGCAACAGCAAAGCACTTGATTTGTCGATCGGTTTGTGTGAGAACGACGCCGGAAAGACCGCCGGCAGCCAACGTCCTCGATGAACAGGGATCAATGGTGGATAAGGTTACAAACCGATGGGGCTACCTACGGCGCGCGACGCCTACATAAGTCCTATTCCCACACCGGCGCATGACCACGTGACCCGGGCCGGCAGCGACGCTTGCCCGACATACCCAAAAGTCAACACAACCCCCCCCAGTATTATTATCCTGAGATACTGTATCCTCTGGAGGCTCGCCGTCAAACCTCAACAGCCATTCGAGCGCAAGCGTTGCACTCTCGCGGCAAACTGGGCCTGCACACCACATTCATACTTGACGCGCATTTGCAAAGCACCTGCCACCCCTCGAGTGGGTTTGTGATACGAGCTCTACTCTCTACTAGGCCTTTCTAGATCTCGCGAGCCGCCGCTTCTGACAGCAATACACTTGTTGGACCCGCGGCCGTGCACGTGCACACGAGATTGACATGGCAGGAGAAACAGGCGTGCGTAAGAGGAAGGGTGCCAAGGCGTCCCCATCACCCAAAAGTGCCAAGAAGCAGGGCGTCGTGCGTACTTTAATCGACGTGTGCACACGCATCAGACTGACTTTGGGCCGATGTGGGCAGAGCCGTAGAGATAGCGGAGATGGGGGGATCCTAAAGTTCGTTGTCGCCGCCCTCTTTCTGACATCAGTCGTGTTCGTTTACAAGGTGCGCTCGTATGCTATAGCTTTGATTAGTTTCCAGCTGATTGAGACGTTGTATGCGCCCTATATGCGCGCAGAACTATGACTATCTCAAAATGTACATTCGGAGACGAGCACGGGCAGAGAGCTCGGGGTGGGATTTCGATGCAGCAAGTCGCAGGCCGACTGACATGTCTGCAGACCTACCCAAGCGAGATGCAGTGACTGCTGCATTCAAGGTTCGAGTTTCTACACCTTTTCGCAGACAATGCTGATCGTACCACACATGCAGCACGCATGGCTAGCCTACGGTATGTTGTTCTCCGTACAGAAGTCGAGTTCACACACTGACGCGCTCAGAGAGGGACGCGATGGGCGATGACGAGTACCATCCCATTGGCAAGTCCGGCTCGAACTTGACGAGTGCTGGCGGCATCGGCTACACCGTTGTCGACTCGATTGATACCATGATCATCATGGGACTCGACGAGGAATATCAGCGTGCACGGACCTGGGTCGCAGAAAAGATGTCCTTTGAGCGCGATGGAAACTTCAACACATTCGAAGTACGCCTACATATCATGTCTGGCATGGCACATTGACCTTACTCGCGTCACTGCCGTTGCAGACGACGATCCGCGTGCTTGGTGGCCTGTTGTCTGCATTCCACCTCAGCGGAGACTCGATGTACGTCGAGCGCGCGAAAGACCTCGCGGATCGCATCGTGCCGGCGTTTAGTACCAAGACGGGGCTTCCGCTTTCTCAAGTTAATCTTGCGAAGCGCATCGGTGTGCCGGACAATGACAACCGGGGGCTCGTCAGCACAGCTGAGGTATCCACGCTGCAGCTAGAACTCAAGTACCTGAGTCTCCTGACAGATGAAGAGGTCTACTGGGAGAAGGCGGAACAGGTACGAATGCGTGATCGCAAAGCTCTGGGATCGTGACACAATTGGTGTTCTTTTCTTATAGGTAATGAAAGTCATCAAAGACGCCCGCATCGCGACAGGTCTCGCTTCTATCTTCTTGAAGTACGACTACTAGCATTGTGATAAAGATGCCGCGCATACTCAAGTTTGCATGATTAGTCCTGATGATGGTAAATTCGCAATATCGCCTATCCGTCTGGGATCTCGTGGCGACTCGTATTACGAATACCTGTTGTAAGTGGTTTTCAGTTGTCTACGGTGACGATATGTACTGACAGCGCCGATAGAAAACAGTATATCCAAACTGTAAGCTCACTATCGACTCGACTCCGGCCGCAGTTGACACGTCATGCAGAACTATACTGAGCCTGTGTATCGCGATGTGAGCAGCTAGCCTGAACTTTTGCCGACGTGCTGATTGCGCTTCGATGTTCAGATGTACGATGATGCCATGACGGCTGTGCACACGCACCTCATCAAAAAATCTGAAGAGGAAGGACTGACATACACTGCGGAGATTCTCCCCGAGCGGGATACACAGGGCAAAATGTCTGCGCCGAAGCTTCTCCACTGACGCTTTATTAACCAATATCGCAGAACCTGGCGTATGATACCCAAGCAGGACCATCTGGTCTGCTTCTTTGGCGGCTCGCTCATGCTCGGCGCGGTGACAACCGGGACCATAGAACATGCTGCGTCAGTCCCGCCTCGCGCGGCAGAGCTGACTGCACAGGGAACGCGCGACTGGATTAGCGGCGTCGAGCTTGTGCGCACATGTATGGAGACACACAGGACAGCGACGTGAGCACCCCGAGACCCTATGGTTGCCCTGCCTCCTGCCCCGGCTGACACCGCCGCAGCGGGCTATCCCCAGAGATCGTGCACTTCAAGACCGCCACGGACCACATCGAGAGTGCCCACGACTGGTACATCAAAGGCGCACGGTGCGTCGCCGCGCACTTCTCTGCTCCGTGACGTCGCGCAGGTCTCACACCCACCCCTATCACTCCAGCCCAGGCCACACGCCGTACGACGCACGCTACATCCTCCGGTGAGTGCCCGCGCTCCCACGCGCGTCTTCGCTCCTCGAGCAGGCCGCCGGCTCACGCGGCGTGTGGTGCAGGCCCGAGACGGTGGAATCGCTCTTTATTGCATGGCGCCTTACGGGCGACCCGCAGTACCGGCAGTGGGGCTGGGAGATCTTCGAGGCGATCGAGGCGCACTGCCGCGTCGCGTCCGGCGGGTACGCGAGCGTGCTGAACGTGGACGCGCTGCCAGTCGCGCTCGAGGACAAGATGGAGACGTTCCTGATGGTGCGTGGGCGCGCGCGATGTGCCGCGACGGGCGAAACTGACCGCTGGTGGTGCTGCAGAGCGAGACGCTAAAGTACCTCTACCTGCTCTTCTCGGACGAGAGCGTGCTGCCGCTGTCGGGTACGTACGCGTGTTGCCGAGACGATGTACGGAAGCTCACGTCTAGCCTTTGCAGAATACGTGTTCAATACAGAGGTGCGCCAAATACTCACACAGAGACCCAGCCCAGCTCATGATTCTCCCCCTCCAGGCACATCCCTTCCCCATCTTCCACCCCACGCGTGGCACGGGTTTCTTCTGAGTCGGACCGATCCCCGTAGCACCCTAGGCGCTCTGTACAATTTTATCTACCGTCCCAGATGATACCTTATTTACTACTCTCACTGACTCTCCGTGGTGTTGCGCCTCTGCACTATCCTTGCGTTGCATCCGCTCATAGATGCAATTCAGTGCGTGCACGTCCAGCAATGCTGATGCCGCATACATTACGCAGGGGGTACGATTAGTATGTAAAAGTACAATCGGCGAGTGTGCATAAGGAGCAATCCATGGCACATAGCGCATACATCGTGATACAGATCCTCGTGAGTATTATTCGTAGCGTCGTTACTGTGGTGGTATATCGTTGAAGTTCGCACTTGGTCTGTCCGCGCAGATCACTGATAGTGGTACACATTAGTCCGGCCTTCCGCCGTCCGTTTGTCTGCTGTATTCTCCTTGTAACTTCTATCTCTTTCCACTTGCTTCGGACGCCTGACACTTGACGCAGCAGCCTGCACTTAGACGGCGCTGGCAGCGATCTGCGCGTAGGAGGGAGGCGGGTCGGCGACCCCGTCCTCGCCGTCCTCGGCCGAGATGTGCTCCCAGGGCTCGTCGACCTCGGGCGTCACAGCAACGCTGTCGTCGAGCACGATGACGGACCGCACCGCGGGGATCACCTCAAAGTCGTCCCCTGCACGAAACGCCGGTGAGCCGTCGCACGTGCGCTCCGCTGGCACAAGGAGTTCGGAAACGTACCTCTGCGCTTGTGCACCTTCGCAGGCTTGATGAGCACCGTGATGTCCACCTCCGTCGCATGCGCCGGCGACCACCGGCCTGCGCCTGCCGCGTCGTCGTCGCCCTCGCGCGCTACGGGCGGCAGGTTCTCCTCGACGAACGTGCTGAACGCATCCGTCACCCCCTTCGCATCCGCGGAGCCCTTCCGGCCGACCTTGGGCTGCCGCGCAGCCCCCGTGCCCGCCCCCGCCTTGCGCTTGCGCTCCTTGCGCTCGCGCGTGCGCTCGACCTCGACGGTCTTGCGGGCGCGTTGCCGGTCGTGCTCGTGCGCGCGCACGGCCTTGAGCACCGCGGAGGACTCGAGCTCGGGCGCGGACGCGGGGGGTGCCTTTGCGTTCGCGGGGGTATCGGCGGCCTTGGGCTGGGACTTGACAGCGGACGCGAGGCGTCTCATGGCAGCGGCAGAGATGAGGGCGGGCATGGTGTGAGCTAAGAGGCTAAGAGGGGGTGGTGGTACGTGTAGGGTGGGGTATGGTATGGGTGAGCAACAAGAGCGAGTATAAGAGGGGCGGTGGTGTGCGCTGGAGGAACAATGGCGGTGGCGGTATGAGGCCAAGTCACGTCAGAGGGTGTCACAGGCAGAGCCCCCGAGGCGGCCCCGGCGGGGATGGCCTGATCACCCATGGAGCACCGCTGTGTGCTCCCCGTAGGCGCCGTCCTATTCCAGTGCATATGGGAACACAAGATAACAACCCTCGCAGTTCCCCAGACGCGTCGCGTGCCCCATATTGGGCAGTCTCCGCCCCCGCTCCTTCCTGACCCGTTGTTCCCCTGCCCCTGCCGCCCCGGCCCGCAGTCTCCGGGACCCAGCACAAGCACTGTCGGAGACGGTTTGCTGCCTCAGCCACCGCCGCGTTGAGCTCTCTGCCAGTCCGACCCCTCGGATGTTCGAAACAAGTACAGCAGGGGTAATAGATAAATGTATCAGCGCAGCAACGCCCATCTCGGCGTCCTCTGTTCCGTCTTCTCCGACGAGAGTCATCCCAGTCACAAGAAGAGCTATCGGGCAGCTGTGCACGAAGCACCCGGCGTAACTACAGATACGAGATAGGCCCGTGCCAAAACGCACAAACACCGCCCCATATGTGGTGACACGATCAATGATGAGGTCATAAATTGCGCTATGTAACTCTATGCTTGACGGTACAAGAAATGCTACTACTGTTACACAATGTCCCATGCAGATAGGGAGCACAAGATGCAAAATGGTGCAAGATGCACACACACTCACGAGCCTCTCACCCTCCCCAATAGCTCGCTCAGCTTCCCCGCTGCTACCGACTCCCGCCGCCCAAAATCATCTCCGGGCAGCCGGCTCGCCCTCTCCCCAGATGTTCCCCTCGTCTGGCTCAGTGTCCCGCCCTTGCCCAGCATCAGCGAGAAGCGGCGCGAGCTCCCCTCCCCCACGACACTCGGACGCGCCGTTACCGAGCTCGTCTGTAGCGCGAGCGCAGGCAGCGAGAACCGCTTGTGCCGCCGCACCGTGTTCTCCTTCCGCGGCGTCGGCGGCAGACTGGAGCCCGCGTAGCTACTGGACGCGGGCGAGAGCTCGCGCGATGCGTCCTCGTCGCGCTCGTCGGGGTCGTCCGCCGTGCGCAGGCTGAAGCTCGACACGCTCGGGCCCGCAGAGTGCTGCGGCGCCCCCATGCTTGCGCGCCCGTGCTCCTGGAAGTCCTCGAGGATCTGCACGTAGCTCCTCGGCCGCGGAGCGTGCTTCAGCCGTATCGCAGGCACGGACGGCCCAGCTTCTGCGCCCTCCGCGCCGGCCTCGTCATCGTCGATGCGTGTAAGCATGCGCTTCGGGCTCTCGAGATCGACCACCATGAGTGCGGAGGGTGAGTTGCTCGACCTGTCCGACAGTACCAGTGAGGGCATGGACTTGAGTCCGGACAGAGTGAGGTGCGCGTGCGTCGTGCCGGAAAGCGCGACGCGGTCTCGTGGATAGTCGAGCACGGGGAAGACGGTATCATAGCAGGCATCGCATGCGCGTGCTGGCTTGTGCGAGTCCTTGCAAGACTCGTCCAGGATAAAGAAGGTCTAGCAATAGCGTCAATGCATGTAGGCCCTGCCAGAAGCGAGCAATATACCTTCCCCGAACAATCGCCGCAAACACATCGTCCACATAAACGACAATGGTGCCTGCGTCTTCGCCAGCCGAACGTCCGCCCACATCGCATGCAGCTCTGTGCCTTACCATCCGGAATCCATATCGCGGGTACAAAGTGATCAACTCTGCCACGCTTCGGATGCTGTAAGTCCTGCTCAGGTGCGTAGGGCAGTGCCTGAAGTGTGCGCCGCAGGTGGTTTGTAGACGAGGATGACGTGAGGGTTGAGTTCGGCTGCATGACGTTCAGCGAGACGAGCAGTGATGCCTTCGCGTTGCGAATCGCCGTACTCCACTCATCCCGTTCTTCCTCGTTCGCTAAGGAGTAACATCATAAGCACACGTCAATCAAGACATACTAGCAAATCAACGCGGCGTACCAGCATAGACAGCAAATGACTGCTGCGGACTCAGCAACTCGAATCGCCTCTCATCATCAGCCTCGCGCGGCGGGCTCACGATCACCTCGACGTCGACCAGGTCCACATACCCCTTATACACCCACCGTTCGTCTGTGCCGCTGCTCGCATGCCTCGCCTTGCGCTTAGGGCTCACAGGCAACCTGAACTTCAGTACAGACTCCTTTCGCCGAAGCGCGTCCGCGACGACTGGCATGTCTGCGTCGCTCTTGCTGCGCGTACGCACGAGCGCCGGCCGGCCGCCTCCTGGGCTGCTGTTGCCGCTATGCTCCCACTTGTTGGAGATGAGGTCGCCATCGGCATTTGCCAACCAGATGATACAGTCAGAGAAGAGCAGGAACTCGCGCTCCCTGGTCATGGAGCCTTCCAGTTGCATGAGGGGAGCACGCTTCAGGAATGTGCGTCCGGGTGTAATCAGGCGGAAGGGGAGGTTGGCAGTGTTGCGCTGCAAAGCAAGCAGCGCCAATGTTTGCGCATGCGTATGCAATGACGCATTGAGGGAGGATGTTACTGAAGGAGATATTAGATAAACCGGCAGCGAGTACGACCAAATGGACGTACTCTTTGAGACGAGCGTGTGGACGGCTGTCAATTGGGTATACTCTGGGTCATCAGGATCCGTGCAACTAATCAGATCCTTCAGCAAGAGGAGATACCGCGGACACCGCTGCACGATTGTCAGCAGCCAATCCCGGAATTTGAGCTTTCCGCAACGCGGGTCAGCTTCTTGCTTCGCGACGAACAACGCGAAAGCATGGTGGGCAGAAAGCAGAAACGCGTAGGAAGCAAGCGCGTCAGAGAATGATGTAACGAACGGCGTGTACAAGGACAGGTATGGGAAGTGAGCGAGGAGGACAGGAGACAGCGGGGCCGGTGGGACATCAGAGGTAGAGGTAGAAGAGTCCAAAAACGTGGTGAGTGCGGTATAGAATGAACGGTGCAAGTTCCAAATATCAATAAAGTTGGAGAAGATGGATGTGAGTTCGCTGCGATCAAGTAGTTGTTGCGGTGTGTCCAAAGAGGCGATGATGGGGCTAAGGAAGTGCTGCTCCGATATCAGTGGTGTGCGCACTATGATATCATCCGCAATACTCACAGAATAAATGAGGTCCAGCCCGTCGACGTATGACCTTTCCGTCTCGTGGAACTCGTTGATCACTTTCCGTCGTTTCGCCTCCCGATGTTCGTCAATAGGCCGCATTTGGCTTTGGCTTCGACGTGCGGGCCTGCGAGCAATATCCAAGGAAGAAGGACGGTTCCTCGGAGACCTGGTCGCATTTCGTATGACGACTGGTGTTGCAGGAGATGAAGGGGAGCTCTCTGAATGACCTTCCTCGGCGAGCGAGTCGAACGAGACCGTACTGACGACGGACTGACGGTTAAGTAAGTTCGGTGCAGAGGGGAGCGAGATGCGCCGGAAGGGGAGATGCGGAGGTCGCTGGTAATGAACGTCGGGGATGCTGGACGTAAGGTATGAATCTGAAGGAAAATCGACCATTAATGAGGCCGATGGTGTCGTCGCCGCTGAAACAAATTGTAAAATGAATAAGAAAAAAAGAAGGAATATGGGGGGAAAGTGAGACAGACCTGCGGCCATGGGGAGGTCGAGGGAGGATTGGAGAATGACCCGGGTCCAAGTCCAAGACTCCTTGGTGGCACTAACCGCGTCCTGTCGTTAACCGGCAGTCGCGATCACAAGCGCCCAGGGCACTCCGACCGCCACCTCCACATTAGGCAACTGACGTAGTTCGTCCATTCGCAGCCCTGCATTCATTGCAATTTCGGATGTAAGAAATGACAGTGTATGAACAATGATACGGCAGGAGGGAGGAGCATTCATGTGGACAGCACTGTTATTCATGAGATCGGCAAAGGTGCAGTTTGACCGAAGACACACCTCGCCTATATTACTGTACGAATGGGACGCGGTAGGTTGGGACTCTCGGACGCAGGAAAAGGAGATAGGAAGGAGCAAAGTAGGGTTAGGGAGCAAAGAGGGTCGACCGTGAATGTGTGCCCTTTATACCGTCCACGGCCCTGAATGACAGAAGCAAAAACAGAAGAGGAATGACGGCACCCGTTGCAGCTCAACAAGGTTTAGAAGCATCAGACGGATCTCATATTGCAAGGGCAAAAGGGCCATCAATACTTTTTGATAGACCCTGACAGACCTCGAATTGAAGGCCGAATCACCGGCGAGACACGTAAATAGAGAATAACGAGGCAGGCACACATGTACGCGGTTCAGATCACACGGGCACGAAAATAAGAGACCAGTCAAATGTAGCATAGTGTGGGGCTCGAAACGAGCGCATACATATTGACATGCGGTTAAAGACATACACCCACACGAAATAGCGGCATACGGAGATGGTGTTACGAGCGAAGCATTTACTCTTCCTCCTCTTCTCCCTCCTCGTCCTTCTTCGCTGCAGCCTTGGCGCGCTTGCGCTTGACACGGCCCGGACGACCACCGCCATATGGCGAGGTGAGCGCAAAGTCGATGTGCTTTTGGGAGTCGAGACGAACGACGAATGACGGGACGTTGACGATCTGCTTGCCAACACTGCATGCGCACTGCTCAGACCTACAAATTCCAGGAACACACGAGCAGAGAGGACGCACCGGATGTGTCGCTGGCGGATCAGCACACGCGCGTGGTGGATGGACTTCGCGAGGCCGGCCTTGAAGACCTGAGTCTGGAGACGGCGCTCCAAGAAATCCTCGATCTTGAGCGACAGCACGTAATCGAGACGCATGCGCGTCTCGTCGAGCACACCGATGCGGACGAGCCGGCGGATGAGCGCATTACCCTCGAAGAGACGCTTGGGGTCCTTCGGGTCGAGCTTGAGCAGCTCACGAGCGGCACGACGAATCTTAGACAGGATGAGACCGATACGCCAGATCTCGCGCTTGTTGCGCAGACCGTACTCGCCGGCGAGCTACACGAAAGCTTAGCAGAACGCTATACATGCCATGACTTCTGCTCACCTTCAGCTCCGCATCGAGACGTGCGTTCTCGAAGGGGCGACGGGGGACCTTGTAGCTGTTATCATAGTTATGATAATGGGGCAGGGCTTTCAATCAGCACGCTGCATCCCTCCACATAGTGGATCTTGGAGAAAGAAAGGCTCACGTCTTGCTGTGGTTCCGCGGGGCCCTGCGAGCAGAATGTCAATACATGAATGTCCAGCAGCGTACGCAGCGACATCACCTGGGCATTTTGCTTGAGGAGGTCGAATGAGACGGTAGAAACACCCAGCGCTAACTTGCGATGAGTCTGAGTACACCAAACGTGTGCAAATAGCGAAGGTTAGCGCGCCACAACTGTACAGGACCCGATCTTCAGCCACTCGGCAGCTGCCGAAGGCACACCTCCCCGTACTCGATACCAGCAACTGGGCCAACGCCGACGCCGACAAATGTTAGTGTGCTCCCTCTGTGCTGCTGCTGTGTCTGACGACTGAACCATGCTGCCCGTTCTGCAGTCCTCAAGATGCCTCACTCATTCGGTTACCGCGCGCGCACGCGCGACATGTTCAAGCGGGGCTTCAAGGGTACGGAGACTAGATTTGTGGACGATGGACGGATGTGCTGAAGGATACCCTTGCAGAGCATGGCCCCGTCAAGATGTCGACGTACCTCATTGCCTACCGTGTAGGAGACATCGTTGACATCAAGGCGAACGCTGCCCAGCAAAAGGGTATGCCCCACAAGTACTACCACGGGTGCGTGTCTACCTTCGGGCTCGAATTGCAGGCCATAACGGTGCATGATTCCTTGGACTATAGCCGAACGGGAATTGTCTACAATGTGACGCCAAATGCTGTTGGTGTCATCGTCAACAAGGTCGTCGGCAACCGCTACATCGAGAAGCGGGTGAACATCCGTGTTGAGCACATCCGCCACTCGAAGTGCCGGAAGGAGTTCCTTGACCGCGTTCAGCGCAACCATGATGAGCATGTCGCTGCACGGGAGAAGGGCGGTGAGTACCTCTGCGCATACTTACACGTGCTCTTTATTCATTGAACTGCCGCAAATTCAGAGCGCATCACCCTTAAGCGCATCCCCGCACAACCTCGCACTGCACACGTTGTCTCGACGAGCGGAAACGCTCCCCAGACCATGACCCCCGTTCGTTACGAGACGACGATCTAAAACATCGGTATCCTATATCTCACGCATCGCACCATGGGGCTATGTCTCGTCGTTTTCGCTCTCTTTGTATGTCCATGCCTTGATAAGCATAAACTGAAAACACTGTATGCTGTGGGGTGAGCAGACCATCTGCCGTGAATTACGCCAGGCTCGTGGTGAGGTAGCCTCCCGCATCCCGTATCTACTACCGCATGCAAGGTAGGCTTATTACCTGGGGAAGCTGTATTTTATGTGCCATTACATGCAAGCATCTGTTCCGAGAAGTTTGAACATATTGGCAACGTCGATCTTGTATGTATGGAAAGCGCTCGTGGTCTATGGGGCAGCGCTTGGCGTCAGTCGTGAGCTTGAACTTAACCGTCACTTTCGTTGGGCTATGCCTTCCCACCGCCGTCGCTCCTACTCTCCTGACCGTTCGCGCACGCCGTCGCGAGAGCGCGATCGTTCTCGGTCACGATCTCCTGAGAGGAGCGTGCCTCTGCCTAGCGGTGCCACACCAATATCTGAGTCTGACTACTTCGTCAAGAATGACGAGTTTCGGGTATGGTTGAAAGATGACAAACGGAAGGCACGCTCTTGACTTTTGAAGACGTGTTGCCTCTCTGACAGAGGATAGCCATGATAGTACTTTGACGAATTAACGAGTGAAAGATCGCGCAAGTGAGTATGTCAGTGTAATCGCACGGTGGTTACTGAACAATTGAGCCAGATATTTCCGGAAGTTTGTAAAGGTATGACATTGAGCAAACGTTGTCATGACGAGTGTAACTGAGAAGTAATCTGAGGCATGGAACCGAGGCAAATTACCGAGTTCGTGCCATCTTATGCGAAGCCGCCCTCTCAGAGCTCACGCGCTATCACACCAGAGTTCCTCTATTCCGGCATAGACGTATCATCCGCAAGTAGTCAAACTGGATACAGATGGTCTTTTGCTTCCAAGGCGTCCAGCGCGGACAATGCTGCCCTGCAGGCCGCGCGCGACGAGGTCGGCGCAGCCACATACAAGCGGCCTTCGCGCCCGGGCCTTCCCTCAGGCTCCGCGGGTGGGCGCGTGCAGGGTCCCACGTTGCCCTCACAAGCCGACCTCACCTTCGCACGTGAAGCCGCAGACGAGCACCGCGCGGCTGAGCGCGACTACGGCCGCAAACGCGAGCGGAAGGAGGTGAAGGAGCGCGTCGAGGAAATGGTCGGGCCGAAGGAGGCCGGGCGCGAGGGCATGCTGGAGAAGAAGCGCGTGCAGCGCGAGAGCGACCGTGCGTTCAGGGAGCGCGGCGATGAGGGCCTCGAGGTGGACGAGTCGACGTTGATGGGCGGCGGTGATAGCTTCAAGGAGCGGTGTGTCTTCCCCTCTATGTTCGCGTCCATTTCCATTTTTCTGATGCCGAGTATACGTGGTGCTCTATTGCACTTGCAGTATTGCCCGTCGGGACATGGCGCGCAAACGATTTGACGAAAAGCGGCATGGTCCCAGGGATGATAGGACGACCGCTATTCGCGAACGCGCGGACGCAATACGAGAGAAAGATAAGGCCACTATGGATATGTTTATGCAAATGGCTAAGCAAAAGTTTGGCTGACGACGCCTGGAGCGTGCCTCATGTCGTACTTCTTGTATCATGCTGTCGATAGCCTTAATGAAGACCTACCGGATCCCAGGGCCTATCTGGCTACTTGTATGAGCATGTAAGTACTTGTAGATCACTCATGCAATTCCGCCGAAGGCAACGGCTAGCCATTAGTGCAGAAAGTTTGTATGTGGTAGACATTGCATGGTGTTCCGATCTCAACACCTGTCGCGCGAAGTCGTACTGAAGTCATCGGCCTTGCCTTGATAGAACCACACACGGGAGAACTCGAGGGCTTTATTCTCTGCTGTGCGACGCCCATCGCAGATTACTCATGATGCACACCAAATATAGAGCATTCAGGGCCAAAAGACACTACGTAGGCTGGGAACATGGTATATTTAGGGCTCTGAAGGCCGGCAGACGCAAAAAAAGAGGTGTACACGCTATAATTACAAATTCTCATTCCGAATCGAGGCATCCAAGATCGCCTGCGATTGTTGTACAGGATATGTAGCGGACCTGCCCTGGACCGTCTGACACAATTCAATGGCCGAGGGAGACGGGATGCTCACTAGCCAGTAGGTCAACATTGCTTCGTCAGGCACGATGAAATATCATTGGGAGAAACCGTCCTACTAACGATTGCTGCTCGGCCGAGGTGGAGGCACCATCCCTCTCAGCAAAGTCCGGATTTATCGGGCGATTCTACAAAGAATCATGAGCGATATGCCTGGAGTATGTCAACGAACCTACCTGTGAGTTGCTACTAGTCGTACTTGTGGACAGTCCAACGCTACTCAGTATGCTCTTCTTGGCTTGCTTGCGTGGTCTACTGCTTGACCATGCAATATTTTCACCGTCAAGACCGTCATGTACGTCAGACTCGTGACGGTCCTCTTGGAGCATGTATTGGTCCTGGTTGTCGCTGTCAATGACAAAGTTCACCTGTAACGTGGTGTTGAGAAGATCAGGAGGCTGGGTTCTTTGACACGGAACGCATTTACTGACCAATGTGCTTGTCTCCGAAGCAACATCCGAAAGATCATCAGAGGGAAGTTGACTTGGCCGACGCTGCATGCAAGAGACCGCAACAGGACGTCACTACCAGGAGCCAGTGAACCTGAGACTTCACTGACCGGTCGTGACAACGATCGTAACTTCCCTTTCACCTTGCTTGAAAAGGACGTGCGCTCACGACTCGCGTTTGACGCGTTATTGGAGGACTCCTACAATAGCAGTGCGTACGACTCGACAGCGACGGGTGTTCTGCGTGCTTACCATGACAAGGGTAGCAACAGCACTCTGTGTGTCAGCGTCCACCTGATGGGGAATGTTTGAACAGGCGAGTATGTCGAGCGATAGCCAGAGTCGGCGATTATAGGACCAGGACCTACCCAATGGACGCCTTTCTTACTGGATACCGGCAGCGTGAGACCATTAGATATCGCGACACCACGCTAGCTGAGAAGTGATGCCAGAAGCCAGAGCTCAGCTGACCACCACCGAAGGCAAGGAAGCGGGCACGAATCAAAACTTCCAATAATTGGTCACGGCCTTACGCGCACCCGCGCGCGGGCACACTAGCAAGTCCCGGCCGCACTGTATTAGGACAAGCTATTGGTAACAAAAGACAAGCAGTCTGCCCGCACGGGAGTTCAGTCAACGTCATGTCAATTAGGTGTATTGAGAAGCGGGAATGCGCACCGAATACTACTACAAAACACCGCTCAATTGCCGGAGGCAGGTCAACTTTCGTCCATGGCATCCTTCTTCGCTCCCTCGTCTTCAACCTCCTCGAACATCAGAGTGCCCTGCTGCTCCTTCAGCCACTGCACGCTGCGCTTTTCGTCCATGAAGTAAACATATGCGCGTCGGAGGTCTTCAACCTCGACTCGCTCAGACCTGCGTTTTCGAGCAATAACCTGCCCACACGAGATGAGGTTAAGAGCGTATCGGAGCGTAGTCTGTGCTGCCATAGTGGTCAAAACCTGCAGGGCATTGTCCGCCAAGTTGACGTCTTCCTCCTCGCATCTGGAACACGATCGAACATCCGTCGGTCAGGTCCGTCGACGTCGACGTGGGGCCCGACATGTCATGCACACACCTAATTTTAATGATCTCTTGTATTTCCTCCGGTGTATATGGCTGCGTGCTGACAATGAGCACCCGATCGAGCAGGTCGACTGGAAGTCCGTGCGGACTGCGGAACTTTGTTCCGCGTATGCGGGCCATTCCTCTGTTGGAAGCCATAATGACGAGCGGGGAGAGCTCATTCTCAAGAGCCCGGTTGAGGAAGGAAAAACACTCGATGTCGAGCATGTGCACCTCGTCGATAAATAGGACCTGTGTGAACAGAGTTACGGTTGTGAGCTTAACTATTGTGCCCTGCACTGCATAAGGTAAAGGGACGCATACACCTGGGATAATCTCTGCTTTCCCCTCCTCCCTCCATTCCGCAACCTTTGTGTTGATTTGGTCTCGCAGCTCAGGCTTAATCTCGCCTGTGTCACCAGCGAAGAGAGCAAGGAAGCCTTGTGTCCGACTATTGATCACGTCAATTTCGTGTAAGGAGACAGTATGCACCACTTCTTTGCGCTTTTGTACTTCGCCTTCTGGGCATTGCACGAATCGTGTCTGAAATAGACAGCTAAGTAAGTATGAAATTGAACGACGCGGACAAGGAGCATACGTCTGCGCCCATGGCATCATAGTCTCTTGAACGTGCAAATGACCGACCAAGCTTAGAGACTTTGCCAGAAGTTTTGTCGATAGAGATGACATCACCCGCTGTCACCTTCTCTTTCGAAAGAGCATCTATCATTTTGGTACCCAGGTCATACACGGTTTCCATGTCCGTGGTCTTGATCGTGAGCTTTCCTGTTTTCGTCGCCTAAAGCGAGCGGTTGTGGGACAATGTCACCCCAGGGAACTGCAGCACTCACTCCCGTCAAGCTGCGGTCGATCTGCATCTCAACCACCTCGCCCTCAATGAGCTCCGTCTCCTCCTTGATTCGCACACCAATACTTCTCCGGAGGGACTGAGTGAGGGCCTCAGTTTTTGACATAGACAACGAGAAAACCTCGCTCGCGGCGATCATCGTAAACGGCACATCTGGTCCGAGAGTCTGCGCCATGCCTGCACACAAGGTTGAGCATTTTCATGTCTTGCAAGCAAACCGAAGCTGTATGTACGCACCAAGTGCAATGGCAGTCTTGCCGGTCGAGGGCGGACCTGCGAAGAGCATAGCGCGCCCTGCTATTCGTCCTTCCTGCACCATTTTGAGGATCATGCCCGCAGCTTTTCGCGCCTTGGCCTGTCCGACCATGCCTTGCGAGTTCGTGCGGGGTTCCAAGCGGTCATCAAGCCCCAGACCGCGGATATGTGAATGTGCACCTGTCCGAGCGATCTGAGCAATGGTAATGTGAACCGAGCGGCGTGCAACACACCAATTCGCTCCATTTTTGTGATGTCTCTGAGCTCTGAGGCTCCGGCAGTGATTGTTGCGGCCTGAAAGCATAATCGAGCAATACAAGAGTGAGCATAGGAGCGAGTCCCGAGGGATGTTCTGAGTAGCCGAACGTACCATGGTCGCGACTTGCAGAAACGCGTATTTGTGGGCGCTAAACAAGTGCTCTGCTCGTCCCTCACCATCACGCTCTGGCAGGGCGGTGGAATGTTTTCTGCACGATGCGGGGCTAACCTGCTTCGCTCCTGCTTTTTTTCTCTCACAACGGCAACCGCAGCTGCCTCATCATCTCGCGCAACGTTCTTTCCAAGAGCTGCAACTGTGACGAGATCGTACGCTACGGAAGCCACCACACAATATGCGCCAAACGAGGTCAACGCAGCCCTCGCACGCACCGCCGTACTCTTCAAAACATACAAGCCCGTCTCGCCTGGTATCCGACATCTGAAACGGCCGCTCGCGCCGCACCTGTTCAAGGGCCGCCCGCTGCGCCTGCTCACCGTCGCCGTCCGCAAGAAGGGCGGACGCAACGCCCACGGCCGCATCACCGTGCGCTCGCGCGGAGGGGGACATAGGCGGCGCATCCGCGTCGTCGACTTCATGCGCACAGAGCCCGGCCCGCACGACGTCGTCCGCATCGAGTACGACCCGAACCGCTCCGCGCACATTGCGCTCCTCAAGAATCGCAACCCGAATGTTGACGGGAGCAAGGTCTGGAGCTACATCCTCGCGACCGAGGGCCTGCGCGCGGGGCACGTTGTAGAGAGCTTCCGGCAAGGCATCCCCGAGGGTCTGGTGCCCGGGTTCGTGGACTCGAAGAACGTCCGCGGCAGGTCGCTCGAGCAGCCCGAGGGCGCAGAGGTGCAACCGAGTTCGACTATGTCGCTTGCACAGGGCATCTTGCGCTCACTCACGATCAAGCCCGGCAACGTGCTCCCCCTCCGTCTTATTCCCACCGGTACGGTCATCCACAACATCTCGCTGGATCCCCAGGGTCGTGCCATCCTTGTTCGCTCTGCAGGCACTTTTGCGCAGGTTGTTGCGCATGAGGACTCGGGCCGCTACACTCAGGTCCGGCTGCAGAGCGGAGAGGTGCGCAAGGTGTTGCAGGAATGTATTGCGACTGTCGGGAAGGTCAGCAACCCCCTATGGAAGAACCGCAACCTCGGAAAAGCTGGCAGAAACCGCTGGCTGGGACGAAGACCGCACGTCCGAGGTATGGCGATGAACAGGTACGGAATGTTTTCATTGTAGATCTTGTGGGTACTGACTGGCAACTAGATGTGACCACCCTCACGGAGGAGGTCGTGGAAAATCAAAGGGAAACAAGGACCCGCGCTCAATATGGGGCTGGTTGACCAAGGGCAAGCGTACGCGTAAGCCGGGCCCGAAGGGTCCGAAGAACAGTAACAAGATGGTTGTGCGCGAGAGGCCACGGGGGAAGGAGAAGCGTAGTAATTAGTTGCTGCATTCTGTCACACCTCTACTATCCAATGTTATCTCATGAATGGTGCTTTCTTTGGTGGCTACGACGTGTTCATCCGACAACAGTATCGTTCTGCATCCGTAAGACATTGCACTTTGTTTCTGCTCAGCACTGAACAGCTCCAGTGCGATATTCTACCTACAACTTTCTTGTCACTCCTCGTCTACATCCTCCCCCTCGTCTTCCTCTTCCTCGCCCTGTGTTTGCTTCTTACTCTCCTTGCCTTGCTCCCTGGTGCCAACGGCGTCCCTCCAAGCCGTCAGCTCCTCTCCTAGTGTTGTTTTGGCATCGAGGACTGCGGCTCTTAGGGCGCCATAGTAGTCTTTGGCATTCGTGGTAGATGATGACAGTGCAAACTGATGGGTTTTTGTCGGTTCGAGCCCGGAGAGCGGGGTGCCCTCGGGAGGGTGTAGGTCGTATGTGACTTCAATGACGGCAGGAGCCATGGCAAATTCAGAGCGATCTAAAGGTTGCTCATTCATCTCACCAATATCACATTCGTCGGCGATAGCCGAACACGAAGAGATCGAGAGAGGGGCGCCTATTGAGCTTTGTCGACTCTCCTTCCCTCACCGCCAGGATGCCTGTCCTTGTGCAGTAGCAGCCCGGGCCAAACTCGGGTTGCACATCTCTCGGAAGTCTCATCTTTCACTCTGTATAGAACATACCCTAGAAGGACGCACCGCCTATTGCCTAGAGGATCAAGACGACATACAGTTCTGAAATCCTAGAGCGTAGATATCCTTACACCATAGATTTCATGTTTACGATGCGCTGCGCCACATCTTACCCGGTACCACCTACGAGCAGCTTACCCCCACTTGTTCGCTTGGCGCTTTGCTCCACAGAACAGGTCTCGGACGCTTTCCAGAATCTACGTGCCATCTATTGCCGCAACACCTTCTCCGTCGCGCCCACACTGCTCCGGAAGCACCTGCCAAATCATCTTCTGCACGACAAGTCCGTGCCAGATTCTGGTTATGCTTCTGCTGATGACGAAGACGAGGGCGGTGCGGATTCCCCCGAGGTCGAGGTCGAGTCAGACGCATTCGATATCGACGTCCTCCGTTCCGACGCTTTCGAACGCGACTTTGCCACCCGATGGCTCACCGGCTTCATAGCACGTTCAGACGTATGGGTCACTTCTGTTGATTCAGACGCACGCGCTGCGTTGGTAGACGACGCCGCGTCGATTCTCGCTGCTTTTGCTGGAGACGATGAGGAGGAAGCCCTTACCCGTCGCTTCACGTTCGAGGGCGGTATCGATGTGGAGCTCAACGATGCACCGCTTTTGACCGAGGATCATACATCTGTCGGTTTGCAGAGCTGGGGCAGCTCCATCCTCCTCGCAGAGCGACTGTGCGCTAATCCGCATGCGTTCGGACTGTCCATCCGTCAAGACCAAACCTCCCTTCGAGTGCTCGAGCTCGGCGCGGGTACTGGCCTGTTGAGCATCGTCGCTGCCAAGATCCTCCGAGCACAACGTCTCGACGACACGACATCGATCGTCGTCGCAACCGATTACCATCCGTCCGTCCTTGCGAACCTCAGATCTAACGTTACCACGAACTTCGGCACTGTTGATGGCCTGCTAGTGGTCCGAGCGCTCGATTGGCAGTACCCTGTGCACGATGGGCCATTCGCATTGCCCTTCGGTGTCATTCTCGCTGCAGACGTGATTTATCATCCGGAGCACGCCCGCTGGATCAAGAAATGTGCTGAACACCTCCTTACCCGCCCCGATGATGTATCCGTAGGGGGTATCTTCTGGCTTATTATCCCGCTAAGACCAACAGGAAGACACGAAGGCATGAGCAACACGGTCGAAGAAGTGTTTCCCCAGGTCTCACAGCAAGACAGGGACAGCACAGTGCACACTTCCAAACTCGAGCTGGTAATCCTCGATATGCAGAAGCTGGCACGACACGAGGGAGTAGGCAGAGCAGATGAGGGCGGATATAAGTTATATCGGATTGGCTGGGTACGTCGCGAATAACGCTACTTGACGTATACACTTTCATGCATTATCTTGGTGCTTTTGGGGGTCGGGGCTACTATATGTGATACATAAATTACAATGTTCTACATGATCGCAAGCTTCAGAAGATGACTTCTACCGTCATATAAATAAATCCCTATAGCTGTTGCGCTGCGCCCAAACCGCAGAGTGCGAGTGCGGCGTTCATCATATCGGCATCGTGCGTCCTCACGTTAACATCCCCGTCGTCCTCATCCATCTCCGTGCTCAACCCCGTCATCAGCATAGACTTGGCCATTGGGTCGTTTTCCTTGTCAGCGTCCATACGCACAGCTTGTGCCCTGCGGTGATATGCGCCCATTATTTGGCTGTTCCGTGGGGTCACCGCCTCGTGCGCCTCGCTCTCGTCCTCTGTATCACCTCCCAGATCGAGCTCAAGGCCACCGTCACTCTCCGGCTCCCGCTCCACATTCCGCTGCCCACCGACCCTTGCTGCGGCACACGCCCACTCCAGCGTGCGTATAGGCTTGAGACGGCTGCGCCCGAAGTCGAGGAGGTCACGGTCCGCCTGCGGGCTCGAATGTGACGGCGGTGACGAAGGCATGCTCTCCCAGAGCGCAGGCGCGTGCCAGCGGGGCGGGGTGAGCGGCAGCAGGCGCGGGCGCGGTGGCGGGGTCTTGGGCGGGAGCAGCGGGCGCTCGGAGCGCGCGGCGATGCGGTCGAGGGAGAGGCTGCGGTCGAAAGTGGGGGCGCTGCGCTTGCGCGCTGTGAGGTGGACTGGTGTGGCATCGCGCAAGAGCGGTGGAGTCATGGGCTCGAGCGACGGGCTGTGGCTGGCCCGTGGCGTCGTGCTCTGGCTGCCGACGGGCGGCGAGGATTGGTCCTCGGAGCCGCCCCGTTCTTGCTCGAGTAGTGCGGCGCGGCGGACGGTGTGGATGGTCTTCCCTGATACGTCGTGAAACGGGTACGAATGTCTCGGGCTCGGCTTCTTGGCTCGCCGTTCCATCTGCCGCTTATTCTGGAACCAGATAGTCACTGACCGTACTTCCCTGTAGAATATACCGAGGTGAGTAATGATGCACGCGATATATGCAGAGACAGACCGGTAGGTATAGTATATTGCGACACGTGAAGTTACTTACATATCGCCTTCTTTGGCCAACGCGTCGCGCTGTTCGCGCGTCGGGTGTGAAGTGCGGCGGTACAGTTGCTCAAGCATCATTAATTGGGTATTAGAGAACCGCTTACGCGTGCGTCGCGTCGCAGCGAGCGGGTCGCCCGCGTCTGCGTAAATAAGTGCCTCCTCCGGAGGCACGCAGGCCTCGGAGTCGAGCGATGAGACGCTCGACGACGAGTCGATGCGCAGGAGCGTAGGAGACCGGATACGGGGCTGTTCGTGCATTGCAGGGCCGGGAACGTGTAGGAGGCGAGGGAGGACGCGCCATGGCGCGTATTTATTAGGGCCACATCGAGGACGCGTATCGACACGAACAAACAGTAAACAAGATCGCGTACCGTGTCACGCGCCGCGGCGCGACGCGACGCGTTTGCACATGACCGTGCTGGCGCTAAATTCCGTGTCGCCGTTTATCGTGTCCAGTCTCCCTTGAGCTCGTCCTTCAGTACTCCAGTTTCCGAGCAACTCACCCCATTGCTATGCACACGGCGAATGCTTAATGTAACAAACATCATAGAACCGCATTATCAGCGAGCTCCGGCATAGCCACATTTCTAGATAGCAAAACAAAAACCACACATGCAACCGGTGACGGGGCTGGTCGGGTCTACAACTGCTTCTGTGTGTCACCTGGGGTGTATGTTCTCTAAGCTTGTAGAGCTATTCGCTGTCTTGAACTTCTTCCGTGAGCAATACACACTAAGGTTCTCGGCTCCGTCATTGCCTTCCTCTCGTTGGCCCCCCACGAAGCAATGGGGTACTCACAGGAGATGCGGACTGAGAAGAGAAGAGACGCCATGTAACGCATGTCGACAGCGTCCTTGCAACTGTTTGTAGCTCGGCTGCAGTTCCAGACATCGCTTGTACTCTATTGAGCAACGGCCTGAACAAACATCGACAGACCCGGCGTGCATGATCATCCAAAAACATGTAATAATCAGCGTTCCACCGGAAGTAGATCGGTTCACATGGCAATAAATTAAAAACCGGAAGTGCGCGTTTTTTGCGCTGTTTCTGGTAGTAATAAACTTGGTATTGTTGAGGGACGGGCTCCTCGTAAACATACCCAAATGAAATTTGCACAGCATTGAGAGGGATCCTAGGCAGTCGCTGCTAAACATGAGGTTAATTTATAGCATCCCGGTCCTCAATCATTCCGCGGCAGCATTATAACATGCGTGAGAATGCCCCAGTCAATATACTGAACCTTGTAGCACTGGACCTGCAGTCCACCTATATCTTGCTCTCAGCCTTCGCGCACAAGAACCCATGTCAGACAAGCTTTCTCCTGTAGAACAGCACGTTCAGGCAGAAAAAATGCCTGCCGAATGCCCCGACCCGGCGACGTCCTCCGACTCCCTATCCCCGAACGGCGGCCCCAGCGACCAATTGAACGTGCAGAAGAAGAAAAAGAAGAAGAAGAGCAAGAAATCTAAGAACACGAAGGACGTTGCGAATGGCGCGACCCAAACGAACGGAAAGGACAATGTCGCAGACGACGACCGCCCGCCCGTGCTCTGCATTAGCAGAAACAAGCACTGGCGGTACATTAGCTCTTATCATGTACGTCTGTTGCCTTGCGCCCGCCTGTTACGCTGACGGAATACATAGGGACCCTGGCTACAATTGCCTCTCGAACTCCTTGAATCTTTACTTGTCCTCAACCTTGACCCCGCGACCCTCTCCGCGTCCGCGTCTGATACCCGTCTCCCTTCTCTCCCCCCTCCAACCATCAGCTCACAAAGACACCGCGACCGTGGATTCGCCGGCCTGGGCGACCATTCGCCGCCTGATTCTCCGCACAGCACATTCGCGAGCCTCCCCCCACCCCCGCCGTTTCCGACACCCAAGCCCGGGAAGGCGACACCGCCGCCCATCGACCCGGGCGTGTTCCGCTCCGTAACCAGTATCCGCCGATTGATAGATGAGGCGTCCGAGCTCTCCGTTCGCGCGAGCTCTGGGCTGTCGGCGGCGGCCCTGGGCTCGATGCGCGGTGCCGGTCCGGGCATGAACTCAAGCCCGTGGGCGACGGCGCAGTCTTTGGGCATGAATCCACTCGGGGAACCTGTAGGTGGGCGGAACGTGGCCATGTCTGCGATGCGTGTGCACAGGCTGCGGGCGTTGGCCGTCCAGAAGCTTGCGGCTGCTTATCGAACGGACGAGATAGCGTCCAGTGTCATGGTCATGCAAGGGGGCAGCGTGTTTGACGACATCGCGGAGCGCGTACTTAAAGTTGGTACGTAACCTGGTATCCACATCTCACAAGTGCGAGCGTTAATTGTGGGCTGCAGACCCACACGATGTGGATGCACGCTATGTGCACTTCTTCCACGAGAAGATACCTTCTCGGTATGTCCCGTCCGTTCGCTTATGGTACATGGGGCGCTGAGTCGTCCATAGACAGCTAGCCGAGTCGACTACGACCAGTCTGCTGGACGAACTGATAGCTGCATATCCTCAACGGCTCGAATTCTACCGCACACGCGGAATTGTACACTGCTTCCGCGACGAATACGCCTCAGCGGTGAAAGATTTCACGCATGCGTTTAGAGAGGCGCGCACGTTACGTCGGGCGAAGGTGGCGCACCGAAACAGCAAATCAAACGAGAAGCAGCGCGGGAAGGGGCACAAGAAGAAGGGTAAGGCAGGTGGGAGCAAGACGCACGGGCAGGCGCTGCCCAATGGGACGAGCGTAGCTATGCCAGACGAGGATGCGCCGACGATCGAGGGGCCGGACGGCGAGCAGCTCTTGTTGCATCCGTCTGTATTACCGGATGCCCCGGACCCGATCGAGCCGCAGTGCCTCTTTCTGCGCGCCGCGGCGTATCTGCAGCATGCGGTGTATCTCATCGAGGACGGGATCTTGCAACTGGAGGGAATACGCAAGATACCGTCCGTGGACGGTGCGGAGCTGCGGCTGTGCTACATCGAGAATGGGCGGTACGGCGGCGTTGAAGTCGGCCATCCCGACGGACCACTCGGAAACAAAGACGGGACGAAGCTCGCCGCGTACAGAGCACTCCTCGCTGAAGGTTTTTTCCGCGAGCAAGTCACTTTACTAGTCAAAAAGAGCATGCGTGATCACGAGAGGTTCCTCGCCCACTTCGATTCACTCGAAGGCGTGCCCAACCCCGCAGTGGGCGAGGATCTTGCCTCGCGCCTCGCGCACGCGTTTGCACTTACGGAGTCATTCCGCCCAGGCAGCCAGGCGCAGCCGCCTCCTGCCGCCGAGTCTCCTGCGACGTTCACGACATATCATCCTCTCCTGGTGGAATCGCACTTCAGCATACTCCTGGGACACCTCCTGCTTGGCGACTTCCCCGGTCTGCTGCCCGCGTTCACGCGCACTGCCGCCGTGGTCGACGGTCTGGAGGGCTATCCTGTGTTCCTCCCTCCGCGCTCTATGGCACAGGCTGAGTTCGTCGAGGTGCTCGAGCGCCTCGCAGGTGGGTGGCGCAATGGCGTCCAGCCGCACTCACTCTCGTCCCTGGGCTCGATGCTCGCACTCGAGGCGCCGCCGACGTTCTCAGCGAAGGCGAAGGAGGTCGACCGTGTACCGTCACCGCCCTCGCCTGACATGGACCGCCTTGCCGCGTCCGCATCCTCCCTCATACTCGGCGTGAATGGCTCCAGCTCGAGTACAACGGTTCACATGTCGCCCGCACCGTCCGGGCGCGAGACACCTTCCAGCGGCACAGAGCGCGTTGACTCAGCGGAGGCGCTGGATTGCGCTCGGATCCTGCTTGCTCCGGTTGCGGTGCGGCTGTGCGAGAAGCTCGAGAAGGCGGAGAAGGAGAAGGCAGCGAACAAGGGGAAGAAGAAGCCGCTGAACATCAATATCCCTCTGCACGGCCCCAGGGTCGAGATTGTGCTTGCTTGGCTTGGGGCCGTGCACTTGCCGGAGCTGGACACCGTGGCTTGATAACTTCCGTTGTCCCTGGTATCCTTCAATATCAAACTTTACATCCTTGGTTGTACTCGTACTGAGCTTGTTTCATGTCGTGGCGTTGTTGTCTGTGGGGTTATCTGATTGTTGGCACCTTATTCCAGTTCAGCCCCACTTGTAGCAAGTGCGCCAATTTCAGCTTTTTGACCTCTTTGTTGTCGACAGGACCTGTTGTTCGGAGCATCTCTGGAATCCGTAGTGTTTCGGAGGGTGTGCCGGACTCGGGACACTGTACGAAAATGAGATGATGACACCTTCTGATCGGCCAGCGTGCGATGTCAAAGGCAAGGAAGGTGGACCAGAGGTCGATTGAAAAAGCTAATCTCGCTGGACGGTGTCCGGAGCAACCCACGGTGGTTAGGTTGCGTGATGAGTGTAGCTTGCATGTTAGCCAGACTACCGCTGGCGGTCTCTGTGTCAGCACATAAGCATGATCATGCGTTGGTGTCTGGGGCATCCCCCAGGTGACCGGGAGCTTGCTATACTAGTGTCATATCGAGGTGACCCACCTTACGCAGGGGCTAGTAAGTAATCGTCGTCGAAGTCGGCCGTGATTATCGGCATCTGCTGTTTTCATAGACGATCCTTACCGAGACGATAAGATAAACACGACCTTCTCCGAAGCGGTGAAGGTTTCATCGTTGTCGACCGAATAAATGCGTTCGATTGAGAGGTATATGTAACCAGGAAGCTTTTGCACGCGGTCCCTCTGGTTATCCTGGATTTTCTGAATCCAGAGCATACTTTCGGTTTACTGTATACACATTCTCATTTGTTGACTCTGATTTATATTCAAATAACATATACTCGAGCACATTAAAACGAGCATCAGCATCGAGGTCTAATATTGGAGTACCTGTAAGGTGGTGTTTTGGACAGCAGACAAGGTAAGGCACCGTGCGTCTTCAACCTTCTTACAATGAAAAGGATAGGAAAAGTGACAGCGACATGCGCCCATCAGTGAGCAATGTGCGTCGTGGTGGCAGACTCAGGATGGCCGCGATCGAGAAGTATAGTACATCAGACGCGATCATGTGACCGTGTTTTGGAATCCCTCAACGAAACGGCCTTGCAAATGATATACAATGAACAATATTAATGACAGTAAACACGAGCTTGCGCGGTGGTAAATACATAATTATCTGTTGTAGTCCCGAATCTGCGTCGCAGGGTAGACAGCTGGAATAGAGACATTATGCAGCACGATGTGGGTAGTGGCGGTAGCAAGTGAAATGGCTAGTACTATCTCCGCACTGTCTCTATATAATCCGGCGTCAAGTCAGTGTTCGGCAATGCTGATGAGGGAGCGGATAAACGAGAGTCTGGAGAGTCGAACATCCCAGCCTTGATGTGAATCACTTCTGGGTGAATGTGAAGAACCTCTCGATATGGAGATTCGCCGTCGGCTTTGAGACTGACGTTCGTCATCGGCACCTCCGTCATGATTGTGTTTCTCCGTCTGTGTATATGATCCCGAATCAAGCCTCGCATACTCCACGTCCGAACCCTGATGAAGTACGTCATCGCAAATATTAGACAAATCTTCAACAAGGTTCAAGTCAGTGAATGTCTGGGAGTACATACTCGGCTGCTCACATTGATGAGAATATAGGCTATCAGGACACCGAAGTCACGCCAGCGATGCGAGTACGAGATGCTGAAGTTCTGAGTGAAGAATATATCCTTCGTACGGTAGGGGCAATAGCCACACGCTTGGCTATCATTTGCATTTGTGAGATAGCCTCCGGCGGTCTCGGCGAATGTGGCCAAATACTGGGAGCAGATCATTCCTGCAGGAGGGTCAACGGTGACGAGTTCTTCAAGGTCACAATGAATAGGCATGCCCCCCGAAGCTACGTCATACGAGACAATTAGCTTTTGGAAACGCCGCAACGCAGATAGCATACCTTGGCCGACTATGCCTTCCACAACATATGTCGAGGGTATAACACGATTCATCCACTGCCACCAGCCCAGTTGTGCGTACGGACGCATGACGCCATCGCTGCACGTTCAAAAATCAGACGAATGGCTTCGACACACGATCAAGCGACACATACAAGAGTAGCATGAAAGCGAATAATGCACTGAAACCGAGCGAAGCTGCCTCAGGAGTGGGTGAGAATGCTCCGACTGCCTAATAAATAACGGGGTGAATCAATAAATCATGTTCCGGTCGCCGATGCTGCTCACCTGGCCCACTGTCGTGAAGTATAGTGGGTATACCACTGCCAACATCAGGTATGAGTAGCCTGCGCGACTAGTCGGGAATCCAACCGTCCAATACCAAGAGATAAAGTACGCTGTCATAGCCAGGATGTTCCAAGGCAGTTCGGCCAATAGCTGGGAGGTCAGAAGCGCTGTCCAATGGTACATGTTGCTGAACCTCTCGCGAAGCTCATAGACGTTGCGCACGTTGATCAACGGTACGAACATCTGATGAGTGAGCGGAGAAGCCATATACGTTGACAAATACACTGTCTGCAAACATCCTCAGCCTTTTAGCAGCGGCATACTTTTGGCACGGATTGAGACGCGTACCCAAAGCTGATTCTGGGTGCCTTGTAAATTGTCTTTAGTGTGGAGAAATGAGAGACCAATTACGATGCCGGCACCAGACGTGAGGATGAACTTCGACAGAAGATACGTTGGGTTTCTCCAATAGCCAGTAAGATTGCGATTCAGTAATGTCGCCAGCTGCGTCCTCCAAGAGACAGCGGAACCACGTGAATAGGACCGAGCAATTTCAAGGGGAATTTTGTTCAGTCTGATGGCATCCAGTTGGGCATGTAGTTTGCGAGCTTCTGGGCAATGGACCCATATCTCATGCCAATCCTGGTTTAAGGTAGATATCGCACTGGCACCAATGGCATTCAAGATATAATCGGCACTGCGAAGATCTGTTCTCAGCTGAACAACCTCTTGGTAAAGACACGGCGACATACGGATTCTCGTCTGGTGTACATGGGCGCGCGCCATGCTTCTCGAAATAGTCAATAATCGTCTTGGATTCAGTGCCCAGTTCTCCGTGATACACGACTTGCCCGCCTTTACGCAACAGTAGCAAGTGATCGAACATCTAGACGACCGCGTCAGCACTTGATCAAGTATATACGAAGCATATCGTGACGTCACCTCAAATACATCAGACGACGGTTGGTGGATTCTGCGCATGCAAGCAATGAGACCTCACTCTCGTCGAATCATGCAATCGTACGTACGTGCATACAATCGCTTGTCCTTTATCAGCCAGATTCCGCAGCGCTCCGACGATGGACAGAGCACCTTGTGAATCAAGGCCTGAAGTAGGTTCATCAAGGAAAAGTAGAGGAGGCTACCGCATCGAGATTAACGTAGGCCTTCATTCAATAATACGACTTACCTTTGCGATCAGCTCGATGGCAATGCTAACCCGTCGTAATTGCTCGATGCCCAACGTGCCGATGATGGCATCTGAGTACGATTCGAGACCGCACATAGTGATGCATTCGGCTACACTAAGATTCGCAATCAGTAAGAGCCCATTGAATTGTATTGGGATTTAACATACTGGTCCATCTTCACTGAAAGTGGCACAGACTGAGACTGACGTAGTTGAACTGAGAACAAGAGAGCTTCGCGCACGGTCGATAAAGGGTAGTGCGTGTCCACCTGTTGGCAGAATCCACTAGTTGGGTGTTAGCGACCACTATAGTAAACCACACTTTGGTTGCATACATTTGGGTCTGGAAGTCCGCCGGGACAGGCTTACCATCCAGAAGCAGATCACCAGTGACATCTCCAGTGGTGGTCCGCTTGGATAAGACATTGAGCAATGTGGTCTGTCGCGAGAGGTCCGTGAGTTAAGCAAAATAGTGACTTAATGGACGCCAATACTTACCTTCCCTGCACCAGATTCCCCCATCAGTGCGACCAGAGATCCTGGTGTGACACATCCGGAGACGTCTTGCAAAAGTTCCCTCCGAGCACCATCAGCTGTGGGTACCGAATACGACAGGTTCTCGAATGAGAATGTGCCACCTCTGGCAGTTCTCGTCGACGCCTCGTGCCCTGTGTCGACATTGGATCGCCTGTGCTGACTGTTTTGCTTACGAGTCGGCTTCTTGAAAAGAACAACCGAAGTCTGGGATGCCGATTCCACTCGGATTTCAGTCATGAGCAGGTAGGTGAGCGTAAAGAAGGTGAAGAAAGCGATCAGGATGCCAACATTCTGCAGAATAATGAGTGTAATCTTCGTGCATATCGTGATTTTTACTTACCCGCCACAGATGGTCATACGAGAAGTCAAAGTTCACTTGCAAATAGCGTGCACCTGAGACAGAGAGGTCGCCAGGAAGAGACCCCACCGTTGTGCACACTTGGTTTTCTGAAGCCACATGCTCATATCCAGGTCCTTGAGGGATGGGCGTAGAGCACGTCGCGGTCAAATCTTCGAACTCGTTGACTGTGACAGCCTCGGTGGCATATTTGAGAGGCTAGCCAATGCATCAGTCTTAATCTCAAGGCCTTATGATCAAACTTACATTTATATAGGTAATCCATTTGAGTGCTCCGATCATCGTAGGCATCGGCAGGATAAACCCCATGTAAAGCACGCTAAACATCATTATAAGTCCTGCCAGTGCTTGAGCCGGAGCCGGGCTCTTAAATGACGTAGCCACGGCACGGAACAATCCCTTCATCGTGAAAGTGATTAGCAGCAATACTAAGGTGAAAGTTCTATTCCCAAGTCAGCACTCGTGAGAAAGATCCGAAAGAGACAAATCTCACATGAACCGTCCGAATGAGTCATGTAAATCAGCCAAGAAATAAATAATAACCGAGAAGAGGCCCGTGGTAAATAAGGTGATCGGAATATCGAGTAGTGTCAGGGAGAGCGAGTCTAAGAGAGGATGGTACATCGCAGCCCTAAAGTGCTTCAACACAATCGGGCGCTGCGAAAAGAGAGCCGGAATCTCGGTTGATGTGGTGAAGGTAACCCAAACGAGGGCGCTGACAGATCGTCAATGAATGGATACAGTCAGGTTGAGGATACTCACAATTGTACTACACTTGAGCGAGAGTAAAGGCTTGAGGTATCGGGGTGGAGATGAGCGTATACGGACCCGGCCATGATAGCCTGTATCATGGAGGCACTGAGAATCATACCTAAGTATCAAGGATAGTTTCGCAATAGAACTGGACGCATACATCAATTGTGTGATGCGCCGGCGTAATGCACCTCGCTCAAGTTGAAGCCTGCGAACAAGGAGCACCCACGCTTGCGTAGATAGTGAAAGGAGGTAGGGACTATCCGCGCCAGTCATGCTGCTATTCTCGGCTCGAGAGCGCTCCTGGAAGATCGCTGCTCGATGAGGCTTCCCGATGCACTCATCTCCATATGCCTCAATGTCGGCCTTGTTGAGTGGACAGATATCAGACTTCCCATAATATCCCGCGAACTCATGGGCCGTCTGAGGGATATAGCGATCGAAGCCAATTTGTGTCTTTCGACCATCCGGATCAGTGACTAAGAACCATTAGAGTATATCTGATGGAAGAACTATTTTATTTCTCACCGGCCACCAAAAAGTCTGCAGTCGTCTGCCTGTTGGTCGGGAGATAGCCCATGTCGACAAAGTACTGCCGCGCGCGAGACGCAGGCCCAAAGTACGCCATTCTGCCCTCGTATATGAGACAAACCTTGTCAAATAGCTCAAACAATGGTTCCCCGGCTTGTTGCAAGGAGACAATGGTCGCTTTTCGCTCATGGTCAGTTACTGAGCGCAGGGACCGCACAAACTCGAGCGCAGTGGAAGCGCTGAGCGTGGCGACGGCATGAGTACTTCGTCGGTGTGAGAAAGATACGCATGCACGTACTCAAGCCCACGAGTCGGACTAGGGACATATCTCAATATGGACTGAGTTCAAACGGTCGAAACACGTACTTGTCCCAGCAACTGATGAGACTTCTTGTCGCAAGACCCTCGCAAATGGACACTCTTTTCTTCTCTCCTCCAGAGATACCACGAATAGCTGCATCACCTACGACCGTATTCCTAACATGGCGCAAACCAAAAGTGGTCTCCAAATGTTCCGCAACCTTCTCCGTGTGATCACGCGGCGACGACGAGTCGGACTGATCTTTTGGCGTCCTTGTTCGTGCCGCGAACCGCAACGTCTGATCCACCGTTAGAGTAGGGAAATGGTAATCTTCCTCGGAGCAGTAATGAATGTCGCCGCGGTAGTGCCGATGCACCTCTTGAGGGCTCAGCGAGTCGTAATGGATATCGCCTTGGACGGAATGAAACTCGGCGTGTTGATTGGCCAAGACTCGGAGAAAGGTACTGCAGCCCGCGCCCGGCCGACCAAGAACCACTGGTCAAGACATGTCAATATATATCATGAAGTATAAAGTTGACCGTCGTACGAAGCATCTCGCCAGGCTTAACGACACCTTCGAAGCCATATAGGAGATCTCGAGTGGCAGGCGATCGCCACTGTTTGATGCGATCGAGGACATTCAGAGGGTTGAGTTTCGACCCCAACGTTGGCTGGTAAATTGTGGACGCTCCGAGCCCCACAACGCGGAGGTATTTGAACATCACCCCGAGTTCCTTGGTGGGCACACTCCTGAATCTTAACATGTTACTAAGTAGCGATAATATTACAACGAGAGACTGAGAGAAAACGTACCGCTCAATAACATCCTCTCGCTGCTTTCTGTAGTCTCCCCCCGGCTCGTTGAGATCGAGTTTAAATGTCACCTCGGAACTCGCAAACGATAATGTGGACAGCCGCTCTGGCGTCGCATAGAATCTGCTGTCATTGATTGTCATGATTTCAAGATTATGAAAATGAAAGAAGCCCTAAGGTAATGAACAAGAATAAAAGTGATGCAGGGGAATATACCGTTTCGTGTGTCGCGCCTTATATACAGAGCGCCGCAGAGGCACACCATCACAACGTTGGCACAGCCGTCTACGCCTGTTACAAAAACACCATCAGTCGGGCATGGGCGCGCTGCTATCAGCGCTCTTGTCCCCGAGTAGATTATCTGATAACTTATTTACCCTCCTCGTTCTCACTCGAATTTGCGTTCTACGTTGGAGTAAGCGGGATTATCGCCAAGGTGGCAAAATTCACCGGTCTATGCTAGCCTCTTCACCTCTATCCGCATGGGGGCTGTGGTTTTACCGGCGGTCATTTGCACTGCAACGGCGTTGCAATGGGCGTCTAATATATCGATGTATGTGTAACGTCAGGAATGCGTGCTTTGTCAGTATGTACTCACCGATGGATCCCTTGGATACAGTGTGAGTACGGGCATTGTTTACTTTACGTAAGCCGGTGTTGGAGGACCGAACGCCATCGATGGTGAAAGGTAGATCTACTAACAAGAGTGGAAGGCCTCCGAGGACTTGAGCCGAGGTAAGACTGTTCGGGTCAGACGGCCACTCGGAGGGCTATGCAGGCGTGCGACGGGTATGCTTCAAGTGCAACACTGCAGCTCACCTAGACTGCGTTCTGCCAGTTACTAGCTGACAGACTCACAGCGACCATAGACATTCAACCAGGCCCAAACGAATGATCGATGTCCAAGGATCGACCAACCTGTTTGAGCACATCAAAGCGCTGTGTGGACAACGCATCGGGCATCTCCATTGTCCACTCCATCACTCCATACTTAAAAGGGACCTGATCTTTGATTTGAAACTCGATTTTCGATTGATGTCGGGAAGGGGCGTCTATTGCAGTACGCTACCGCGAGGTGGCCAAAAAGTAGACGACATTCACGCGGCAACGTGTATAGTCATTGGCAATCGCATGGCGACTCGAACGTGAGCATCCTGAACCCGCTGCTTGATTGCATAATAGGTTCTCTCTGTTGTCTATCACTACCATCATGCCACTGTCATGACAGGGTTGACAGTGAGTCGTAATAACATCTTCACTAAACATATATGAGCCATTGCTGCTCGTTTCGCGACTTGTGACATACCTTAGCACGCTGAAATCGCAAATGCGGCCCCTTGATCCTTCAATATTCGGAGATGTCTTTCGAGCAGCGGACGTGCCTTGCATATCCTCACGCAGATTCCCTCAGTGGTGCTTGCGCTTGGCAGCCTTCATAAGCACGATCTCCTTCCTTGCCTGGTCTGCCACCCGTGCAAGCTGTGCGTTGACAAAAGGTGCGACCACCCACGCCGCACACAACACGACGGGCACCAGGAATGCAATGATTGGCACCACTGAGGCGGGGACAACGCCGAAATACAGCGGCTCGAGGAGCACGACGAATGGCACGGGCTCCGCAGGTGCGGCCGCTGCAGGCGGCCGCACGCCGGTGTCCACAAGACGAATATGTGCGAACATGGTGCGGGATACGGACCGACTCTCTCCGGTTGGGATGTCGGTGGGCATAGGCTCAGGGTTCGCGATTATTTGTGTCGACGTCTTTGCATGAAGAGACATCACGTCGTGGACGCTGTCTGACGAGTAGATGTTTATGAAGAAGTTTGTGGGGGCCTGAAGACGGTCATTACCACTGCGCATATAGACAGAAACGAACGCAGCACGCACCCATGCCGGCCACGAAATCCGCAAGGTGAATCTGGCGTACCGGGACCACTTGTGGTCGGACCCATCCACGTCAAGCACGAGCCATATCTCATGTGGGCACCCAGGGTCCGCATTTTCATCCCCTCGCACATCGTACGCGCATATATGAGCCGGTTCAGTGTATAGTGGTGCAGGTTGAACGTGGAGTATGCGCTCCGGGTTGCTGGGATGCAGCCTCGTCCTGTGCGCAGAGCACGTCAACACCTGTACATCCGTGCGGAATGAAGAGGAACACACTTACCAGTCTGATATTGGCAGCGGAACCCTTGCAACGCTCTCAACTGCGTCGAAATTGACAATCTCGGTGTTGGCGCAGACGGCAGAGAGGGTCACAAGGAAGAACCAGAGACAGCGGCGTAATCCTCGCATTGCCCAATCAATTGGGTTGGTACTCACACCCAATGTCTACAATGTCGTGATCAAGCGGCTGGTGCGCGTCGGCGAGCAGTGATCTCTCGCGTCTACGCGCGTAACTTTGTTGCGGTCATGCGCAAGTCAGACAAGCTGCGGGCGGGCGCTCAGCGCAGCTACCGCGCACATAGCCGAGCACGGGCAATCCAGAATAGGCAAGTCTAGAAGTTCGGTCAGGCCCGCGTCCAGCTGAGCCTCGGCGGAAGGCTGGTCAGCTGGCACGCCTACTCCAACAGCTTCCACTTTCCGAATAATGCAACCATGAACCTACAGATCCGCCCGACTATATATCCACAGGGGCCCGTCTTCGAGATGCCTCCTTACCACCACACCGATTATATCTCCCTCTGCCTCAGCACAAACGACAACGTTTAGACACAGGCGATCTCAGCGTCACACGAGCAATGTCAACACCAGAGGCTCTGATCCAGCATCCACCCGCTAGTGAGTCCACCATGACACCGGCGTTGCAGGCCGATTCGCTCACTCCCCTTAGTGAGAGTTGGTGGGCGCCGTCTGTCGACTACCACACGCCCTAAACCACAATCCTCCACGTGCGTCTCAGGGCAGCTCGCCACTCTCCATAACACTGACGAACATACATCGCACAGGGAGACCAAGTCGCCCTCGCCGCCCGCTGAGGCGCCCAACTACCCGCGCCCGGCACCGCCAGGCGAGCAACCGCCCCCACACGACCCGCAAGAAGACGAGGTGCCCAAGAAGGAGCGTAAGAAGGGTGGTGGCGGCGACGAGCACGAGCGCCGTCTTCAAGAGAGCCTCTACCGCAAGGCTGAGCAGAACCGGCCAAGCCGCGACGGGCACACCGCGAAGAATGTGAACGCGGTCGGCGGCGGTGGCAGGATCGGGCAGCCCGCGGGTCGCACGCTGATGTGAACACATGCTGGTGATGGAAGCTCTGTACGATTAATGTCCGGGGGAACGTTGTTCGGAGAATAATTGCCAATCTGTACCATCTGTATTTGTAAACCAATCTTGCATTTGCTATCGTGTCGCATATCCAAATTGATCGCAAACTTGGGGCTTCCAACTTCCGAGAGAAATCGCTTGCATACGCGCGTCGCATAGGTTATGCATGCTCGTGAATAGGGACATACGCATGGTGCTGTAGTGATACCGAAAGCGAGATGAAAGCAGAATACAGTTCAATGACCACCCAAGGACACCTATGCGACTGCCTTCTTTCCACGCGTCTTCTTCGGTGGTGAGGGCTTCTTCTCCTTTTGCAGTTCGAGGATAGCAGAAGCGCGTGCGAGGGTTGCCTGTTAGAAGATACGTGTCAGTATCCTCTGTATGTACAGACCGCGACTATGAGTAGCGCAGAGCGCGAAGCTAATAAAATCTGTGAGCGCCAAAGAGTCGGGCAACCGCGACGCGCGTCGAACGGGACCCGATAGCGACATGGCGCGTATCTAGCTAGAGTTTGATCGACCCCAAACTGGACCACGTATTCTTGCACATCATGTCCACACCCTACTTTCATATACTCCAGCGGGCTCTAGATGGTGCTAGTCCATCGGCCGCGTAACCTAAGCGCGCCGATGGAGGAAACATAGGAAACACAAAGGAAATATATATATATATAGAACGGAAACTGAAAGAGATACTCACTGTGCGGAGGTCGGGGCGGTAGCCGCGCTTGGCTTGTTTTGCAGCGGCACCGAGGACACGTCGGCTGCCTGAGCGGGGGCGGATTGTCGTCTTGGCAAAACCAGAGCTGACGCTGTGAGGGGATGCGTCCTTCTTGCGGGTGGCGATCTCAACACCGCCCTCGGTGGGCCTGACGTCGATGACCTGGAGAATAGTGTCATGACTCAAGACGCAAGTTGACACCCAGAAACACTGACCTTAGAGTTGGCCAGACCAGAGTACTTGAAGGAGTGGAGGTTGGTGAGGTTACCCTGAGAACGAGGGTGAGTGGATACAAATTTATTATAGCATAAGTCCACGTACCGGCTCCTTGGAGAAGACAGGGCCCTCCTGGACCTTCTTCACCATGAAGGCATTGTTGTTCTGCAGATTTTCGCAGGATTCAGCATGAGAGGGCCCTACTGAACAGGCATGCAACGACGAACGCGGAGGAGCAGCCACTGGAGATCGTTGGACATCTTGACGGAATTGCTAGGCGTATATTAGACGGCGGCAGTGAAGGTGGGAGTGGTGGCTGGGAGAAACTGTGCAGTTGGCGGACCCGGCGAATGCCGCGTTTCCAGACTCCTGTTGTGCCAAACGAGGGAGGCTGGTGGGAGGCGGGGAAGCGATCGAAGTGCCGCTTGGCACGCGTCATGGAGCGCTGAGCAGGCGGGTGCTGCGCGCTGCACCCGGTGGGAGCTGATGCGTGGGCACTAGGAAGGCGCCACTGCTTCGCTGGGCGCCGATCCCGCGCTTTTCCCGACGTGAATGTTCGCCGACGACAAGGCCGCCATGTTCCGCCTCGCCCACCGCGGCCCTGACGTCCTCCCCACCACACACGACCGACTCACCCAGCGCACACCCCACTGGTTGCGATGGCACAACAGACGCTATACCCGCATCGCCTTCTTTGCCCTGGTCGCACTTGCAGTTCTTGCTCTCTTCCGGACCACAAGCACCGCCGACATCGTCCCCTACGTCGAGGACCTCCCCGAGTTCCACATATACCCCCCACTGTACGAAAAGTACCATGCACGAGAACTGCAGCTGCCACAGCATGACCCAGACTTGCCATTACCCGAAGGACGCGAGGGGAAGTACATATGGATGGCGAACCATGTACATGGTGCGTCACAATCAAGCTCGCTCGCTTGGCTGAAACTAAGGCGCTATCAGCCTCTGGGTGGGGTAACGCCATGCAAGAGCTATTGTTGAACTCCTACCTCGCGTATGGGTCAGGCAGATCGTATGTCCCTTGCGGGTCACACAACTTCGTGCCCTCGACTCATCCCTCTGCAGCTTCGTTTTCGACAACTACACATGGAATCGGGACGGTTCCGACTACACTGACTATAATGGCAAACTCATCCCATCACGAATACCGCTATCTGCAATCATGTCAGGTACTGTCGCTTGTTTACTCTTCAAGATCGGAACGTATTTGGCTGTCTTCATCTTTGACCTATCTACCCCGCTGGTGCCCATTCGCCGTGGATGACGATATGGGATTTATCAACGCGTGGTGCACCGCTGCTGACCGTGCGGATAGTGACTAGTCCAACGCTTGCGTATATATGCGGTGCTCATGATTCGCATCTTGTTGGTCGATCTAGCAAGAGATATCACTCATGCTATATTGTCTGCAATGAAGGGACACAATGCTCACTTTGCAAAACGATCCTTGCTATATCTGGCACGACAACATATATACATTTTATCTCGAATGTTGCATGCATTTATGGTCCCTGAGGCGTTTTCATACCAGCGGGCATCCTGGCTGCAACAACGAATCTGCATGTTTAAGTTCCCGCAGCTAACGCCTTCACGCAGGACCCACGATAGGGGGACCTTTCCCACCCGGCGATCCGGCGCCCCGCGCTGTTACCAAGGAATATTTTGATGAAGTTTGCCCGCACCCAACGGTTATTCACAGTGATGAAGTGTCGTCACAACTGCCCGGAGACTCGTCCGCGCAGATGATGTTCGACAAGTGGATAGAGAAACTCAGAACCGCTGACCGCTGCGTCGAGATTGACCGCGACTCGCTCCAAATATTTTCTATCTGGTATGTTCCCGTCGCGCGACCCTCCACGTTTGCGCTCATGTCTTGATATTCCACGCGCACAGGATTTTCGGCTCGAGACGCGTGCTCGACATCTACGACAGCCTCACCAAGTCGCCCATTCTGAGCGACTTCCGCTGGTCCCCGCTCATTGAGTCCGCCTTCGAGACGAACCGGCCCATCTTCTCCCCCGCATCTGGTCTCGAGCCCTACATTCCTGCGCTCCCTTGGTTTGGAGCGAGCTCGAATCCCTACCCACCACTTCCCGGTTTGCTCGTGCTCCACGTCCGGCGCGGCGACTTCGCAAGCCACTGCGAGCACCTCGCGAGATGGTCCTCGGACTGGAACGGATTCAATCAGTTTCCCACATTGCCGGACAAGTTCGAGCGGCTGCAGAGTGCGGGCTGGGGCGAGACCGCACCAGAAAACTTAGATCTGTATATGCGGCGGTGCTTCCCGAGCATTGAGCAGATCGTCGCGAAGGTCGAGGAGGTGCGCGCGACGCCCGCTGGGCGCGGGCTGCGCCACGTTTACATCATGACGAACGGCGCGAAGGACTGGATCGACGAGCTCAAGCGCGCGCTGGGCAAGACGGGGCATTTCAAGAAGGTGTCGAGCAGTCGCGAGCTGCGATTGAGCTGGGAGCAGAAGTACATTGCACAGGCGGTTGACATGCTCATCGGCCAGCGGGCCCAGGTGCTCATTGGCAACGGGGTGCGTGCGGCTTCAGTGTATTCGTTCGACCGGCGATGGCTGACCATGCCCACGTGCACACAGTTTTCGAGCCTGACGTCGAATATCGTCATGATGCGCATGGCAAATAATCTCCCACCGGAGTCGAATCGGTTCTGGTAGGCTCGTGTCGTGTGTTGCACGCTTTTTAATGGTTATCCTGCGTACACTCATACCCTGCATGATGATGGTGATCCCTGTATTCTACGACACCCAAATGACACTGCGACGACTATGATACTCTAACTGTACCTTCCCTGAGCTACCACTTGATCCCAGCGAACAGTGCTTTGGTTCCGGATTTCTAATTAGACTAGTTCCCTCATCTCAAATTGATTGTCAGGCACAATGCGACGGGTTTCATATGAAATCATGAACGAAGTCAATGGTGCACGACCATCAACCATTAGTAGGTACTTATAAGTGTCTGACTCATCACGTTGAAAGGCTGGCATAGGGCAGTGCTTTTGCATCTTATCATGCCATCTACATCATTGTCTCTCACGCATCATCAGACCAAAGATAACATTCCAATCGCAATATATTCCCAGCCTCAGTGTCGAACACACAAAAGTAAGAAACAGCAGCGCTACCCTCAATTTGCAGACTCCTTGGCCTTCTTAGCCGTCTTGGACGCTTTGGCCTTCTTAGCTGATGCTGTGGACGAGCTAGAAGCCGTGGCCGATGCTGCGGACGAGGTAGCGGCCACAGCCGAAGCTGCAGACGAATCAGCAGCCGCGGACGATGCCGCGGACGAGCTAGCAGCCGAGGATGCTGAGGACGACGAGGACGAGCCGCCAGTGACGCCCTGTGACGTCTGACCGGCATTCTTAGTGTCAGTAGCGATGTTGGTTGTCAGCTTCCCCTGCTCAGTAGCGAGCTGGCTCTCCAGGTCTGAGGTGTCGGAGCCAGAGGCTTGCGCGACAGCAATCTGGACAGGATGTCAGTATAGTGGTGTGGGAGCAGGGTGGACGGCACTGACCTTGATGTTCAGAGCCTGGACCTCACCGGTCAGCTTGAGCACCTTGTTCTTGATCTTGCCATTCTGAAGCGCAGTCGCTGTTGAAAAACGGTGAGCAAACAGCCAATTAACTGGTGATGAGTGATGTAATCACCCGCGTCGCCAGATGCAGCGTCAATCTGAGGGTCGAAGTCGTCCGTTTCGGCGGACTCAGCGGCCTCACGCATCGTGTTGATCGTCTCAACAGTGTCACTGTCAACGGTAGACAGGTCCACGCCGTTGAAGGGATCTGCGCATCATATCAAGTATTGAGCTTCACTATAACGATGACTTATGGTAGACACGACTGACCGACGAAGACAGCGTTGGCCTCAGCCTGCGCGTTCCCAGCCACACCGTCCGAGATCTGGAAATCAGCGTAACTGCAACAACAATCCGCAAGTAAGAAACCTGTGGATTGCGCGAAAGCAGAATGGGAGACACTACGCACGCTTGGTTCGCGAAAGAACCGGCTACGAACGTGGTACCATTGGCACGCTTCTCGACCGCGTTCAAGTCCAAGCGCGGAATTACTACGTTGGAGATAGGTGCAGCGAGAACACTGGCCATGCCAATGACCATGGGTGCAAGAACAGCGAGGAGATTGAAACGGGCCATCGCTTGAACAGATAGGAGACGATTGACAACGGGTTCGGTGAAGGACAGGCTAGCTGTTGAAGGAATGATGGATTGGAATGAACCGGAAAGAAGACCAAGCCCTCAAGACTGGTACGAGAACGAGCTGAAAGGGACAAGAATAGGGAAAAGGTGAGCATCGAGCGACTGCATTTATACCTCCCTCAGTCTACTGGTGGTGTCTTGGCATCATGCACGCGTAATTAGCGAGCGCAAGGGCTCGTCTTTTCGGCGTAAGTCGCAGCCGGAGACGCGCTGCTCGGCACTCTCAGCTCTGGCAACGAAGAAGAGGATGATTTTCCGAGTCGCTGTTACCATGACAGTCATGCGCGGATGTAGCCGCTGTAATCCGTCCTTGCGCCGTAGATCCATGATATAATTGTTGAGCAATCACAAGTTTGTTATAGCAGGGTAGAAGCACACCGCACGCAAAGCGTTTGTCCAAGCTGGAAAGATGGGCGACAGTCGTTGCGCATGCTTGAAGGAGCAGGCCAGGATCTGGCGCTAGTACGTACAGATTGATCTTCCTGAGGGGGCGTCAAAGGTTAGGGTTCTGCCCGTCGCAACCAAGGACAACTGCGTACATCTGGTGTAGGCCAGACACTACTAGACGTTATGGCTTTTCGGGACCAACCAAGAGCAAGCCCTGCGTGCAGATGACTTAATAATAAATACGCAGTGAAATGCAGTTGCGTTTAACCCCACTCATTACCACCAGGAACCGGAGACCTATATGCAGCGATTAACACTGTGCCCAACACAAATAACAATTACAGCTGATTCCATATCGATAGACCTACCCGAGAATATTTGTGCGTACGCGGGGTCAATGCGATATTCGGAATCGACGGTCGGGACCATGGTCCCGACCTGGCTGGCCCGGCAAAGTATCGTCAGAGCCATAATCCAAAGTGAGCTGTTTATTCCAGGGCCCGCCTATCCCCGCCCGAAATCTGCTTACGCGCGTATTGAGTTCAACAGGTATACCGATATGGAATTAGCTACAAGACGCACTCTGCGATATGCATCATGAGCTGCGGAATGCTTGACGTCCTTAAATGTGGGCTTAGTGAACCTATTGGTCCGATCCGACTGCTGCGGCGCTGATGACCTGGTAGCCTAGGAGCTTGAGAACTGTGTCTGGATGTAAGTTCGTTATTAGCTTGCTGTATCTGAAAAGGGACTCTCCACAGACTCAGTCGACAGTTGGTGCGAGAAACAATCAATCATTCGACCGGCTCTCTCTCAAGGCTTGTTAGACGCCAGTGAATGAGGCGTTGAGCATACCTGGGTGTGCAGTTTGCTGCACCAGCCATTTCATCGCTCGCTGCCGTTAGAAGGATTCACCATGTTGATGCGGTCAACTCAATCACACTAGTATGAGCTATTGTTGGCAGCACATAAGTAATGGATGCACGACTTTGTCTTGTCATAGAGTCAACACCCTAATTGTGGTTAGGGTTTAACTGGCCCCATTCACATCATCCTTCGCTACTCCCATGCACAACTTCAGTCCAGCTTCAAGCTTCACTACCGGCTGCATCAGGTTACTGACGAAAGTTTTCAGATGTGACTGGCAACTTCTTCAGATGCAACTGGCACGAATCAGGTGGGCATCGCCGCATCGACTTGCCACCCGACGCTGCTCACGTGCCGAAGACATCCCGAAAGGGCACAAACGATTGCCTTGATATATCGAGGCCTTGGGTCGAATGCGTTGCATAAGCCCTGTACTCATTACCCCCGAATTTCCGGCGCATAATCGAAAGGTGGTCAGGACCCTGATCGCGGAGAGGAGATTGGGCGCTCATCAGCATGCGATGCCCGATTTGGGCGCGCTTGTTCCCGTTTAGGACGGGTCCCAAGCTCGAAACAACGGCTCGAGTTCGTGCGATCGCGTGGGCTGCAAAATACAAGGTACGCTGTGGCTGCGAAGTCGCCCACAGCGCAAAACATGGACAAACCTACTCCTTTCATGTAAGAAGGTACGCTGAGCCCAAGCAATGCTCATCTCCTTCCCTCGTCCGCACCCCATCGTAGAGTCCGTGCAGGTCACCCTGGCAGAATGTCCTTCTTCTCTGGCTCCTCCGTCAGTAGTTTTTATCTGAGAAAAATCAAACGTGCTCGTGCAGCTCAAGAGGAAAAGATCTATGACGACCTCAGCATACCGGGGAGCTGGTATCCTCCTCCACCATGTTATCTCACGAAGCTGCCGAATGATATTCTCGTGGACCAAGTGTTCAGCTACTTGGAGGTCATTGATATCATCCGTTTGCGGCAGGTACGTGCTGCCAAATATCTTGTGCCACTCGTGTTGAGCTGAATCCCTCGTGCGTTAGGTCTGCAAATTATTTTATGACCTTACACATCACGCCGTTCTGTGGAAAAGGCTCTTACGATGGGCCGGCGTCCCAGTCCCTCCTTTACCGCCCACCTCCCGCCACACGATCCCTCATATGAGCGGCATTGAAGTCGAGCGGCTGCTTCTTCGTGCAACATCTCTCGACCGGGTCTGGAACTCCACGGAGCAGATGCCCGCCAATGTTTACGACTTCAACGCTCATCATCAAATTCACTCAATGTTCATTCTCCCCGGTGGACGCTACCTCATCGCATCTACATCTGACAAGGCTGAGAGCAGGTGGTCTATCGTCATCTACATGATGGACCACCGCGTCAATGAGGTTGTTGCGCTCGCAAAAACCTTCGTGAATACGAAAGCAATCCACATCAACGCGCGCTACATGACCATCGGCGGCGTCCGGTCCATTGTCATCGCGTACGTCCGCCGCGAATTCCTGCGCCACAGGCACAGAAAGCAAGGTGCCACACCAATCGACGTCTCCCAATACAGCGGCGACCACGAGATCCTGGACCCCGAATTCCCGCTGAAGTATGAATGCAATGTCGTTTCCATCTCTCTCGAGCAGCTGGAAATACTTGGCGACCCTCGCGTCACAGCTGGCTCGCCTGAATTTATTAAGCATGCACTTTCCCAGGAGTCGCCTTTCCGACTGCTAACGCAGATCCGGAGCGAGAGTATCTTGGCTCACCCCGCGCTCGATGTAATCTTCGGCTCACCGTACCTCGCTTTGATGAAGCAACCGGATATGATTATGTTCAAGAACTTGGATGGGGGTCAAGCGTCGACGCTGATCATGCCGACCCACCAGATTTTCTCTGAGCGTCATGTAAGCTATGTCCCGTTTGTCCTTTTGATGAAGCGCTTAATTTTCCGTCTCATAGGAAATACGGACGATGGCTATCCGACTAAACCCGTTACAGGGATCTGTCGTGGTTCTCCGCCGCATGATTACACCTCATCCTCAATACCATCCCCTTACTCACAAGCAGGTGTTCCCCCAGTTCGCCGAACAATACCATGTTATCCCTTCTCAAGACGAGCCTGTGAAGGCAGAACGGGGCGCGTTTGAGAGCGTGGTGATTAGCGATGACGCTGACGTTGTAGACGTGTATATGACGGACCACGGAATGCGAACGTCGGATGATGAGTCCGCCATTTCGACTCTTTACAGCGCTGAGGAGGCAAAGGTCCCCCGTCCTATCGTCATCTACTGGAAGCTTCGCGACGGTGCAATGCTCAAAGGCACCATGTTTCCGCGGCGCACTGTCCTTCAACTTCCACCGACACCTCCTGGCTCGCAGGGGCCTGTCCACAATCTGGTCTCCTATAGCTATCATGTCGACGAAATCGACGGGGTGCGCGCATTCTTCCCTGGCGACGACCTCCGATACCAGCCGCTTGTCGGCACGATGCGCGGAATTCTGTACAAGGTGCCAAAGGACGACATAACGGACACTCCGCCGGTTGTCACTATAGCGCGACACATTGATCCGGAGGCTTATGATCAGCACATGTCGCAGACGACTACCGACGAAGACATGGAACTTATCCTTGCTGAAATTGAACTGCCAACACAAGTCGACCGAGCGTCGATCGCTGCAATGGCATGGGACGAGACGATCGGGAGGCTGGTCATTGCGCAGACAAAATTCTTCTGGGTGACTGTGCTCGATTTCGCGGCTGCGCCGAAAGCCGGTAAGTGGCGTGCTATCTTTTCTCGGTCGCCGTCGTAGCTAATGCTGATTGTGTCGGATTAGACAAAGACGGAAGCAGACTACCGTTTGCGCCGTCGATCAACAACGATCCCAGTGAAGTGTTGGCGCCATTGCCCGATTCTATCCTTCCTCCACGTTCAGCTCTGAACGAATACGACGAGAGCGAAAAATGGCAGGGTTACAACAAGGACTTCGTTTATAGGGACTACAAGGACATCGGTGGATTGCTGCAACGCGCCAAAGACTGGGCAAAAGAGGACGCTGATAACCAGGAGCCCCATGCAGTTCCGGAGGATGGGCCATCACAGGATGTCATGGACGATATTCGCGACGATGATTCAGTCCAGGGCGCTAGGGACAACGATTCGGTTCAGGGCGTCAGGGACAATGAAAATATGGCAACGCACGTAGATTCTCGCAACGGCGAACACGAACAAGACATCCGCGACGACGAGTCGATTCTCTCCTACGTATAACGCTCACTCGCAGACTACATATAGACAACTCTTTCCCTTTGTTTACATTATTACGTTGGTCGCAGAACTATTGTTGTTAATTTGTAATAATTGATCTCTTCGTTTCTTACTCTCACTATCATTCGATCTGCCGTGGGGCTCAAGAAAGAAGAATGCATAAGCACTTTGCGAGATGCACAAAACAACAAATACGCTGTATGTGTCGTAGTTCTTCTCTGAAGCACGTTCCTGAGCATTATCATCACAGGATAAAGTGGTGCCTCCTTCAAAAGTGATCGATCACTGATACTACTAGACTAAGAGGCTGAGGTGATGAAATGAAACGGTGTGGTGGTTACAACACCTTTCCCACTCGTCCCTGCCAAGATCATTATCTTGCATACGTACCGGCAGGCTTCGGAGATGTTCGTCTGCTCTTACCGTACACAGCGGGTCGACTGCTCGCCCGATACCCTCGCCGAATCAACGCCAATCTTGGGCCCCTTCTGTTCGCGACCTTCGTCCGCTTCTCGCTCTCGTGCCCACTCTCGGACGACTTGACGTCCGGGACTCTTGCAACGCACGTCGTTCGACGTGCCCGTTACAGACGGGCACTTACACAACCTGCTCTTATTGATGATTCGTCAGTGCTGTTTGTTCGTGATCTTCAAACCGGGCGGTGAAGGCACCGCCCGACGCGGGTGTGTAAATATTTTCTCCTTAAATCAAGATCCTCGGAGCTGGCCCGTATGGCCGCAGCGCGAGCTGCACTGGCACCCCCATACGTCAATATGAAGAACGTGTTCAATCATTAAGTGGGTACTACACACCAACATCTATGTCTCGTCTGCGTGATGCATTACAGGAATATTCTTTCTAGCGTTCAAATACCCGTTAGCATTTATACTGCATACACCGAAGGCACCAACATGGACTCGGGAAAGATCCAGATCATATAATATTGCCATACAGCATAATGTACCGCAGGATTTGGGGCCACAACTTACTGATGCGATTTGCATTGGTAATCCCGCCCGAGATGATGCATGGGCACGACACATGTGGTATAGGATACGGGGAACAAGAAGCTTAGCCCAGCCCAGCCGAGGGGCGACGCGTCCCCAGGCTTGTCGTGCGGCAGTGATAGCTCCCTGCCCGGGGGGCGGCTATATAAGAAGTTGATAGATGCCCTAGACAGACCAACGAACGTGCACCCTCTTCAGACTCCAACACCGAGAGCGAAGATGCCAGCCAACACTTATCCCACTCGCCAGCTAGGTGCTAACGGCCCTAAAGTCAGCGCGCTCGGGTTCGGAGCGATGAGTGAGTTCACTATCTAGCGGTGCCGAATCTGGACACTCAATGACAACTCCAGGCTTCGGAACGTGGTACGGCAAGGCAGACGAGGAAGAGGCCTCGCGCACCCTCACGTACGCCGCCGACCGCGGCATCACCTTCTGGGACACATCCGACGCATACGAGGCCAGTGCGTATTACCATCCCCTCCCTTCACCTCACAGGATGACTAACTGTGTAATACACAGGTGAAGCGACGATTGGCAAGTGGTTCGCGAAGACGGGCAGGCGCAAGGAGATCTTCCTCGCGACAAAGGTCGGCGCGTGCGACCTGCGCCCCGAGGCGCCGTCGCCGTGGGCGCCGAACAGCAAGCCGTCGTACGTGCGGCAGCAGATTGAGAACTCGTTCAAAGCGCTGCAGACCGACTACATCGACTTGTACTACCAGCACCGCGTCGACCCGGAGGTCCCGATTGAGGGTACGTCCGGGCACTCACAAGATTACGGTATAGTAGCAGCTAACGTATGCGGCCTTACTATGTAGTCGTGCTGGAGACCTTCCGACCGTACGTCGAGAGTGGGAAGATCAAATGGCTCGGCCTGAGCGAGTGCAGCGTCAACGTTCTGAAGAGGGCCAAGGCTGTCCCTGGTGTCGGAGAGAAGGTCATTGTTTGCCAGATGGAATACAGTCCCTTCACGCTAGACCTCGAGACGAACGGGTTCGCCAAAGCTGCGCATGAACTTGGCGTTGGGATTGTCGCATACTCGCCTTTGGGCCGAGGAATAATGACTGGGCAGTAGGTCGCTCGGCGCATATATCGAGGAACCGTGACGCTGATAGCGCCGCAGGATCAAATCGCCCAAGGACCTCGATAAGAATGACCTCAGACTGCAAATGCCGCGTTTCCAGGAAGCGAATTTTTCCAAGAATCTTGCCCTCGTAGACGCCTTCCGGGGCGTCGCGGACAAGTATGGCGCGACGCCCGGGCAGATCGCACTCGCTTGGATCCTCGCGGTGCATCCGGACTTTGTGCCTATTCCGGGAACGAAGAGCGTGAAGCGGCTTGAGGAGAACGCGAAGGCGGCGGAGATCGTGCTCAAGGAGGAGGACGTGAAGGCGCTGCGCGAGGCGGTAGATGGCGCGGACGTGAAGGGTGAGCGATACCCGGCGGAGTACCAGGCTCTCATGCAGGATGAGTGCATCGAGCTGAGTGAGTGGAAGGGCGAATAAGCGCTAAGTATGAATGCGCAGATGCTCAGTAATCCGCCTTTGTCTCGGTGAAAGTGTATGATGTACAATATATGTATGCTGTGATGATTCTGTGCAGAGATCATGAGGCTCACCTAAGTGTGTTTGGAATGCAATGAACGAATTTTTCATCTCTACATTGCGACAATCGCGTTGCGTTAAGTCATGGCACGGCAGAGTGAGCGAGGTTGCGGCATCGGATCGTGGACGTTGCACAGGTTGCCATTCCCGCACGTCCGCGAAAACCAGTAACAAGCTTGGGGACGGATGATGACAACGAATGGTTATACTCAACGTAAGAAAACAAGGTGTAAATCTCCTTATTGTCTCCTCCTACCCTCATTGTTGCACATCGCGCATGATGTCTCGTCAGCTCTCACGGGCAGACTTGAGCGGGCCATATGGCGATCTCCAGAGCAAGACAGACGCGTCCTTGAGTGAGAACAGAATCAGAGATCGACTGGCAGGCGATGTAAGCACGACTAGTACAGACGATTACAACACCCTTACAATTCATCAGCATCATTTTCAAGGGCACGCGTCCTCCTGGGCCATCGAGACCACGTTGTTGGCCGTCGCTTTCAGCGATCCTCTTGCATATTTCTGGTGAGACTTGGCACAGTAGAAATCAGTCGATAGGTGAACACCGCATCAGCGCGGTCGTTGCGCGGATTCCATGCTCGTGCTGCGTAACTTAAATATAGGTCGTGCGCGAGCTTTGGGACGCGCTAACGCGATCACGTGGTCTCTTCATTCGGGATCCTGGCAGCCAGACTCTGAATCCTGGTTGTGGCCACAGTGTTGAATATTCGAACTTGCAAGTTCACGCCCAACGGTATTGACTTTCGCGATACGGAACCGTCCAATCAATCACGACACATTCTTCATCTTTTTGGAGAGACACGTCCGGCTGCTGACGACCGTGCTGTGGAGCATGGACGTCCGTAAGGGCCCTGCCGACCGGCAAGTCAGACAACCCGTCGTACTCTCAGGTCATCTGGCCAATCTGTTTACGTGTAACGATAGACACTATTGCGAAGCTCAAAGGGTCGTCGCAGCGCGGGTTCCACAGACCCTGAAAAAAAAGACGCAGGTCCTGGTTGTCGCCCCAAACCCCTACAACAATTTAAATCCCCAGGCTCAAGTAGAATCACTGGACACGGAGCGCATCGGAGTATATACCGATAGAGCATTTCGAAACATATTCACTGAGAGCGGTACTATCATGCACGACGAGCCGCTTCTTGTGATCATTTGTGTGTTCTTGTCGTCTTGATGCGGCAATCGTGTCAGACTAACGAGAAGGCTGGGCGTGGGCGCCGACATCGCCCAGACATCGCCCAGAATATTCTGGACTGTTCATCAAGCTTGTTCGCATAGGCCCCCATTGAGCACTGTTAGGTAAATGTGTCCGCGCAGTTTTAGACAGCGGCAAAGGATTTGCCGTATCCGGTAAGAGTTCAATAGAGTCAGTAGACATGTTCGCAGGAAGTACTACTCCGCTCCTCGGCAGGATGTTAGAGGAGATATACGACGCAGCAGACCGTGTGGTCAGAAAGGAAGAGAACAGCGAGTCGTCCGAGACGGAGTTCGCTAATCTGGCAACTTGGACTCTCACGCTGCACCACCACCTCCGGGCGGGAAGGCAAAAGGTTGTGAAATCTCTCTTGACATGAACATCTCTTTCCAGGTGTTTCCGCTCTGGAAATCATGACGGTGCGTGGGACATGAACGTGCTCACATAGGTTGTCCGATTTAGACGGAAGCCGCGATCAAGGTGGTGCGTTTGCCATCGTCTCTGCGCTTGAGCGGAGCACCAAGATTGGTCGTGGATAAATACAATGAGTACTGGCTCGAAGACGGCAAAAGCAATTTATATCGCTTCCTTCGCCATCTGGGAGCGATTACAGCATGGCACGCGGCAGCATATAGCCTCACCACGAACAAGCACCCTTGAGGTTCCACCTTGCGAGTGAACATTCCCTCCCAGAGCCGATTTTGAGGAGAGGCTCCTTGACCGTCTTTTGGCAGAATGCGAACGCCATGCCTTTGCTGCCGAGGCTCTGCGCAGTCACTTCCCGGTAGATCTTCCCCGGTAAAATCCATGTGGAGGCTACGTTGGTAGGCCCTTTCTCGCCTTTCTCGCCTGGAGCATCGATTTCTGGTGTTTGTGATGTTGCGTGGAAGAATACAGGCGGTCTGAGAGACACGATCATCTCGGTGTGTGGCTGCCTCTCATTAGTTGGACGACCATATGATCTAGGGCACGGATGTCCTGCCGAAGCGTGATGCTGGTGCTGTGGCTGGGCTGCGAAAGGTAGAGGAATTTACGCTGGAGCGGAGATAGATCGTCGCAAGGTTGTAGTGGTATTAAGACCGTGCGCAGGTGGAGTAAGTCGCAAAGTCGACCTACCAAGAACATGTATACGCATGCGTCGGATCTACATTTTCAAATTTCAAGAGGGCGAGGTCTGATGCCATTTACCCCGAGCATCAAGCCAATGACCCAGCGAACGAGCTGCGGCGTTAGTGCTTGCACACAAGAGAGGAGGTTGAGTATTTGAGACCTCGACTTGCGCAGGGAGCAACGGTTCTCTCTCCGGTTACTCGTACCGACAAATGCCGGACGGCCGACGTGGACAACATCGGTCATCGCGCGAGCAGCTGATTCGATGACCAAAGGCTATGTGTATGTCAACTACCAAAGGTGTGAGCACTGACATAACGCATCATAGGCTATAGGACATTGTCCTTCATTCCCGCGAACCGGGGCAAGATGATGCGGCGTTAACATACGCTGGCAGACGCCCATTATGCATTTGCTGAAAGCTTCCGGGATGACGCGGACGACAGAAGTTGCTCTACCCGTAATCTCGGGCACTTTGAGCAAAACGGATCTGGGCTGCCGTCGGCACTGAGTGGGCTCCTGTATCGCCGCCTTGCCGTGAAGGCCCGAGTCACGTCTCCTCGATGGGAGGTCATCTGGCTGGCAACGGAGGGTTTCCTGCTGTGTAAGTGATTGTCAAGAATGATGATGGAGTGCTAGAAGAGGAAGCATAGATTGTAGCGCGGGCTATCACGGGAATCGTCGCTCGATCCGAAAGCCGCAGGTCAAGCTAAAAGCTGCTAGTAGTAGCGAGGCGGAAGCGCACTTGAGAGAAAGCGTAGAGCAGTTACTTATGATAGTATATCGGCAGGAACCAGGCACGCTCGCAGACGCCCACCGATCGGCCGGCACGCTTTTTGTGTAAGGTGGCGAGCAAGCTCAAGACAGAGAGAGAGCAAGAAAAGTGAACGACGACGGCGACGGCAGTAGCGACGGGTGGAGGAGTGGGTGGAGGATAAGGAGATGGGCGGACGACGATTCGCCGCGAAGACGCAGCCGGGGGTGATGGCATTGGAAGCCATATATAGAAGGCGTGCCTTGGGCCGGGTGGCTGTCGAGCGACGCCCTCGCCCAGCTTGCAAGCAACCTCTCCTCCTCTCTCTCCTCGCTGCGGGCCCCGTCCCTCTCTCTGCGGCACCCGCTCCCGCCCCGCCTGCCCCCCCGAATGATGGCCATAGGGAAATGGAACCCCTTTGGTCAGACTCAGTCCTCCTCCCCCGCCCCACCCGTGGTCGCCGCCCGTCCCCCCGTCATATCCGCCGCAGATGCAAAGCAGTTTGGTCTCGAGAATGTGCGTGTCCATACTATCATCCATTTCGCTCGCTGCCGCTCACCGTCTTATAGTTTGGCAACACCTGGTTCGTATTCGTCCTTTGCCATCGCACCTGAACAATTCCACTGTGCCCAAGCTTGCAACAGCCTCTCTGACATGTCCTTGCGCCATTCGCGTGCATCACTATCATCTCCTCTATAGTGGGGTTGATGCGCCCGATCTTTACGGCCCTCGACAGCCCCGTTGCTCTCACGCACTACCCCAGCTTCCGTGTGTGTCATTGGCCCGTGGACGTCGGCCTTGCTACTAGGCATCCTCCAGCCTCACAGTCTATGTCACGAACGTTTGTCTGGCGCTATTCTCTCAGCTCCTCCCAGGTTCCTGCAGTCCGTCACGGGTGCAGCGTCTCCAACCTCCTGTTTCCTGTCGTTGAGTCCCCTTGGACGCGATAATCACGCGGGGCGCTCTGCGTCGCTTTCTGTACGACCGACCTGTGCCCGGCCTCGAGTTATGCTTCGTTCTTAACTTGGTAGGTGGACCCTAGGCACACGGGGTCGTCGGAGAACAGAGCGAGCGAATGTGTGATTGGCTCATGCATGGGTACTCAGCCGTCTTGCTTAGTATGGATAGACGGAGGTATCAGCACTGCAAACGGCGAGAGCACCTTGAAATTGTGTGCTCGCCGCCTTGTTGCGCCGGATGTAGATTTCATTTGAATTGCAGGCGCACTGCCCGGCAAACGAGATTGCACCCGGTACACCCTCCATACTGGGTTATATGCAGGCCGTCGTGCATATCGCACTTTGACTGCTTGCCGGGGCGCATGCTCGCCCGTATCGCATCCATCTCCACCGTTCTCATCGCGCTGACACCAGCCTTCCATAGTTATGCCAACTCTGTCCTGCAGGCCCTCTATTTCTGCGGGCCGTTCCGCGAGCTGCTCGTCCAATACCCCGACCCTTCCGCACCCGATGTCCCCCCGCTACCGTCCCCATCCGCGCGCGCACCCACCTCCATCCCCTCCAGTCCTGCGCTCGTCCCGCGGCGCAGGCCAGAACGCAAAGCCTCCGTGTCCGAGTCGTCGCCGTTGCAGAGCTCAGCGCCGAGCGCGAGCCTGCTGGGCCCACCGCCGGCGATCCCATCACAGCCGCCGACGCTGCTGTCCGCACTGCGGTCGCTGTTCGTGCATATCAGCCGCCATCCGGCAGAGCGCGGGTCGGTGGCGCCGCGCGCATTCATCGACAAGCTCAAGGAGCTGAACGAGCTGTTCCGGGGCTCGATGCACCAGGACGCGCACGAGTTTCTGAATTTCCTGCTGAACAAGATCGTCGAGGAGATGGAGGACGACCGGAGGCACGGGTACCGTGGGCTAGCGGACGGCAACGGCAACGGCAACGGGCATGCGCATGCGCATGTAAATGGCGGGAGTGCCTCCGCCGAAGACAGTGAGTGGCAGTGCTATGTGCTTAGGACGGGATGTAACCGCGGCTGCAGTGTCCGCATCAATAGCCACGATGTCGTCGATCGCCGCGGGTGTGGCCAGCGCGTCGGTGTCGACGACGCAGCCGACGGCGGTGCAGGCAACGATCGTGCACCGGCTGTTCGAGGGCGTGCTGACGAGCGAGACGCGTTGCCTTACGTGCGAGACGGTGTCCTCTCGGGACGAGAGCTTCCTGGATCTCTCGATCGACATCGAGCAGAACTCGAGCGTGACGGCGTGCCTGCGGCAGTTCAGCGCGAGCGAGATGCTGTGCCAGAAGAACAAGTTCTTCTGCGACTCGTGCTGCGATCTGCAGGAGGCGGAGAAACGGTGCGTGCGGCGCGCGCGATCGGGGCCCTCCTGAGGCTGAGGCTGAGCGTGCGCGGTTTGCGTTTTTCGCAGGATGAAAATCAAGAAGCTGCCGAATATACTGGCGCTGCATCTGAAGCGGTTCAAGTACCAGGAGGATGTGGGCAAGTATATCAAGCTTGCGTACCGCGTGGCGTTCCCGTTCCAGCTGCGCCTCTTCAACACCGTGGACGACGCCGAGAATCCTGATCGGCTGTACGAGCTGTTCGCGATCGTCGTGCACATCGGAAAGTGCGTGCTTTCGTCCGGTTGATGCATAGGGTATCTTGGCTCGATGTCTGATGCGTGTTCCTGCAGCGGTCCCCATCACGGCCACTACGTCACGATCATCAAGGCGCGGGGGACGTGGCTGCTCTTTGATGATGACAGCGTCGATACCATCAAGGAGTCCGACATCCCAAAGTACTATGGCGAGTCTACGAATGGCTCGGCGTACGTCCTTTATTATCAGGCGGTTGATCTGGACATGGCTGCCCTCGGACTGCGTCCGCGTGAAGCCACTCCTTCCGCGGCCGATATAGGCTCGTCGCCCACTGCGAAGCCTGCGGACGTGATCGCGACCACGACGACGGACAGCAGCGAGCGGGACCCCTGCTCACCGGCGCTGCCGCCAGGCCTGTCGGAAGAGCCGGACTCCTCGGACAAGAGCGACTCGCCTCTCCTTTCCACCCCTGCGTCGCAACCGATCCCCCTGCTGCCGAATCGGCCACCCAAGTCGCCTTCTCCCACACCGCAGAGCAACGGATCGGCGGGATCGTCGCAGACCCAGCCGCTGGCCGAGTCGCCGGCACCCTCGAGCACGCTCGGCGGGCTGTTCAACACCCTGCGGCATACGTCGTCCATGCGCGCGCGGGGCGAGAACCGGAGGAGCGTGCTCGACCCGTCGGTCCCGCCCGTGCCGTCGCTGCCGTCGCCGTCGAAGGCCAAGGCGTCGCACAGGCCAGGGACCGCGCAGTCCGCAGTGTCCGTGGCAGGCGGGCCGCACGACGCACCGCCGGAGCCGGCGTCCCCGTCGGGCCCCGCGAAGGAGAAGACGCCGGAGAAGAAGACGAGCATGTGGCTCAGGATGAAAAGCTCGCGGCTGGAGGCGTCGTTCAGCGGCACGTCGTCCGCGTCGTCCGCGGCGCCGAGGGAGGAGGTCGCTTGGCCGCGCTCGCAGACGGTCAAGGGCAGCGCGGGGGCGGGGCGAAGAGCATCTCATGTGGACGTGCCGTCCGCGTTTGCTGCGTCGCCGCCGCTGGCCGCCGCGATGTCCGTCCCGTCGTCCCCCGTGCAGCCGAGGCTCGTCCATCCGGAGCACAAGAAGTCGACGCCAGAGCTCACGCCGAAGGGCAAGAGCGGGATGACGAGCATTGGGCGGGCATCGTCGGCGCTGGCGCGGCTCCCGAAGCGGCCGTCGACCGCGGGCGCGACGCCGGTGGCGTCGTCGTCGTCCTGGTCACGCCCCAACTCGAGCGTTGTGCCGCCGTTGCCTACGCTGCCTGGCTCGCCGCCGTTGCGGCAGGCCGCTGCCGACGAGGCCGCAGAACGCGCGACGCCGCACAGCGATGCGCCGCCGAGCTCGGCGTCCACGAGTCGAGTGGACGACTTTGGGATGCGTAGGCCGCTCGTGCCGCAACGGCCGAGCACGGCGATACCCATGCCGGGCGCTGTCGGGATGTCGGCGTCGTATTCGACGTCGAGTGCGGCGAGCTCGAACGTGGCGGACCGGACGGTGCTGTCTGGGAGCACGAAGAAGCGGGCGACGCGCAAGCTGAGCTTCACGGCGCCGATGCTGGGCTTTGGGCGGAAGGACCGGCAGAAAGAGCGGGAGACGCCGCCCAGCGCGTTCCCGCTGAGCCAGTGACGTGCAAAGAGCATGATGGCTGGGGCTGCGACGGACATGGACCGTGCTTGTACGTGTGCGCACGCACGCGCTAGATCTCTTGTGCAGCTTGAGTTCTTCATATGATTATCGCCTTCATACTTGTACTCATCTTGTGTTTTTTTGTAATGCTGCTTCGCTTTCGGCGGTAACGTTTATTCGAGCGTGGGCGGAGGCGAGTCGCGTTGGATGCATAGGTCGCACCCCCTCATTCAGCGCATATCTACAGCACGATGTATATATAACCCACTGCATAAGTAACATGAGTAATGTAATGTGTAGTAGAACCTCTGATCATAAGTGCCCTTCCTGAAAGTTGGATGAATATGTCCGGCTTGTAAGAGGCCTTGCACCCATTTTGCCCTAATCTCTGGTGCACGGTGCAGGGACCGGAATCCGGGCCTCCAGAAGGCGAATACAGAGCCATGCAGGAGATGAGATGGTGAAAATGGGTGTATCACAGAAAGTGCACGGGGTGTACATAGCGTCTCGCCACTCACTGTAGCCATATTTGGTTGAACTCAGGGGGCGCGGTCGGGGTGCGGGGTAGTGCGGGGCGGATCAATTCTGTCGATCACGAGTGGTCCCAACCGCACTATGTAGCTCTGCCACTACCGCAACCTTCCGTGTTCTCCTTTGACCACAATCTCACATTCTCTGGGACTTGGAACTAGTTAGCATCTGTGATCTCGCAAGGAAAGATGCTCTCAAAGACTCAGCGTGCTGTTGCCTCTCGCTCTCTACCTCGTGTACTAGTCCGCAATGGTCGTCTCGGAGTCGTGTCTGGTGCATCTCTTGCAACGAGGGGTGCTGTCGATATAGAACCTGTCCTCTCTGCGAGAGGCCTGGCATCCCTTGGTGCCAACATTCTGGCGCACAGGGGCTTCGCATCAGTTGCTGGTCAGTGCCGTGCTTGTGCAACGTGTGGGGTCGCGGCAATGTCTCGCATTCTTCAGACCCTGGGGCATCCACTCTTGCATTTGTTCCAACGTCTCCCTCAGGCAGAAAGCCTCACTTCGATAAGATCCTCATTGCGAACAGGTATGTCACTGTGACCGAATCCATAAGTCTGAGGTTCCGCACGCACTGCACTCGTCCTCATCTGTTCCACCCAGATAACAGACACTCGAGCTTAATGATTTTCTAACGTATACATTCCCAGGGGAGAAATTGCTTGCCGTGTCATCCGTACAGCCAAGAAGCTCGGCATCAAGACGGTTGCCGTCTACAGTGAAGTCGATGCAGATGCCCTACACGTCCGTATGGTACGTATCGTGCCTCAATTATGACGATTTTGCAGAAAATAACAGGATGCAAAAATGCTGATACTATACTCGCGTAGGCGGACGAGGCTTACTGCATAGGTCCTGCACCGTCCTCGGAAAGTTACGTGAGTGAGAGGCGCATCTTACGGGCGCGTACCGATACTATCGTCGTGGTTGTTCACAGCTTCGCGTAGACAAGATCATCGATGTATGCAACAGAAGTGGCGCACAGGTTGGTCGTTCCCGGCTCTCGTATACCCTCCTGTAACTTCGATACCTCTCTTATGACCTCTCATGGCCTTGTCATTTTCTGTCTCCCTTTTTACGACATGCCGTCTTCCATCAATACGCACTCATGACAGAAACACTTACTGCGCTCATAGGCTGTGCACCCCGGTTACGGTTTCCTTAGCGAGAACGCACAGTTCGCCGAGCGGCTAACCGACGAAGGCATCGTCTTCATCGGGCCACCCGCAAGTGCGATAGTCAGCATGGGCTCGAAGAGGTTCATCTATTACAATTACCTAAATGACGTGGTTCACTGAGCTGACTGTACTTCAGTGAATCCAAGACTATCATGTCCAGTAAGCGAAGCAGCACCGGTGTAATAAGCCATTTTAATCATCAATTCAGATGCCGGTGTGCCTGTTGTTCCTGGGTACCACGGCACAAATCAGGATCCTGCATACCTGTCCCACGAAGCAGACAAGATAGGTGATGAAGCTGATCGTAAAATACTGCCTCGCTGCAATCACTGATTTTTTGCAATGCAGGGTATCCTGTCTTGATTAAAGCCGTACATGGCGGAGGTGGAAAGGGAATGCGTGTTGTGCATGCTCCAGAGGACTTCTTGGACGCGCTTACATCCGCACGGCGAGAGGCGGCCAAGTCGTTCGGGAACGATGACGTGCTGGTGGAGAGGTACATTCAACGGCCGCGGCATGTCGAGGTGCAGGTATTCGCAGATACGAAGGGCAACTGTGTGAGTCTGTGGGAACGGGATTGTTCAGTGCAGAGAAGAAACCAGAAGATCATTGAAGAGGTATGTTCAGCGGTCTAGGTAATAGCACAGCTAACGATAGCGGCCGGAGCCGATATAGGCTCCTGCACCCGGCTTGTCTCCCGAGCTGCGTGCGGACTTGAGCGCGAAGGCGATTGCGGCGGCCAAGGCCGTACACTATGTCGGCGCAGGAACTGTCGAGTTCATCTTCGATAACGACACAGCGGAGTTCTACTTCATGGAGATGTTCGTATACAACCTTCCAGATGTAGCTATGGCTTACGAAGCACGTGTAGGAATACGAGGTTACAGGTCGAACATCCTGTGACGGAGATGATCACTGGTCTGGACCTTGTGGAATGGCAATTAGAGGTGAGGTGCCTTTTAGCAGAGCAAGGTTCTATTGACTTAGTTGTACAGGTCGCGGCAGGTAACGCATTGCCTCTCAGCCAGTCATCTATTCCTCTTGTCGGTCATGCCTTCGAAGCGCGGATATACGCCGAAAACCCGCGCAACAACTTCCTGCCCGATTCTGGCAAGCTGGTGCATCTTTCAACACCGACTCCTACACACGTATTTGCTCCTGCTTTCCCGCCCCAGCTGGCAGATAGTACTCCGACGGACACCCTCGCCCGTGTCTCCGACACGTCGAGCATTGCTGCGCCGTCGCTCCGGCTGGAACAAGGATTCGAACAGGGCGCGCAGATCGGCGTGTTCTACGACCCGATGATCGCTAAGCTAGTCGTGCATGGACGCGACCGCACCGAGGCGCTGCGTGTGCTGCGTGGCGCGCTTGAGGAATACAAGGTCGTAGGAGTGTCCACCAACGTTGAGTTCTTGAGAAGCTTGGCCGGAAATCCGGCGTTCATTGACGGTGACGTTGAGACTGGTTTCATTACGGTGAATATTGGACGCATTGTGATCACACCCAGTATTGATGACAATCCATAGAAACATCATGCTGAACTCTTTCCTCCCATGATGGAACCGTCGCCTGAGGTGGTCGCACAAGCCGCACTGTATGTCGTGCTGAGAGACAATCCAACTGCATCCGTTCGGATAGCGACGTCGCCCTGGACATCTTTGGAGTCTCGACGCTTTGGCGGTGACACTTACGAGCGTGTGATCACCCTCCAGGGCGAAGATGGGACCACGGAGCCCATTGCTGTCCACGTGAAGTCCCTACAGAACGGCCGCTTCGATATTGTCGTACGTACGTCCAAAGACGAGCGCACCTTCCTGTCCGTCCCCGCGCAGATGCTCACCCCGACGACGCTTGCGACTACACTCGACAGCGCGGCGCTACGCACGACGATCGTCTCGCAGCTCCCACCGCCTGCCGTTCCCGCGTCCTCTGCGCCACACACGATGGAGCGCCTGCACGTCTTCTACGGCATGCAGAGGTGCACGCTGCTGCTTCCTCCGCCGGGGTGGCTGCTGGCGCTCGGGGGCGAGGTGCTCGACGCTGCCAAGGGCGCGCTGCGTGCGCCGATGCCGAGCGTCGTGGTCGAGGTGCGCGTGGGCGTCGGCGAGCGTGTGGAGAAGGGCCAGCCGGTTGTGGTGCTGGAGAGCATGAAGACGGAGACAGTGCTGCGCGCCCCTGTGAGTGGGGTGGTCGGGGCGATCGGGTGTGCGAAGGGCGAGATGGTGGAAGAGGGAAGGGAGCTGGTTGATATTGTGGAGGAGGAGCCGTGAGTGTGCTGCTTTATCTCTATCTCTCGGGTTGGATTGGATCGGATTGTACAGTATGCAAAGTGAGCACTCTGCACGAGGTGTCCTTATTTCAGGTTATCGATGATTATAGGCCATGCCATCGAGCGTGTCAGTATTGCGCGTAAATAAGAATCAGGTTCTAGCAATTTATGGTGCATCCGGAGGAGCGCACGAAGATCTGAGTGATAATCACTTATGAGTTCTCCCATGGACATGGTATGACCAACATTAAGCGGCTGAATACGTCTTTCCAAGCGGGTAAAGGTCATGCCGTCCGAGAGCGAGCTCTACGATTTCTCGTCAATGTACATTGTGGCCATGTGATCGCGTCGTGTCTGCACTGGTTAGACATCCAGTGTTAACTAGACTAAATGTACAAGTACCAGCGGCCGGCTAGCTCAGTTGGTTAGAGCGTGGTGCTAATAACGCCAAGGTCGCCGGTTCGACCCCGGCGTTGGCCATTCATTTTGACATTACCAGGTGAAAACCCGTAGAGTCCCTCATTTTGCCTCGGTTGCGCGCTGCGTGGCGGCCTGTTACCATTTATGTGCTTCCTGTGACGTCCCCATTCGCAACATGATATGCTGTGTTTGTGTATCTATCATATGAAAACAAGACACTTGTACTGTGTACACCCGGATCGTACATTGCGTTTTCCCACCGGCCATTACCATCCTGCCCGTACGTATATGCTTGGGCCTCGGGCAAGAGATCCACATATTATTTCCTCTCACCGCCACCACCGCTCGTAGCACCAGTGTCCGCATACAGTTCAAACAGAGAGACGTCAAAGGGCATTACACAGATCAGACCTATTGATACGGCACATCTCACACACGTCAGAGCACAACAGAGAGAGAAACGTTTGTTTGTTCGTTCATTCGTTCGTTCATGCGCCGACCGGCTCGCAGCGGTAGTGCACTGGAGTTGGCGCGCACGGGCCGCTGCATGAGCGCTCTATTCTGCTGTCGCAGCGACGGATGCGGCAGCAGGGTCTTCTGGTGCTGCGAGCGCACCCTCTGGTACGCCTTCGTTCAATCGTGAATCACCGACCTGGTGGAAATCTACATGTCCAACGGATAATTGTCAGCATCGCGTGACAACGCATGGTATGGAAGGAAGCGATTGCAGGTGGAAGCTAAGACCAGATGACGCACCGAGGATCTCGCTGTACATCATGACCTTCCACGTGTCCACGGGCAGGTCCGCATCGTTGAAGCTCCAGTCGAACTTCTCCCCAGCTTCCGGCTCATCCGTTGGGTCATGGTACGGCGCGACGTACTCGTGCGAGAGCGACTCCGTCGCGGTGATACGCTTCCGCGGGTCGAAAACGAGCATCTTCTCAAGCAGATCGATCGCAACGGGGTCCTTGCACGTGAGTTTCTCGCTAAACGGCACGCGTTCGCGTTTCGGCAGGCTTTGTACAAAACGGAGTGTCTGTTAGCATAAGGGTGAGCACACCTGCATTCAGTGATCGGCGACTATGCATCTAAAAGAAGAACGCACGTTCTCACTGGCGATCGTCTGAATGACGTCTTCTGGCGGTGTACCAAGGAGCTCAGTGATGATCGAGAACTGGTGTACGTCTGCGGAGAAATAAGTATATGGAAGGACGCCCCAAGGGTACCAGAAGTACGTACGGTCCTTGCCAGGGAAAAGCGGCTTGCCCTCGAGCATCTCAGCAAAGATGCACCCAGCACTCCAGATATCCACCGCGACATCGTACTTCTGCCATGTGAGCATGATCTCAGGTGCACGATAGTACCGCGTCGAGACATAGCCCGTCATTTGTGGGTCCTGAATGCGCGCCAGGCCGAAATCACAGATCTATGCAGAGACTGTCAATCACGTCAACAGGCGCGCAGGCGCTCACGGACCGACCTTGAGGTCACAATTCTCATTGATCAGGATATTGCTCGGTTTCTTCGAATGGGGGTCAGCAGATTGACACACAATGGAAGGCGGTAGTCATACGAGATCACGGTGCACGACACCAGCCGAATGAACGTATTTGAGACCTCGCTGGGAAGAGACGCGCCGGGGTTAGTATGACGCGTGCGAGCAGAATAGAAGCGGGGTCACGCGCTCACCAGGATCTGGTAGAGGAAGTATTGGATGAATTGCTTCTCGAGTGGACGCGAGGTTAGAAGACGATGGAGATCCGTGCCGAGTAGCTCTGTAACGAAGTAGCTGTACGCAAGGGTGAGGGAGTGAAGGGGGAGTGGGGTTGAAGGGCAGCGTACATGTCCTCTAGTGGGGAAATGAAGACGTCGCTGAGACTGATGATCTGGGCGAAATTCAGAGAGGGTTGCGGGACAAGTATGAAGCAGACATGCATACGTTCTCATGTTGGATATGTTTGAGGAGCTTGAGTTCACGGTATGTACGTTTAGAGAGGACGGGAGTGCTGAAGGGCTTCATGATCTTCTTGATCGCGACGGATGAGCCTGTGAGCTGGTCCTTTGCGGAGCTGATGGGGGGCTCGTGTGAGGAGGGTATGGGGGACGTCAAGCACGGAGTGTCGCGCACCAGACGAGACCAAACGCGCCTGGATAATGGAGATTAGAAGGTGGGTACTGCGGTGAGGGTAGGGAGTACTCGCCCATTCCAACGGGTTGTAAGTCAACATAGCGGGTTGTAACCTGGGTGTATGCGCGGTCAGTAGAGGAGGGAGATCGATGGAGAGAGAGGGAAGGGGCGTGCCTCGAAGGAGGTACCAAATATGCTGAGCTTGACAAAGGACATGGAGATGGCGGGGAGAAACAATGGAGAACGATGAGGAGAGCGACAGAGGGCGTCGCAGGAGATGGCAGTGGGGAGGAGGAGAAGAGGAGACAGACGCGGTTGTCGAGAAAACGAGCGACTCCACAGGGACAGCGGTGGAGCCCTAGTTCTGCGTCCGATTAGGTAAGCACGATCACCGATCTAACCACCACTCCTCGTTCACTGGCCCCTCCACTCTGCCACCTTTATAACCCCCGTTGTGCAGTATATACAGCCTACAATAGCATTGGCCGCGAAAGCAGAGACGCGGCGAGGCCTGGGAGCACGCGAACTGACTGGCAAGAGACGATGACGTCGTGCGTGATTGCATTCCTCCGATCGACATGTCAGAGCACAGCGATGTCTCCGCGTTGACTACTCGCCACTGCGAGAAGGACTGTCGCCCGCCGCGGCGTCGCTGGTTTCCCATAAGAGCCGTGCACCCCAGTTATCCCATCCATGACGTAGCCGGCCGCAATACACGAAATAGACCTGCGGGCCCAGACCCGAGCGCCGTTCATGGGCGCCTGTGCTTCCCCGCTCCGGGTGTGCCGACGACGGCCGCGGCATTCATAAGCCCTGGCACGCGCTCGCTGTCCTCTCTCTCGCTGTACGCCATGTCCTTCGCCAGAGCCGCCTTCTCGTCTCGTGTGGTCGTATGTACACCATTCTCTCATTGCCTGAGCCTACTCACGCGACCTCACTTGGAATGACCAGCGCCAGGCCGCCGCCAGCACCCGCCGCTACTCCACGGCCCCCGACGCCAAAAAGTCGTCCAACCTCCCTCTCTACCTCGGCGGCGCAGGTGCATACGACACGCGTTCAGCAGCCCTTTTCGTCGCTGACCCAGCCCATACACAGGCGTCGCGGGCCTCGCCGCATACATCTACCTCGACTCCCGGTCCAAGCCCGCTGCGGCCGCCCAACCCGCCAAGAAGCAGGAAAAGAGCCCGCTCAACCCCGACGCCTTCGTCGACTTCCCCTTGAAGCGCGTCGAGCCCTACAACCACAACACCGCCAAGTTCGTCTTTGAGCTCCCCGACGGCGAAGCGTCCCTCCTCCCCGTCGCCTCCTGCGTCGTCGTCAAGACCCCAGACGACTCCCCCACCGCCCTCAAGACCGACTCTGGCAAGCCCGTCGTCCGCCCGTACACCCCCGTCTCCCCGCCCGACCAGCCCGGCGAGCTCACCTTCCTCATCAAAAAGTATGACGCCGGCAAGGTGTCCAAGTGGGTCCACGACATGAAGCCCGGCGACAAGCTGTCCGTCAAGGGCCCCATCGTGAAAATCCCCTTCAAGGGTCAGTCCGTATGCGCCCGTGCCACCCATTACACAATCGCTCATGCCCCATATGCTAGTGAACGAGTTTGAGGAGGTCGGCATGATTGCGGGCGGGAGCGGCATGTAAGCCGACGTGCATATCGTCCACCCGCCTGTGCTCAATAACCGTGTGCAGCACGCCAATGTATCAGATCCTAAAGCACGCGCTGGGCGACTCGTCGAACAAGACACGCTTCACGCTCGTCTTTGCCAATATCGCCGAGAATGACATCCTCCTCCGCGAAGAGTTCGAGGCTATGCGCAAGCAGCACCCGGACACGTTCAACATCGTGTACACGCTGGACCAAGCGGGTTCGGATTGGAAGGGTACGTTAAGTCACTGGTCCCTTATACACATGCTAAACCGCACGCGCAGGCTACAAGGGTTACGTGAACCAGGAGATGATCATGCAACATATCGGACCCGCGAACCTTGGGAACAAGGTCAAGGTCTTTGTGTGCGGTGCGTGCGGAGGAAGCACAAATATGCAAGATGGTGCTGATGCCTGGACTTTGCGCTGCAGGGCCTCCTGGACAGGTGAGCGCGATTGCGGGTAAGAAGGACGGCATGAAGCAGGGCACACTTGGCGGGATCTTGAAGGAGCTGGGATACACCGAGGACCAGGTATGCGGAGGCCTTTCTGCCGGACCGTCGCACTGTGTCGCTTACCTGTTCGTTCTCCTCGCTACAGGTCTTCAAGTTCTAAGGCGCTCAATGCGTTGCGAAAATGTAACCATCGATGCATGTATCCGTACATATACAGCTTTATACACAGGAATTAGACCTTTACTGCAGGAACGGTGAGCATCGCTGTTTGCATGGGTCACGGTGAGGCGAGGTTAGACGCGTCGCGGATGCAAACCAGGCGCGTCTCGATCACGGGGCCTGGGCGGTGAGTCTCGTGGTGGTGATGTCATAGGCCGTCGATGATCCCATAAGTCGCATACCACCCAGCTGGATCTTCGCAACCATGTCCGCCCATCTGCTCCATGTCTTTCTTTAGCTCTCTCTATATAATCCCCTTGCTCGCCGCCTGCTCCCTACACCTCTGCCCACCGTCCTCCATCGCCGTCCCCTCTCTCGCCCTCGGCACATCGCGCCCAATCGAGCACCGCCTGCACACTTCCGCCCCCACCATGTCCTCCGAATCCTCAGCCGTGCCCGCAGACTCCGCGTGGCTCCAGCAGCAGCTCCAGCAGCTCCTCGCCTCGCCCTACATCCACTTCAACCACCCACCCGGCATACGCATGGGCCACGGCCCCGTCGACCTCTTCTCCACGCGCTTCAACAACCTCTTCGCCCCCGACGCCTCCGGCACCGTCGCAGGCACCGACGCCGACCGCGCCGCCCTCAAGCAGGCGCTGCTCGCGCTCCAGAAGCACTGGAGCCCGGACTCGGCGTCGTTTGCGCCCGCCACGGGACTGCAGGACGGACAGGTGCGTCACTCGTATGGAGGGCCTGCGCTGCCCATGATGGCTGAACTGGGACGTCGATATGCAGGTCGGCACCCGCGCAGAGTGGACGCCTCCGAACTCGGATGAGACGGCGAATGTGACCGCGACCGCTACGTGAGTCGCCCTACCGCCCCCTTCGAAATGCGTATTGATCTCGTGGCTAGCGTCGCGCAACAAGGCCCAAACAACCGTATCAGCACACTGTCGCTGGATGGCGACCAGAGCTTGTTCACGCAGTGAATGAACGCATCCTCTATTCCGTAATGTAGCTGTCGTGCAATGTTTCCATAAAGCATCAGGCCTCGCAAGCCCTGAGGCTACACCTGTAATATAAATACCAATTTGCTCGCGTGTCATAGACTAGGTCATCAGAAAGTTGTACCGTAGTCATATACAGCGCTACTGCCCACCTTGTAAGCTGAAGGTACCATGCAAAAATCGTATAACGGAAACAAAAACATGTGGCCAACGCCGGGATCGAACCGACGACCTTGGCGTTATTAGCACCACGCTCTAACCAACTGAGCTAGCCGGCCCTTGATTTAAAGCTAACTTGGATACATCTGTCTCAGCTCCAAGTTCTAACTGTACTGCGCATTCATTTTGAGCATCGTCTAGTGCGTCAGGAACTCAGAGGAGTTTGTACTTCACGGCAGTATAGAAAGCATTTGATACAACGGAAATATCTCATGTTTCTAGCTGTCGCGTTGGGGGAACGCGGACGAAGCAGAGACCATACGCCACCGGCCGAAGTGTCACATTCTGAGGGAGCTCACCATCGCGTCGTGGAAGACGTGCCCGTTATCAGACAGAGGATTGTCATAGCTTGGTATATAGGTACAGCGGCTTCATCAAACCAAGTCAAAGCCGTTCGGGATCGACATATGAGTACCGTAAGTGTGATTACATTGATCAACCAGTGAAGACTGAAAGGACGGATTGGTGGTATGCCCGCGTACTATTGAAGTCAGCGTATACAGCTACTTTGTATTATCCTCGATAGACCTATATATAGCAGATGAGATGCATACATGACTTGGAATTGCGGTATCGACAACAATGCAGATAAATGTGAGCGAGTGAGGGCAGCAGCAGTCATCGACGTGTCCATGTTCAACCTTCGGCTTCGGCCAGCTTCGATGGATCGAACCGGTGAACGGTCTGAATCACCTCAGATTCTTTGCGGGCAAAGACAAGCTGTAATACCAATGTCATTCAGTGCTAGTCAAATAGTGATAACTGAAGCGTACCATATACGGGTTCGCGGTGGAACCGGTCGTATCTGCCAGGACCTCATCTTTAGAGACAACGCTGACGTCCGAGTCGTTGTATTTGAACCATTGGTCAGGGTTCTCCGGGAGATTGCGGGCATAGAAAAAGTAATGACCCCAAGATGGTGACGAGCCGCGATGAATGAACACAGATGTGAGCTCATATGCTGCCGACGTATCATCTTTCCAAATCTCGTCGATCTCTCGCTTCAATTGCACGGCCTTTTGTCGTTCCTGCTCGAGCTGCGCAGTGATGAGCTCTTGCTCATTGCGCAGACTTGATAGCAGTTGGTCGTCAACGTCAGGTAGCTGAATAACATCCTGTGTTGAGAGAAACTCGGCAGTTGCAGCCAGGGCAGGAGCGAACGGCGCGTGCTTGATCGTGTATCAGTGAATGCCATATGACCGCTGTATGATCAGCGCGCACCTTGTCTTTTGTGAGCCGCTGAATGTGGTCCCGGGTGGCTGTCAAATCAGCTTGGATTGCCTTTGCGCGCGTCTGCTTCTCCCGGTCTGCACTATCTAAGAATCGGTCCATGTAGATTGTTTCATCGAACTTGATGTATGCTTGTGACTTGTACGCCTGCTGCGTCTCGCGATCGAATTGTACGCGCTATGCCAAACGTCAGACGTAGCCACTGACGTCTAACAACATATCAATTACCTGCAGCTGGATCTGTAGTAATGGCGGGAGATCCACCACGGAGACCTCCATTAGCTTCTTGAAGCCTTCCAATTCAACGATATCATCGAAGTACCGGGCTAACCCATCGTACAGATCGAATCCCTCGTCTGAGACATTGACATGCAGATGCGAGAACAAGTCTTCCTTCTCATGAATGGAAGCCTTGTGCCGCGCGTCATCAGCAGCAGATAGCGGCGTAAGACGCTGGCGCTTCTTGCCATAGAAAAGTCTGCAAACCATGTATCTTATGTTAGAAGAAATCAGCAGGTAAACGAAATGATACATTACCTCTTCACTACGCTTGTCTTGTCATTGTCGGCGCCGGCGTTGCCCTGGAAGTCGAGTAACGCGGTCTCGATTTGGAACATACAATTGTCCATACACTCTGACACATCGTGCTGTCTACCTGGGTAGGTTGTCAGCCGGGAGATGGGAATACATGCGCGCAGGGTCTTACCAAACATCATCACGGAGTCGTCAATGGGTCGTGGTCGCCGTGCGGGTAAGGGTGGTGCCTTCTGGGCTTGCTGCGAAACATCTTGCATTTCAACATCGAATGTCCGGTCAGCAGGCTCGAGTCTCGAGGAAGATGCTACTGCTTGTGGTGATTGTGCGGAGGACGACGCTGACGGCGGTCTTGTCTCCTCCTGAGGTGACGAGCGTTCTGGCTCCATAGGAATGTCAGCCGTGTCACGATGACGCTTCCCGAGGACGCTGCCAGTAGGGCTATCGAGAGGCGAGGGCGATGAGCGTTCGTGACCAGTGCGCGAAGGAGCGTCTTCGACTAAGGTTGCGTCTGTATCGTTCGATGATTCGGTGCCTGTCCTATCTTGATCGTCCTCTTCCTCGTCCTGCGAGGTAACAAGTGCCAGTTTCGCGAGATCGATAGATGGTGTGACGGCGGGGACGTCGCAATATTCGAGGTTCCAGAACAGATCCGCGAGCTGGCTCACGACTGCCTCAAGGTGAGCAAGCGTCCATCCCATGTCTCATGCACTTACACTTCTTTGATCGTAGGATCTCGCGGCGGGTGACAAGCCGGCCACCTACTCTGTGTCGTTTGAGGTCATCGTCAGTGACTTTGCTGTCGTCGAGGGACTTTGCGTCGGCGTTGGCCAAAGGTGCGACAGCCTCGCGTAGGTCTTTGATGGTGTAGAAATACTGACAGATAGTTCGAGGTGAGATTGTTAATCATGGAGCTTAATCGACTTACCTGGAGCAGAGAGTTTAAGTAACACGTGTTTCCGAGCTGATTCAAACCGCGGGGCATATCTGAGCTCATCACTTGAGCGGTTGCATCACCAGCTGTGAAACAGGATATCAGTCAAGATGGTAAGAGCGGCGCCGTCTTCAGCGACTCACGGTCATTACCCGTAGTGAGAAATTGACGTAGCCTATCGCTATTCGTGACCTCGGCGATTACGTTCATCGCTTCGCGCATCCTGTCTGCCTGGCCTGGCTGGTCCTCAACCTGGATCAAGCATGAGCATCCCTTGCACTGAACTGACTACAGACACGAACCCGCATCACGTAGACGGTAATTAGCATCGTCTCTTCTACCTCCCGTGGCACCTCGAGCGTTGAGTACGCTGCGTCTGGTGACATGCCCGTACCCTTTTCCTCGTCCCAAGCCTTACGCAGTAGTGCGCTCCCGCGGTCGTCGGCCAGCATCCGGAGCGCTTCGTTGAGTCTGTGCCTCAGGTCATTGGCGTTTGATTCCCGCCACGCGCGCCGCCGTGCGCTCCGCCATGCCTCAAGGATGAACTGGTCATCGACATCCGCATCAAGCTCTACGCGCAGCTCGCGGTCCTTGCCGAAGCCGAGTACCGCGATGGCCTCTGCGAGGTCCTCTCGAGAGTAGCGATAGCGGGTGCGCTCCTCGATTATAAGCTGCTGCAGCTCTGGCGCAGCCTCCCCGACATTGTTGAGTGCTTGTGCGATATGAAAGAGAGCCGTAAAGTAGTCAGGAGTGTTCGCGGGATCGCAGCGGCACTGGGCGAGATAAGCGAAGGCAAGCATTTCTGCGAGAGATTAGTGGCAGAAGTAGCGGTATAGCATGCACCTACCCCATGAGTATGTTGTTTGTGTCATGCCGAGCTCCTTCCACGCGGAATCGAGTATATCAAGGCCAACGAGCGCATCTGGTAAAAGGCCGCGGGGGACTGTCGCGAACTTAATAACGTTCAAGCACAATACTACTGTACCTACTTTGCGAAACATGCGCGCCGATCTTAGTTTGCAACAACTCGTAAACGTCGAGTGCTTGCGCGTTCAACACCTGCGGCTTGTATGTCCCAAGTGCGTTAGTTTCTGGCAATAATCAGCTAGATCCTGGTCTGATGGAAGACAAGGCATACTGCTTTTCTGATATATGGTCAGCCATGCGGACATCTCGACCCATGCACGCAAGAGGCGCGCCCGGTTCTGCTTGCCCTCCGAGATAGACGGGTCGATAACAGGTGGACACACGCCTGGCTCTTCCGTACCCGGCACTATGCTCATGGGAAAGCCTAAGACATCAAAGATCTGCTTGCTGCAGGCAAGATAGAGTTGTTAAGAGCTATTGTAAAAACGAAAGGGAGATGCCTTACACTGTCTCGCTCCAGCCGACCTTTTGCTGGAATCGGGCGCGCTTGACGGGCAGTATGCGCTGCTCGTCCTGCCATAGACGTTTCTCAATGATGCTGTACATGGTGAGACAGGCCATGTACGAGAGTGACCAGTGCGACTTACGAGATGAACGTCTCCCAACCCATCAGAACGCTCGCCGTTGGTGTCCTTTCAATCGGCGGATGAGCAAGCCTGTCGCGAGTGTATTCGTCGACCAACTGCCGTGGGATAACACCGGGAATGATGTCTGATACTAAGCAGTACATCGAACATTGGCAGCAGACATAAAGGTCTAGCAAAGTGTCTTCACGCATAAAGGGCGGATTGAGATCGCGAGCGTCGACAGCACGCTCGTAACGGTGCCAGTGATGGGTTACGTTCGCCTGGCCAAACGGCTGCTCGCCCTCACCAACGCATGAGCCGGTCCGCTTGCGACGATCATGGTCCGGAAGGCGGTCGAGTTTGCGGGCAAGCTTGGGGAGGACGCTTGAATTCCGCCAGAGAAGTAATACCCAACCATTGTGCTCCTTGCAAAAGTACGCGTGCGGATGAGGAACGGTCTCCACAACCTCCTCGAGTGAGGGCGCGTGTGGAATCGAGGTCGCTGACTGTAAGGTCGCTAATTGGGATTCCTTGAGGCTAATGTTGTACAGGGTGTGATTAGGATCATGGAATAAATCGTAGAGCATGGGTGGAAGCATGCCGGGGCCGGGCCTGCGGCGGCTCTCGCGGAGGGCAGCGTCGGCCCAGTTCTCCTCCTCCCCCGTGTCGCGTCCGTCGATGTTGACCTTGCGAGAGGTGGAGGTGTCGCTCCAAGTGGCACCAGCCCAAGCAGCATCCCAAGGAGTTGGACCCGTGTCCTTCCAGGATTCGTTGTTAGTGGCATACCATTGCTCTTCTGGGGCAATGAGGTCCGGAATGGGATCTTCCTCTTGGACGAGCTGGGGCTCGCGAAAGGGCGAAGACGTGGGCGCAATATAGCCGGTGCGGGATGAGCCGGCGTTTGATGGGCCATAAAACTTGGCGGAGGGTATGGGAGCGTGAACAGAGGCTGCGCGGATTGGCTTGGGCTCGAGCGGTCTGCGGTCGTTGTGGTTGGGATCTTGAGATGGTGGATCGTCTGGCCGACGAGGCGTACGGGGGTCGCTGGTCATCGATGTAGGCTGCTCTGTCTAGGAGGGAGGAAGAAAGAAAGACGAGCGAGTGGTGGTCAGAGACAAAGCAAGTGTAGCTTGAGTGCGTGCACTACGCGTCCAGTCCTCATCGCGAGCGTCACGTGCATCCACCAGTTGTGCAGCGCTCCGATGTATAAGTTTCACACTCGCTTGTTCTTGGTCACAACTGGCGGTCGCAATGCCCTCACTGTTGTTCTGCTCCACGCTTTCTGTCGGGTGCTATAACAGGACGCGGCTGTCAAGCATGCCCAAAACTTCCATCCCGAGTGCATGTAGTAAGTTGGGTAATGACTCGGCGACAGTTGTGCTGCGTGTCCCCGCTGTTGCTCTGGTGCGTGCTATCCATTTGCAAATTGTTGGCCTTCCCCTTTTTTGCCGGGGTGTGCTGTATAACTCTCGCCAATCTCTACGTACTGGGCTCGGCGCCGAATCACAAAATTCTGCTGCAATCCCGCAGAATCGGCCGTACGTGCAGTATAATTCTTGCCTAATGCGTGGAATCGCCGCGAGGTAGGCCTGCGTATAACAATTCGATTTCTCTCATGAAGTGCCGTTTCGTAGAGCAATGTGCTCGACATCGCGATCCTCAGCCGTGCCATGCCGAGCCGTGTATTGACACAATGATATTCTTGCACCCTCTAGGGCGTCAGTGATATTATTGTACACCTGTACGTCACATTACTACATATTGTCTTCTGACCCCTCGGCGTGTCTGCCAGCCACGAGGACAGCGCTCGATGGAACACAACGAGGCTGCCAGCGTCGCTGTCCTTTTGTCACTCCCCGATGATTCATGCGCTATGACTGCAGCTTAACGGGGACGCGCCCGTGCACTGCACGTTCGCGTGACGTTCGCTCTCGCTAGCCTAGGTGCATTAAGGCGTGTTAGAGACCCTGAATGTTCTGCGCGACGATGACACTTCGGCGAACCGTCACGCAAAAACCCTCCTGTATGTACGTAATTTGGATGCTATGGCCAGTCGTACACGGGCCAAGGTACAGATGTAAGCGAGGGGGTCTTGAGCTGACTTGAGAGCGCGCAAACGAGGTTTACTACCGCGAGTCTTCTATTGCACCCATTATCCCATTATCTCCGTGCACGCTGTTCATAATCACCTATAGTGAGATGGAGAACCAAGACATTGACTACAACTTAAGACGGTTGGCTGTGGGGACGTGTACGAAAGGCCGTGGATGGACAGGATAACGTAAAGCAGCATTCCGCATCTTGACTGCTCAACAGCGGCGCGCTGAACATGCGCCAATGCTTTCTTCTGGTTGCGCACGCGCCGCTTAGCAGGGCCGTACGTAGACTTTTACTCGGGACACAACTGGGCTCTGTCTAGCGCAGGTCTTCGCAGAATCGATGCTACGCGACCTAGGACCACCGACATGTGGCACGCGTAGCGAAAGTGGATCTTGAGCGGCGTCGCGATGACCTTGATGTGGTCCGAACCAGAGTTGCATAAAAACGCCAGAATGTGGGTGTCATCTCCATAATCATCACTCACCTCACAACGTCTCTCTCACAATGCCCAAAGACATCTCTTCGACAGTCAGATACCAACAGATGTGTAGGGCTGAGTCTCGCGACCAGCGCTGTTATCACCCTTACAAGCGGTGCGAGCGTCCTTGGGTAAGTGCACGATCATTGTCTCTTGTTAGCAATGGGTTTGACATATCTTGCACGCTGTCACTAGTACAAACGGGAGGACGACACTGTTTCTACTGCAGTATCCCTTGCATAGTAGCATCAAATTTGTATAGAGACTTACCTTTCTGTTTAGGCTGAGGCTTCGCTCCGAGGCCCGGAACTTGATGAGCAAGAAGAGATTGTCTGACCGGATGGTAGTGTGGCTGGGCGTCGTTGACTGCTAAGTAATGAGTACTGAGCGTTGTCTCTGCTGACTACAAGCTGAGCAATGACTTTTGTTTAGGACAGCTCGCGAGGCCTCGCGGGCGATGGTGTACTCAACGACCAGTATCCGTGCCACTGTCGTCATTTTTGCTTTGTTATCTGCTCTGCTGTCTGTCGTTTTGTTGAATTTAAAGTGTTGTTGCCGAAGAGAGGACACGTTTCACGTGACGGACGCGTGACGTCAGGTCGGCGGCGGGGGCGGGGCTGAGAGGGTTGTCGCCCGCCCGCCGTCTCTCTCGTCCTTACCACTAACCCACTATGGACCACACAGCAACTCATCAGAGTCCCGTCGACAAACCCGACACTCGATTCGAACCGACGGAGAATCTTGCTACCGCACCAGACGGCAATCCCCTTCTCCAGACTGACGCAGATGTCATCGCGCAGACCGTCGAGCTTCCGCCCGACCCAGACAAGAGCATCGACGTCCAGCTCGACCTTAAGGACCCCGAGATTAGGGACGTCGGTTGGAACAGGGATCTCGCGCACCTTCCTCCAACCGTCGTGAACGGCCTCTCGAATGAGGACCTCTTCGCCCTCGTTCGGCGCTTTAATAAGGTATGTAGGATCCTCATTCATTCGCCTGTTTTGTACTAATTCCCTGCTCAGCAAGTATTTTACGTGAAGGCGATCCCGCCGCCCCCTCCGGGTCATCTCGACCTCGACATTTCAGAGGATGAAGAGTTCTCCCCGGACAAGCTTCGTGCACACTTGGAGCGTTTATATGTGACAGTCGTAAGTCTTCACTCTGCGATTTGTATGCAATCGGAGAGTCAATTGCCTCCATAGATTGTAGGCATGGCTGCGTCGGGGAAGCATATAGCCCGTATCCGCTCGTGGAATGAGCCATTGCGCACAGCGTGCTTCTGCATGGTACGTTCCTTCGCTCAATATGTATGGGGCACCTTCGCGCTCAATTTGCGACCCACAGGCCTACCACCTTGCATGGTTCAGCAACAACCTCGGCGCGCTCCTCAGCCTCACGCTCATCGCGCTCATCCTCCATCCTCCCGCCCGCAAAATTCTCTTCCCACCTGCCCCACTGGCCGCCGTCAGCGCATCTACTGGTAACCTCCAGGTGCCCCGCGCAGGGACGATTGGCAGCAAAGACAGCCTCTCCGGCGCGCCTGAGGCGCATAAGGGCGAAGCTGTCGAGCAAGAGGCTACTAACTTCGTTTCCGGCTTCGCCTCGCTCGCCGTCGGCGCAGCCACCGGGCAAAAGGAGGCACCACATGTCGAGCAGGGAGGTGCAGACGGCGAAACCGCCGCAGAAGAGAAGGAGCAGGATGAGGCAGCAGTCGGCGTGGGCGCCGCGCTGCCTGATCCGACACGCCTTGTCGCAGAGACAGCAGACGCCAAGCATGTCGCACAGGGGGCTCGCGCGGATGGGAAGCACGATGCGACAAAGCAACATGTACAAGCTGCGATATGGGAGAAGGCACGCCCCGCAATGCGTGCGCTCGCAGATATCACGGATACGTGGGAGCGCTTTGCAAAGTGTGTAGCGACTTTGCGGTGTGAATAAGGAGAGAACTGACGTCGAGATTCGCAGCGTGTTGTCGCCGACGCCGCCATTCTCGCATGCACCAAGGCTCCGGCTCGCTGTGCTCGTGCTCCCATTACTACTTGCGACAACAGTGTTTAGGTCTGAGATATTCGTCAAGGCTGGGTCGTTCGGATTGGGCTTCGCGTTGTTCGGCCAGCCACTCATCTCACGCGGCGCACACTGGCTCACGCACCGGTTTCCAAACTGGCGCGAGATGTTGCAGTTGCGTAGGTGAGTATTTCTTATTCCTGCAGTCGCGTCACGAAACAGAGGTCTCGGCATGGGTGCATACAGATCGATTCTCAAGGGCGTTCCAACAAACGCGCAACTCACCCTCACGTTGCTACGCATCGCGGAAGAGAGCAAGACGCCTCTCCCACCCCCGCCTCCGACGAATGGCATAACGGAAGAGCCTGAGGAACATCCGGACGGCATCGAGGCTGCAGTCCGTGAGCACGACGACATGGAGTTCGACACGTCGAACTACGATGTCGAAGGTGTGGATGCACACATGGCCATAGGCGAACACGCTGAGAATGCTGCAACAGGCGAGGATGGGAAGCCAAGGCCCCGACTAGCTAGCAAGCTCGCCCGCGCGCTCAAGGGCACGGGCAAAGCCGCGGTCAGCAGCGCGCTGGGCATCGACCATCTGAAGGCGCGGCTAGGATCCGAGGCGGCAAAGCGCCGCCTGGGCGCGGTACCCGACGACAGTCCTGGGACGACCACAGAAGGGAGCGCCGGAAACAGGGCGGGCGCGGGCGATGGACCGACGGCATGGGCTGCGCGCTGGCACGGAAAGCGCGGCTACATCGTGCTTGTGACCAGCGCGGCGTCGCCGTTCGTGGCGTTTGTGAAGGAGAAGGATATCAACAAAAACTTGATTGGTCTCGCACTGCCAAAGGGCATCAGCGGATCGGGAGCGAACGCACCTACAGCCGCGTTCTCGGTCGCACTGGCGGAGGTTCAGGGACTGAAGAAGGTTGGTGGGTATGGATGGAAGGGGAAGATGGTCATCGGGTACGTGCTACAGCGCGAGGTGTTAGATGGGCTCGAGATCGAAGATGAGGATGGGAAGACGTGGACTATGACGGCCATCAAGGGGCGGGACGAGCTGTTCAATAGGCTGATCGCTGTGGGCGGGCATAAGTGGGAGTGTCGATGAGCAGATGTAACGCGCGTCTGCACAAAGCGTGTGATACTTGGACTATGGACTCATAATCTACCGTTTTGCATCACAAGCGTCGAATACGGAAACGGGCGTAACCCATCCGTGTATTAGTGTAAATGAGGACACAGTATCGAGCGTCCAGCAGATCATGCGGTAGGAGGTATGCGTACAAAATAGGTCCATCTGTCCAAGCCAAGCCATAGTGTAGATGTCCAACTGCTGCCTTCTGCTCTAATGAGCGCTGCACGCCGCTCACATGATAATGCAGTCCTTGTCCTTCCCGTTCTTTCCTGAGCCGGACGTCGACATCTCGTCGCTGACGCTGCGGAGGAGGACCGAGCCGGGCCCACCGGGGACGGCCTGGGGCCCATGGCCTTTGAGGCGTTGTTGAGCACGCTTGTCGCCTTGGTCCGCGGCGTTCTTGTACCAGGTCGTCGCTCTGGGAGGGTAGTGACAGACCAGGATCATCAGCACGCGCACGGTGATTGCAGAGAAACCGATGCCATTGTGCAGGGAACGCGGACAAGAAGGAATGGTATGCGACGTACTCGGCGAGATTCGGTTCCGTACCAATGCCCACCTCGAGGAAGTACCCGACCGCGTACATTGCCTTCACCAAGCCTGCTTCTGCCGCCTTTTTCGCCCAAAGGAATGCTTCCGTGTCTGATTGCGGCAGCACGCTGGGTGAGCCCACGAGGTACCACGCTGTTAGCGCGAAGCACGCGTCGCGGTGATTCTGCTGCGCTGCGATGTTCTATGCACCGGGGGGAGGGTCACCAGGGGCGTAGAAGCGGGCAAGAGCGACATACATAATAGTGTATCGACAGCGCGGGGTCCTGCGGGCAGCCCATCTTGCCGTACTCGTAGCACTCTCCTAAGCGGTATGCGCTGGGCGCGTACCCAAGCTCTGCTGCCTGCGCCAATAGCTCTGTCGCGTACTCGTAGTCGATGAAGAGGACGTTGTCAATGCCCCGCTCGTGAAGCAGAGCAAGCTCGTGCAGTGCGTGTGGGAACTCGGCGGTGGCGTGCTCCGCGGACCGCTTGAGCCAGTTCACACCATCCCTAGGGCTCTTTGAGAGGCTAAGTTCGCCGTTGAGCTCGGCGATGCCGAGACGGTAGAGCGCACCGGGGTGGCCGGCGGCAGCGGCCTTGCGGTAGAACTGGACGGCCTTGGCGGACTCACGGCGGCAGCCCCAGCCGTTCTCGCAGCAGGTGCCGGCGCGGTAGGCGGCGTCGGGGTGGCCATGCTTGGCAGCGAGGACGAAGAGGGGGAAGGCGCGGTCAAAGTCCTGGCGGTTCTTGTGGGTGCCAATGCCGTTGGCGTAGCAGTCGGCGAGAAAGTACTGGGAGGGCATGTGCCCGCGGTCGGCGAGCTTCTTGAGGAGGGCGGTGGCTTCGCGGATGAGGTCCTCGCGCTTCTGCTGGGCCTTCTCGATATCCATGACGTTCCCCAGGGTTGGGACGGGCTGGGGGAGGTTCTTCGCGGCGTCGATCATGAAGACGGCAAACTCGAATTGTAGGTCGGGATCCTGGGTCTTCTTGGCGTTGGCGCGGTAGAGCTCGAGAGTGCGTTCATGGGAGAGAAGGGCGGCCTGGTTGCCTGGGCGGAGGTGGGAGTGGTCGAGGACGGGTGCGGGCGGGGGAGAGGGCGCGCGTACGGACTGGGTAGCGACGGAGGCCGCAGAATACGGGACAGCGTCGTGGAAGTTGGGTTGGGAGGCGTAGAAGTCGTCCGCGTCGGGATCAGGAGGTGTGGCTGTTTCGTGTTCATACGAGTAGTCGTCGTAGAGCTGTTCTGAGGGCATCGGAGGCCGTGAGGAAGAGCGGGGAGGGCGGGGAGAGCCTCTTGGAGGGCGGGAAGAAGAGCGAGCGGGGTATGAGGTGGAGCGAGCATCGGCCTGGTCATACTCGGAGTACGGGCGTTGGGGTGCAGCGTCTGGGAGATATGCGGACGACGGGCGAGACTGCGGGGCGTACATCGCAGACGAGGTCGACGACGAAGGCAGCGAGGGAAAGACGGCTACCAGCGCGCGTCTCCCATGCTCCGACGACCCTCCGCCAGCGCTTGGACGGTAGAGTTGCATATGTTTTTACAAATTCTGTTCTCATCACGCATTCCGCGCTGGGCTAGCTATGACCAGGCCATGACACGGCCGACGACCACAAGACGCTGGAAGACGATGCCAAGGACGATTGCTGGCGGTGTGCTCAGCCGGGAGCCGGGGGCGAGGACGTTCATCTGGCTGATCATGTAAGTCGTCGCTGCGTCATTATCCTCGCAAATGTTTATCCTCTGCAGCTGGCTTATGTTAGCCACCTGCAGTCCGCAATAAATAGTCCAGTCTCAGAGGGATGACACACCATTTGCTCTCTCCTCTCCACACGCATCCACCATGCCCATTCCCACCACAACCCGTGAATACCGCCTTCCCAAGGTCGCTCTCGGTCCCTTCGCATCTTTGTCTCACTCAATACATTCCCTCAGGTCGACGGTTTCCACAATCTAACCATACGCGAGGCTTCCATCCGCCCACCAAAGTCGTCTGAAGTCCTCGTCAAAGTCCACGCCGTTTCCCTGCAGGTATGTCATGCGAGTATCAGTCCCGTTATCATGCGCTCACGGATCTCCGCCAGTATCGTGACCTCGTTGTGGCAAAGGGTCAATACCCCCTTGGCCAGAAAGACAATGTCGTCCCCGGCTCCGACATGGCCGGCGAGATCCTCGCTGTAGGCGACGAGGTAAAAGGCTGGTCCGTCGGTGACCGCGTATGCGCCAACTTTGCCGTCGACCACATCTTCGGCGATGTCACCGAGGAGATCAAGCTCACCGGTCTCGGTGCCCCTATTGACGGCGTTCTGACGGAGTACAAGCTCCTTCCCGCCCACGTACGTCAACATACGTCCTACGTTCACTCTTCCCTGACACTGCTACCTAGTCTCTCGTGCGCGTCCCTGAGCACCTCTCGTACGAGGAGGCATCCACCTTGCCGTGAGTATGTTGACAACTCGCTTCGCACGCGGCTGACAGTGCGCACAGATGCGCCGCCGTCACTGCATACAACGCACTCATGGGCCCGAACCCGCTCAAGGGCGGTGACTACGTGCTCGTGCAGGGCACAGGCGGTGTGTCCATCTTTGGTCTGCAGCTCGCCGTCGCCTCCGGCGCGACGGTCATCGCGACGTCCTCGTCGGATTCCAAGCTGGAGATCGCAAAGAAGCTGGGCGCGAAGCACCTCATCAACTACAAGAAGACGCCTGATTGGGGGAAGGAAGTCTTGAAGATCGTACGCCGATCGTGCTTGAATCCATTCCAACTGACGTCATACCTTCCTTTGCTCGGCAGACTGGCGGCAGAGGCGTCGACCACATCATCGAGGTCGGCGGCCCCGGCACGATCACACAGTCCGTCCAGTGCATCCGCTATGCGGGCTCTGTCCATGTCATCGGCTTCGTCGCGGGCGCAGGCGACGTGAGCCAGCTGCCCTTCCAAGTACTTGGCAAGGCCGTCATTCTCCGTGGCATTCTCATCGGCTCGCGCACGCAGTAAGTTCCCGTCTGTGCTGCGCGCTCACCCAGACCCTCAATTTACTGTGTGCAGGTTCGAAGACATGAACAAACTCATTGCCGCGTCGGGCCTCAAGCCCGTTGTCGACAAGGTCTTCCCATTCGAGGAGACGCGGGCCGCGTATGAGTATCTCGACAGCCAGAAGCATGTCGGCAAGGTGGTCATCAAGGTCGCGAAGGACTGAGTGCCTGCGCTTGCGACGAGACGAAGCAGTAATGTAAGAACCATGTATGTACATCTCAATCATAGATAGTTCCCTCCATCCATGACATGTCCTAGTACGACCAGCCATTTCCGACCCCCGATCATGGCTGTAACTTTCATCTATCTATCTGGTCAATGATCTCAAGTCAATTTCAACGTAACTAAGGGGTTTCATCCTCCGGTGAGCTCGGCTTGTTGACATCGTAGTCCTTCTGCAGAGATCGACCATGAAGGAGGTCAGCGAGTCCCAAATTCGTTTTTACACAGCCTTCATCTATCATTGTGCTACGGTCCATCAGGGAATCCAATAGGATGCGTTCCTTTCTGTCGAGAAAAGGTATAAAACGACTGCGATGCCGCAATGCATGACCCTGTCCTACGTGCTGTCGGTGACTGGTCTTCGTCCTAAGCCGTTCTTGATATATTGTCTACTGAACCGGTGAACTGACCACTTGTGGGTGCGAACACGTAAGTATCGCGCACATCGAACTCCTCTGGCTCTGCTGTGTCTGATAACTTCGTTAGAAAAGGCCTGCTCCGAATGACTGCGACAGTTACTCAAAGGGTGTACTATGAGCGTGCGGTAGCTGGCGTGAGTGTCTCAGTAGCAAGCTCCCGTTTGTCACTCACCGATAATGCATGGTGTTTATGTAACATGCAGCTCAGTGGCTCTGAGACGGCTTCAATTGTCCCTTATACGGATGCCACCTTGACTGTGTCAGGTTACGCTTTTGCCAGCGATGACCCTGTTATACCATCAAACTCTATCACCTCGTTGCAGTTAACCACGTCCTCACCAGAAAGAACCTCCTCCTTAGCAGCATCAGGACCCTTGGTCTCATCAGCATCACCAGCATCTTCGAGTAGACATGTCCTACCCCTTGTGGCTATCATATGCGGCAGCGTTGCTGCTGTAATGTTTGTGAGCTTGCTGGTATGGTGTGTTCTAAGGCGATGCCGACAAGGACATTCTGCGCAATTGCTTGGAGAACCTTTGGTCACAGTGCAGGCGAGCAGTGTGTTCTTATTCATCTTGTATGAGGGTCGGTGGTGCTGAGTTGGGGTAATCAATACACATGGTTTGTAGGCGAATTCGAGCAACTAGACACTCCTGGAAATGAGAGATTGGTGTTGCTGACGGCTTCGCCAAATGCAAATCAAGCAAGTGACCCCCCGCCAGACTATGCGTCACGGGTGGAGACTAAAGATGGAGGTGAGTTGAATTAACTGTGTTTACAAGATCATCTGGCTGATACTTATTGACCTGACAGATGGGCTCGAGCAAGCCGTGTTGCAACCACCTGATCATCTGCCTCCAGTCCCTCCATTGCTGCATGTCCCGGCTCATGATGGTGTCAGGTCTTACATCTTGTGTTCAAACACCATTCGCAGAGCTGTCGATGCAGGCATTGCAGTCGCTCAAGACAATGCCCCAGTGCCATCAAAACAGGCACCTAGCTTGTGCACTAGCACACTACCTCCTTAGGTTAGGTTAGGCGGTTTAGTGTCGACCTGCCTTGCTGAAGGCTTGAGTGGCTGACTCGGATGACTTGGGTGGAATGCCGTCCACCCCCAAGTTTCGCCCGTATTTATGGGCTCTTCAGATCCGCTTGGTCAGCTGAGTCGCACGTCGCGAGGAACGAGCGACCGGGGCGCAGTAGGACGCCTGAGTAAGCAAGGACTCGACTGAGAAAGAACTTGCCATTGAGACTTGTAGAATGAAACGCCCTTGATTGGTGGGACGTTATGCTGATTGCTAAGCGGCCCGGCATAGGCCCGTGTTTGTAAGGGTTAGGTTAGGTTAGGTTAGGTTAGGTTAGGTTAGGTTAGGTTAGGTTAGGTTAGGTTAGGTTAGGTTAGGTTAGGTTAGGTTAGGTTAGGTTAGGTTAGGTTAGGTTAGGTTAGGTTAGGTTAGGTTAGGTTAGGTTAGGTTAG